TTAAAATTGGGTTATTCGTGCAAAATAATTGGGTTAATTTAAAATTGGGTTAATCTTGCAAAATAATTGGGTTAATTTAAAATTGGGTTAATCATGCAAAATAATTGGGTTAATTTAAAATTGGGTTAATCTTGCAAAATAATTGGGTTAATTTAAAATTGGGGTAATCTTGCAAAATAATTGGGTTAATTTAAAATTGGGTTAATCTTGCAAAATAATTGGGTTAATTTAAAATTGGGTTATTCGTGCAAGATAATTGGGTTAAACGCCCTCTTTGTTTTGTACCTGTAACTATTTAATTCAATTTTACATCATTTTTTTACTGGCGGAAAAAATAACCCAATTTTATTCATTTTTTCAATTTTTGGGTTAATTATTGAGGAAAATTGGGTTATTTTTGCGATTCGCAACGAATAACCCAATTTTTTTCTCAAAAACATGCGAATCCGCATGTATTCGCATGTTTTTAGTCGCTGGTTTTAGTCGCTAACTTTCGGGCGGTTGTCGCTTTGGATTCTAATGACCACTCGAAGACGTCTGTTGTTCCTTGCTTCAACATATTGTTCGAAGAAGTGATCCCCACTAGTACCAAAACCATCCATATCATCTCGGTTAATGCTCCGAGTCATCTTTAAAACAACTACAACATGGCTTCAATTGCAGCATTAGAGGACAGACATAAGAAAAAGATTATTTGGTATTATTTTGCTCCAATGCATGGCAAAGGTGATGTCGATGAAAATGAAGCAGCACTTAAAAAATCTGAAGCAATCACTTAAAAAATCAAACATCCCGAACAGAAGTGAACGAGTCTAGTTGAGTATTCATCACGCTTTTTGTTTATTTTTTTTTATTTTTACAGTTATCAATTCATACAAATAGTAATTTAAAGAACTACCTACTTGGAACAGGATGTTTGATGTTTGTTCATGACGACAAAAAATCTTGTTCAAAACCTTAAAATATAAAAAAAGATTTGAATAAATTCAAATTTCTCAACACAAGTAGTTTGGTACCCTACTTTCAATTTGAGAGTTGCTTTTCCCCTCGGGATTCATATTTAAAGACAGAACATTCTTCATTTTAATAAATTTTATCTTGATAAATTTTAAGTGATCAAAAGCATTAGAAGTCTCTCAAATATCTTATAAGTCCCCATAAAAGTCAAAATCTTCCCGTAAGTTTAATAGTTTTACGGTTTTGAAAGTTTGTATAGTGAAATATTGATTTTCAAAATTTTCTTTGTTTAAACATTTATTTCGTATTTGTTGAGCCTTCCATATCCTTTTTAAAAACTTTCAATACATTTTTTGTTACAAATTAAATAATATTAACGAATTATTTTCACTTTCAGGCTTATTAAAAGGTTTCAAATTCCTGTGTGAAAAAGTAAGAAGAAAAAAAGCAAAATGGATGAAATGAAATGAAAAAAAAAATGAATATTAAAATGAAGACGGAAAAATTGAGAAATCCATAAGTGTGATAGCAACGACAACAAAATCAACAATTCGTGCGTAATCGAAAGTGTGCGTGGATTGTGTATAAAAGAAAAGCTAAAAATTGTAATATTAGTGAAATATTTTGTTTGCAATCAAGAAATGGAACAGCAACAATGTCCTATTTGTATGCTGTTTTTATTGCCTGGGATGAATCTTCAGGATCATCTCGATACACATCCAAAAGACATGATTATCAAAGCACTTTTGTCATCGTCTAAACCTGAACCTGTAAAATCAGAAAGCAATGAAAATTCTGCGACTGTTTTCCTTACAACCTCGGCACCTTTTCATCCCCAGCAAACTCAAATTTATCAAGATCAACAACATCTACATCATCATCCTCATCATCAGCAACAACAACAACAACAACAACAACCACTGCAAAATAATTTCACTTTAGCAAAACGTAATTCATTAAACAACAGTAACAATAATAGTAATCATTATAATAATAATAATAATAATAACATCAACAACACAGTGTTATTAAATAATCGTCCATATCGATTAACACTCGATCCACCTCAAACGGTCACAGCATCACCACAACCATCAACCTCGACCTTCCTCAACTCAAATGGAAATTATGGAACGCGTCCTTCAACTAACAACAATAGCAATGGAGAGATTTTTGATAACAAAGGACAAGCTTTTCGATGTATACAAAATACGGAACAGAAGAATATCATGATTGTTAATACAAGTAGTACACAATTCATTCAACAAACACTCCCGGTAAAGAAGCAACAATCAACAGCAATTGAACTTCATCCTGTCTTTATCGATAGCAATGGAATGCCAATAAATTCAAATTCAGTTCCAAATGCAATATCAATTATTCCACGATATACAAGTGAGAAGTATTCAGGTCCACCGCCTTCGTATAGTACAGCCATCTCATCCGTTACCAACACAATAAATGATAAGCCGCGAGTCATTGATCTCACACAAACACCCACAACATCAACTATGAAAATGATGGAGAAGGCGAATAGCTGTAATAATAACAAAAATAGTCGAATGACGACGACGACCTTGAGTGGCAACGGCGCAGAGGAGAATCGCCATTTAATGATAGCAACACCACAAAAGATTTTACAATATACGCAAACAGAGAATGGCGATTTTATGATAACAGAAAAAATAATGTCACCACAACAGCAGCAGCGATCATCTTCATTGCATAAAAAGGATTCAAACGGAAAAAGTAATAATAATGATTACACGATAAAGTTTCTTGATGTTGATAATCAAATCACATTTGACATAACAGGTGACGAGGAAGATGAAAATAAATTTCAACAGCATGAAGAAAATGGAAATGAAAATCAACAGCAACAACATCAACAACAAGAATTTGAGATTGAGGAAAGTGAATTGATGATGATGAATCATGAAGAAAAAGATGAAAGTCGAAATGATATTGGTGATGAAAGTGAAAGGGAATTATCGTACGCCTCAACATCGTTGACGTTGACCAAGGATACTGGCGTTAAGGTTTTAAGCGACGTTAAATTGACGTCATCCGAAATGTTATCGCCCACTATTAAGGATATTATTCAGCAGTATAACAACCACAACGAAAGCATAAAAAAAGAGGAAGAAGTTTCATATGAGAACGAAAACGTGACAAGAGAAGATGATAACGACGATATATGCCCAGCAGTTGTTGATGATCATTTTCAATTGATTAAAGGCACTGAGAATATGAGTGTAAATAAGAGAGAAAAAGATGAAGAAGCTTCATCGTCATCATCAACTTCTAAAATTGCCAATACTACTGCTGCCGCTTGTACAAGTGTCATTCGAAAAACAATATCAGAAAGTGAAACCTCTTCGTCGGAGAAAGGAGAACCGCAGCCAAGTACATCGGGATGTGTTGTAAGCAAACCTAATGTTGTGTTCAATGTGAATTCTATAAATTCTAGACTGAAAATTAATAATAATAAACAACCAAAAAAACTTATCGTGAAGCTTAAAAAGCCTTTGATACCAGCAGATGAAGCTTCAAAGGCAGTTTCAGTAGTGCATGATGTTGCAATAAAAGATGAAATGAATTGTCAAGATGCAGTGATTGTGGCAAAAGAAATTAAAACAAAAGAAGAAAATGAAAAGGAAAAGAAACCAACAGTTTCGTGCAAAATGGAAGTTGAAGAACATTATGATATTTTCTTTCTTGATCAGCATGATTATGGACATAATAGTAATAATAATAACAACCCAACAACATCAACATCTGCATCAACGCCAGCAACAATCACAACATCAGAAATTCCAGCCGAAATTCAGAATCACGATTCAGAGACAAATCAGTCATTAATGAGTATGGATTTGGAAACTGAAAATATAAACAGTAATAATATGAAGCAAGAACAAAATAAAGACGATTACCCAATCATTATTAAAACAGAGCATAATGCATCATCATCATCATCGTCTTCGTCGTCGTCATCATCATCATTAGTGACTTCAACATTGAGTAATCAAAGTTCATGTTCAAACTCAATTCCTGGACCATCACGATTAACAATTGAAAGTGTTTCATCAGTAAATGATAACAACACTTCACCATTAAATTTCCTTTATCAAAATGATCGTGTTCGCTTCTCCCCACCACTTTCACCGTATGTTTATCTGAAGACCTTTTCATCAACCCAACAGAACTGTGAAGAAATTCCAAAGCAAGAAGGAGAAATAATGTCATGGAATGGAAGTAGCAGTAACAATGTTGTGTCATCAATTCAAAATTCTGATCACAATAACTCATCATTATGTTCGCGATATACGCCTTCATTTGATGATAATCGAAGTAATTATACTGATCTGGACGGTGGAAATAATAAAACAAATTCAAGTGTTGGTGATATTCATCATATTCGTGCTCCATCAACTGATAGTCTTAATATAAGAACAGACGAAAAAATGCCAGCACGTGGCGAGATAAGTGAACAAGAAAGTAATGGCGAGATTGAGCAGCCGTGGCATCATCCGGTAAGATAGAAAACTTTTTATTTACACGTTTATTTATTTATGTTGAATAATTTCTTTTTTTAGTACTTTCAACTACAAGCTTATCCAAGCTCTTATGATATAAGCACAGCACAAGAGTGCTGGAATCTCTCAAAAGCTGATAGTCAAAATGCATGCGATTCTAATAACATTCAGAATGTGATAATCAATTTGTGAGTACGATTCTTCCTTCCTTATTTTCATTCCTTTTTTCTGTTGTGAAGTAGAAATGTTTCTCAGAGAGTCCCAATAATTATCAGTAAAAAATGTAATTTCTCAGAGAACTAAAATAATTATCTTGTATCCTTTAATTGACCTTAGGATTCACTATATAAACACTTGCTTTATAATATTAACTCTCTTCCGACAAATTTATAAATTAAACCAGAAATTCGAGAAATATTAAATACCATCTTCAACGAGTGCTTTTTCAATATTTAAAATTTTCCATGTTCATTTCATGAATATTAAAATGAATTTCGTTATTTTCTTTAGTCCTCCATTGAATGCACAAAGTGATGACGTTAAAACTCCTGATTTATTGAAAACAATCATGCAAACAGTAACGAAACAAGAACCGACAGGAATTGATGATGAAGCAAGTGGAAGTAACAGTAATTTAATTGTGAAACGTAATCGCACATTTCGATGTCCCGAATGTTCGAAATCTTTCATAAAATTACGTGCAAGAAATCGTCACATTGAACAAGTCCATCCGCATTTGAAGAGAACAAAAAAGAAGAAGACTGCACCAACATCAACACAGACGAGTAAGTCGGAAGTGACGTCAGTGTTTGCATCGTCATCATCAGCACTTGTGAATTGGGCAGCAGCTTCATCAACAATCACGACAACAACACAAGAAGAGAAAGACATTAAAGTTCTCAGCATCATTAAGAATGAGCCGTCGACATCTGCTGCTGTTTTGGTTAAAAATGAAATGAATCGAATGTTGATAAGCACAACAGGTTCAATAAAATTGGAAATGGATCGTTTACTTCTCGAACCGTCAACATCATCAACAGCAACCAAAGCACAATTGTCACAATTAGGATTGAAAATTAAGAGAACTTATATGTGTGCGAAATGTTGTGAACAGTTTAGAACATTGAAGCTTCTTGATAAGCATTTTCAAATTCATCCAGCTGAATGTACATTATGTCAAAAGACTTTCAATAGTTGGAACACATTCTCACTTCATCTCAAGCATCATCTCAACATTCGTGCTCATGCTTGTCGCTTTTGTCCAAAGCGCTTTGTACAACGTCAACGTTTGGTTGAACATGAACGTGTTCATACCGGTTCGATGCCAATAAAATGTCCATTATGTGATGAAAGATTTCGACGATATTCCAACATGCTTCATCATCGTTCTCGAATTCATTTGAATAAGAAAATGAAACAAGAAGATTTTGTTTGTGATTGTGGTGAGATTTTCCAAACAAAAGCCAAACTTCGATGGCATCAAGAGACTCATGAGAATAAACCAAAACCATGTCCTTATTGTCGTGAACGTTTTACACATCGAAATTCACTAACAAGACATATTCGTTTGTCACATTCAGAGAAATATGTTTTTTCGAAGAGTAAAGCTGTAAAATGTCCGATTTGTAACTCAACTTACTTGCCGTCAAGTATTAAAGCTCATATGGCAACGCATCAGATTTCCAACAAAGAATATTCATGTTCCATCTGCAGCAAACAATTTAGCACGAAATGGAATCTGAAGCAACATTATTGGACACATGCCAATCGAAGCACGAAACCTTTTCAATGTAACGTATGTCCGAGTGCTTTTGTACGTGAAACTGACTACACAACACATATGAATGCCCATCGTTCAATTAAACCGTAAGAGGAATCACAAATTCTTTTCCCTTCTTGACTTGCGCTAACACAGAAACAAAAAATGTTTGTTTTCCTTCTTCTTTTAGATTTACGTGCAACACGTGTGGAAAGCGATTTGTAAGAAAATACAACTGGTTGCGTCATTCACGGGAGCATGAACGTGAGAAGAAGTTTGTTTGTGAAATATGCAATAAGAAATTCCATCGAGCTTACTATTTGACCGAGCATAAGAGAGTTCATACAGGTGAGGATAAAAAATTTTATTGTGACTTTGCGATTCTTAAATTTTAAATTTATTTAGGTGAGCGCCCATTCTCATGTACAATATGTGGTAAGACTTCAGCGACAAAGACGAACCATAATAAACATATAAAAATTCATCATGCAAGAGATCCACTAACAGCTGAAGGCTAAGAAAAATAATTTTTTGTTGACAAAGATTCATCTCAGTAACAAATAGCTTAAAGAAGTTTGTTTAATTATCTTTGTTTTTGTAAAAAAACGATTATGGGGACGAAACATTGAAGATAAAAGCATCACAATTAAAAGTTGTAAGAGTGGGAAGGAAGTTTTTAATACGCGCTAGAAGAACACTTAGGAGTTAAAATTTTACTGCTTTAATATTGAAATAATATGAATAAGAATTTCACGATTATCTAAGGATTTAATTAATTATTTTAAAAATAATCATATTCTAACAATAATGTGCAATAGATAGGAATTGTAATTATAATTTCTCAAATTACCTACATCTTTCCATCATCAAATTTTCATAGAATTACGCAGTAGTTGGATAAGTTTTTCGCATGATTATGAGTATGAAGATGACCTAAATACTTATGACGACGCAATTTCTTGATGAAATGAAGAAATCTAACGTATCTAAATAATAAAATTAAATCAAATCCCAATGTTTTTGTTCTAATATTGTCCTGAAACAGAGGAAGAATTATTTATTTATTTTTTTTCGAAGAAAAGATTTTGTTGGCTAGACACAATTATTTAATTACTGAATTAATTGATCAGTTAATTATCATCTAATAGTTAGTATATTGATTATTGCTTAAGTTTCGTTTTAACTTTAAGATAAAACAAATATTTTTCTTCAAACTTTTTACAGTGTGATGTCATTTCTTTTTTTGAATTATCATGGTACTTTAAATTTGTTTTGAAATGAGAGGAAAGTAAGGAAAAAGAAAATTTCATGCTCATGCGAAAATCATAACATGTTTTGCTATAACGTAGATGGATAAACATAAAATCTTATTGATAATAATGTTCTTGTCTATGAGTAAAATTAATTTAAATAAAAATTTCAAATGAGAATTAATTAAAAAAATGAGTTTTTAGATATTAAAATATTTTCAGAGTGTCATAATCCAGGAAATTAGAAATTAAAAACATTTTCAGAATCTTATAAGAAAAGTTAATTTTTGTAACAGCTTTAAACAGCTGTTTTTTAAATTTCAAAAATGATCATCAATCGATATAATTTTCCTTGTTTATGAAATGTTTCATTCAATTTCAACAACATTAGTTTCATTTCATTTATTGCAAATTAAGAACAGGTGAAATTTAATTAAAAAAACAATCAATTTGCGAACCTAGTTTTGAGAAAAAGTTGATAAGAAGAAATTTCCTTTTTTATAACGCAGCACAAGCTAGTAGCAAACATAAATTGTTCGATTTTTTTCTTTTCCAGATTAATATATTTTTTCGCCTTTAATACCACTAGATTATCTACAACTGATAAGAAGTGATAATGGCAAACAGTGACGGAAGCAGTGATGAGTTTTTTGAATGCGAGAGTCCATCGAAGTTGTCAATTCAGTAAGTTTTAATTTTGTTATCTTTATTTGGAAATATTAAAGAAGAAAATTTGTCTTATCATTGCGACCATCGTCGAGAAACTTATCAGTACCATATAAACATTCCACAATACCTTGCACAAATCGATAAAACACACGACTATCATTATTTATCAAATATCAATGAAAAATTACAGACGAAGTAAAGAAAATCCTTTCGATTGGAATAATTCAACTTCGCCCAACATCAGTAATTCAGCAAAAGCAGAGATCCTGGAAATTCAAAGACAACATGAAATACAGGAACCAACTAAAGGCGATTTTAAGTTCGCCGAGCCAAGGGTAAGTGACTCATACTTAATAATCTAAATCAGTCATAAAACAAGTTCATTTGTGTAATGTCGCTGGATGATGTAAACATTTTTGCATGAGAGAAAAGAAAAAAATCACTGTGTGTGCGATGAAAGAAAAAGAAACACCAAAATCATGACCCAATCAATTGATTTTAATTTTTGGCTCTTCGAATTAAATGAAAACTTGTATACTTTTGATGTAGACGCATAGACAGCGCTTTAAAGAATTAAAGTCGTGCATGAATGATGACGATGACGCTACAATTAATGATTCGCAGGTAGAATTATCGCTAGTGTAGTTAAAATGAATTATTTCATGATTTAAATATGATTAAACTTTCCAACAGGATCCATCAAACAGTTCATCAAAAAGCGTCGATGCTGCATCACGAAACACTGTTCAATCCTCTCATCCGTTCCGTGTGATTGACAATGACGGATTGTCGATTCATTCAATGCAATCGTTAGGACGTGTTGGACGAATATTGTCTGGAAGTCTCGATCCAGCAGCTATGAATGTCACTAAAGAAACGCAACAAGCACAAAAAGATTCACCAAATCAATTGTCGAGTGGACAAAAGTCAGATTCAAATCAAACATTGGAAGCTTCTATCTCACAAAAGCCTGAAGACACTCAATCACAAAACAGCAATTATTCATTAACAATTCATCCACATACAATCTTACAAGAACCTGATGTGATTGCAAGCACAAAATTAGCACACTCAATGACAACTGACAGTGTAAGTTCTTCTCTTCCGTGCTGGAATCATCTTTTAATGTTAAGAATATCATTTTCAGATAACATCAGCTGGTTCTGGTATTCCAATAGCACCACCACGTCGTAAGCGTCGTGACAAAAGTCGAAAAGCATCTTCATCATCAGAGCATCAAACAATAATTTCTGCTGCAATTCCAAAACTTATTTCCATGGATAAAATAAACGATGAACTTCATAAATCATCGACGACGACAACAACAAACAGTCACACTTCATCAATGACTACAAGCACAATCGTTGTCAGTAATGCTTCTTCGGAATTAAAGCCAGAAGAGACATTGAGTGATGAAATTCTTCCTAGTCCGGCGACTCTTTACGCCATAACGAAAGAAATTGAAAATTCTTTTAAAGAATCGTCTTCCATTGAGTCACCGACAAGTGCTGGTGCAACAACATTAGGATCGCCATCAATTGCATCAAGATTCACATTTAGTGGATCTCTTAATAAAATTCCATCAACACAACAACATCAACAACATTCTTATCAAACTCATAAAGGAAGTCCATCAAATAGTGTCAAGAGCAACTCAGCTCCGGGACGTGTCAGTTCAATGGATCCACACTTTACTATGAGTATTCATAAAGTGACACAAGGAAACTTCTGTGTTCGTCCCCAAGATGAATTAAACAATAAAGCGCCGACAGCTCAAGACGACACAAGAAAACGATCAACAACAACAATGGAAGATATTGAGCGACTTCATCAGATTCGTTCGGAAGTTGTTGAACATAAAACTGGCGAACGACTACTAAAATGTCTTGGAACGAATAGTTTAGGGAATGACACACGTTATCGTCCTGAATCTATTCAAGAATCATCAAAAGAACGACGAAGGTCAGCTGGTGATGAAGACATGTTTAAACAGACAAATGTTAGCGTTCGAATGCGAACAGATTCGGGAAAACATTTGAGTGATCGCGAGATTCTTGAGCAAGTGCCGGTAAAAAATCTTGACACTGGTGAGAACTTCCCTTTATCAGTTGCTGATGAGAAGGCTGAACAGTGCATAAATCCATTGTCACTTTACATCATGCAATATGCTTCACATATAAGAGAATCTGACGAGGAATCAATCGGTGGGATGACGATTGGCTCTGAAATACCACCCGGCGATGAAGAAGAGAACGAAGAAGAGGAAGAAGGAAGATTGAAGAGAAAGACGGCAAGAATAAAGAAATTCTTTAAGACAACAGCACAGAAAGCAGCAAGTAAAGCAAAATCAATTGCTTCGGAAGTGTCACATGCAAGACATAAAGAAGACATCGCTGAGATCGTCGATGTCGCTAATCCTGATCAATGCATAAAGATTAAAGCAAGTAAAACAAATACGGGACCTTATGAGTTCTCGAAACTTCAACATGTTCAAGATTTGTCAGGTGAATTAACTGGCGCTGTTTGGTGCATGAAGTTTTCGCCATGTGGTCGTCTTCTAGCAACAGCTGGTCAAGATCGTTTGCTTCGTATTTGGGTGTTGAAGGATGCTTATCATTATTTCGAAGAATTAATAAAAAAATTCAATGCTGATCAGAAATCATCGCCAACACCGTCACAAGAGTCGCTTGTATCGCATCAATCGTTCGAAGAATCAGCACAAATACTTCAAGCTGTTGCTAGCACTTCCGGTCCTTTTGTGCCATTACCTTATCGAACTTATTCGGGACATACATCAGACTTACTTGATGTTAGTTGGAGTAAATCTCATTTTGTGTTGTCAAGTTCAATGGATAAGACCGTGAGATTGTGGCATATATCGAGGAAGGAATGTTTATGTTGTTTTCAACATCTTGAATTTGTTACGGCAATTGCTTTTCATCCTCAAGACGATAGTTTCTTTCTTAGTGGATCACTTGACGGACGTTTACGTCTTTGGAATATTCCAAATAAGAAAGTTTTCTTATGGAATGAAGTTGACGGTCGACGTCAGTTGATAACAGCTGTTAACTTTTGCCAAAATGGAAAATTTGCTGTTGTTGGAACATATGACGGTCGTTGTTTGTTTTACAATACAGAACAACTGAAATATCATACACAAATTCATGTGAGATCGACACGTGGCAAGAATGCAACAGGAAGGAAGATTACTGGAATTGAACCGATGCCTAATGAAGACAAAATTCTTGTGACATCAAACGATAGTCGAATTCGTTTGTATGACTTAAGAGACTTGAATTTAAGCTGCAAATACAAAGGATACGTCAATGATTCGCAACAGATTAAAGCGTCGTTTAGTCATGATGGAAAGTACATCGTAAGTGGATCAGAGAATCAAAGTATTTATATTTGGAAGACACATCATGATTATGCAAAGCTTAGCTCCGTTCGTCGTGATCGAAGCGACTTCTGGGAAGGAATTAAAGCCCACAATGCCACTGTTACATGTGCAATATTTTCACCACATCCAGAGACGATAATCAAACCAGAAATTGATAACGAGATTGGTGAGAAAGAGAAAGTTGATCCATTAGTGGAACAGCGAACGAAAGGGTGTGGTGGCTATGTGCTTGTCAGTGTTGACTTTACTGGTTGCATTAAAGTTTTTATTAACAAAACTAAGCCAAAGCACTCGAGTTTGCCGTACACAGCACTTGATTGATGGAAGGCTGAACGTCGACGAAGCAGAATGAATGATTATGATTAACACCTTTGAAACTTTTAGAGAAATGAATCTAAGATTCCATGTCTTGCCGATTAAAAATTCAAAATTTGCCTTGATTTATGTCATGACCTTTTTTGTCACCAGAAAGTTTGATTTTAATTTGTGGAAATTTGTGTTATTTAGATGTTTAATTTGTCGTGTGAAATTAATATTTCATGTGTTACTAGGTACATTTTTAATAGGCGAATAGCTGTCATTGACCATAATGTTTGCCATCAATTTTAATAGATTAAAGAGATGAAATAAAAACTAGAAATTTATTGAAGAATTTGTTTTTCTATACAATTTTTCTATTAAGTTATGAAAATCATAAAATGTCATCGTCATTATCATCAAAGTTTTAATTCAACAGTGTCAAGACGTTAAAAATGAATGAAAAAGCTGCAAGATCTGCTGGCATGCAAGTTGAAATGGTTCCTGAAATATGAAATATAAATATGACTTTGGCTGCTGCTAACATTCTTTCATTGATAGGTTGCGATGAAGACAACTTTTCAAAAAAAATATTTTCAGATAAAACGCCAAAAAATGCGTTTACTAATTTTTATCTTTATTTTCCATTTTAAAAGTTCTGAAGCGATTTCAGCTTTTAAAGAAACTGATTCAAAGTTGTAACTTTAAAATTTTCAACGCCAAATTTATATTCACAATTTGGATTCTTGATATTGACTTGTAACACTTGAATTGGCTCAAACTGCATAAATCCATTCTTTGACATTCTGTATCTTTTGATAACATCGTGAACAAATTTAACGGAAATGAAAAGTGCTGGTTTTTCAATTTTTACATCTAGAGAAATTCTATGTTCTCCATTTTCACATCGATTTGTTGTGATTTGAAGTTTCACTTTTGGATCGCCAATCAACTTCAATGTCTTGAATTTTCCAGGAAAAACTGGACTTGAAGCGACAAGTCGTTTATCAGTATCGTCAATGAGTTTATAAAGAACGAAGTTTTCATTAATGTTTAACCCTTTGTCAGTGAAATACTTCTCGACGTCAATCTCGGTAACCAAAGTCACTGCATTTGGTGTCATATTGAAAGGATGACTTTCTGCAAGAATGGATTCAAATTCATTCCATTTATAAATTCTCATTTGCACTGTCATTGGCTTAACATCAGTATTAATTTCATCGCTTACAGCAAAAACGTTTAGTTTGTTCAATAAACCAAGTTGTGTGATTAAAGTTTGAGGTGCAAAAATGTCTTTAATCCAATGATGAAGAATTTTAAAGTTTCCATTAAATTCAATACTCGACCATGATGGAGCAACCCAAACATCGTTCAACTGCCAAAAAAGTGCACCCATTGTATTCATAAAACTTCCACGACCAGCTCGATAAACTTCAGTTTCGGTTTTAATCGCCATCGCTTGCGATAATTGACTTAAGTATATTTTATCATCCCATGAAAGTGAATCAAATTTGACTAGCAAATTCTCTTCGACTAGAAAACTGATTGGTTTACTTTTCAATGGATGATGTTGACGATGATCAATAAGTTCAGTCAAGTTGTCATCTTTCCCTATGACTTCACTCCAACCAGAAGGAAAACTTTGAAAGCCATATTCAGATGCAAATCTAGGTTGATGATAATTCTTAGCTAACCAACCATTGTGATCATAAATGTAGAAATGAATGTCACCAAAATGTGGATCTTGTGGATCCAAACTTATTCCATATTTATCGCGATCTGCGTTGTAATCTCCATTTGATGGCGATGATGTTAAAACTTCTCTCGTTAGATCGTGTTTCTTAATCTCGTCAGTGATTGTGTTGACATAAAGCGTTCTATAATCCTGCGCAAATTCACTAAATCGACTATTAGTGCCATACCAATCTTGTCTTAATGCAACTTCGTTCTCATTATTTGTAGCATGAATAGCAATTGATGGATGATATTGAATTCTTCTCACATTTTGCTTAACTTCCGTTCTTACAGACTCGAGAAAATCTTCATCAGCTGGATACATTGCACAAGCAAACATGAAGTCTTGCCATAGAAGAATTCCATACTTGTCAGCAAGAGAATAAAAGTAGTCAGATTCATAAACACCCCCACCCCAAACACGCAACATATTCATGTTGGCATCACGTGCAGCTGAAAGTAGCTCTTTAATCCGACCTTGATCGTAACTTTTTTCCGGCAAAATGTGTGATGGAATCCAATTCGATCCTTTCATAAAAATTGGAATTCCATTGACTTTAAAGTAGAACGAAAGTCCACCGTTATCCATTTCTTCTTGTACAACTTCAATTGTTCTGAAGCCAATGCTGACTGTTTTCGAAGATGTTAGGAAATTTCTCTCGAAGTAAGCAACTTCATTGATTCTTTCATCTTCCCAACGCACTCGAAGTGTGTACATTTCTTGTTTGCCATAACCATTTGGCCACCAAAGTTTCACTGAACTCTTCAAAACTGTCATGTCAACCTCTACTGTGGCTTCGCCATTGTCATCGGTTATAACGTTTGTGAAATTTAGAACAAGTGACTCTTTGAATTCGCTATATCAAAATGATAGTTTAATTAAGTTACTGGTCTGATAAAATATCACTGAACTTACGTAAGATCAACAGCTAATATTCCAATAAATTCTGATGCTGTCGTTCCAGTTTCTAAATGAACAAACACCTTCAACATCCAAGCATCTTCATTGAGATCATTCATTTCAATTAGTTGATAAGTAACATCACGAATCAAAATTGAATCATAAAACTCGAGATCAACATTCTTCCAAAGACCCATTGAAGGTGCTGCTAATCCCCAATCCCATGCGAAGGAAGCTTGCATTTTACGAAGTAAATTTACGTGACATTCTCCATGGTACATTTCTGGTGGACATTTCGGTGGAATTTCATTCTCAAGAGAGTCGGCAATAATTTTGGCTCCTTCAACAGGCGATTGAAACTCGACAGTAAGTTGATTTGTTCCCTGTTAACAATTAATTAATTATTTTTTGGCAATTTAGATAAAAAGTAAACATTTGTTAGGAATTTATCTTACAACAATTAGAATTTGTTTGACATCGAATCGATATCTAATGAACATGTTGTTCGTTTCTCCAATAAGTTTCCCATTAAGATAAATTTCGGCTAATGTATCAATTCCATTAAAAGTTAATATCACAAAGTGGTGTTCAAGATCTATTTCTGTCATGTTGAACTCAAGATTATAAGTCCAATTCTCTAATGCTATCCAACGTAGATTAACATCGTTGAATGAGAAAAGAACTGATTCCGTTTCACCAGAGTTCTCCAGGTCACTATAAACACCACTAGGAATGGATATGTCGTTGACTTCAATACCTGAATTCGCCGAAACAAAATAATTATTTTTAATTAAATATATTCCTTCTCTTTCTATCTTTAATCAATCCTTACTTTTGTTCTCATTGGTTAACGTCCAACCGTCTCTTAGTGGAAATGAGATGGCTTGTGTTCCATGAAGAAGAAGATTTAGGCTTATCAGCCATAAAAATATAACTCTCATGTTTGCTATCGTTGAAAAGTGAAAATAATTTATTTTTATACTGTTTTGAAACACGTAATTAGTATAATCACTAATTATTTGACACTGAGTACGAAGTGTTACTTATCAATGAAATTAAACTCTTTTTATGACTTTAAGTAGTCTCAATTAGCCAGGCAATATTTCAAGTAATTAGTGATAAGAAATTTGCTGATATTTTCAGAAGTCAAATTAATTATTAATATCAGCAGATTGGCAATGATTTTTTGATTGAATGTAGGAAAAACCAGTTTTAATTGCTATTTTTTTTGGTTTTAGTCTTGACAATTGAAAGTAATTAATTGGATTGGTGATTAGTTGTAGTACTCACTATCTGTTTTAAATAAGTTTTGATTTATTTTTTGAAACTCTTATCTGACGCTGATGTCGTTCACGCTGTGATGAACTAATTTCAATAAAGCAAGAGAATTGTCTTTTATGGAATTGAACTATTCTTCTTTCTTTGCTCTGATTATTGTTTCATGAATTTTCTCTCACACACTTTTTATTACTGGAGCTCTTAACAAGAACGTTGCGATCAACACAAAAGCTAAAGCGTAACTAAAATGACTAAAATGAAATAAACAAAAAGAAAAAAAATGTTCACGATAACGACACTCAATTGCCATTGGCAGTTCTTATTCTTGAACTTTGAAGTGAGCCGAGACTGAGGGAAAAGAAAAGAACGAAGTAATAAATATGTTTGATTAAAATTTTTTAGGCTCTCCGCAATTCAAATTAAATAGGAAAATTATCAAACGCAACAGTAAACAATATGAAAATTTTTATTTCTTCTTTTTCCGTTACCTTGCACCTCTAAGACTTAGACTTTAAATGAAATTGCAAATATGATATAATTGTTATCTTACCATGATGACGATGACATCTTACCGATATTTTGGCAAACAATTTTCAAGATAATCATACAAAAATAAGTTCAAGTATCATCTGTCGTCATACACGTCAGTCTAGAGATAAAAGGAAACTGGCAATAAAAACTTCATCATACTTGAGCATTTCTTATCTTTTCTCATAAAAAGATATTTGTGATTTTTCTTCAAATCAATTGTATGACATCAATGAAAAAAGGAAGTAAATCTTTTAACTAGAACTCATACTTATCTTTCTGGAAACAAAGAAATTAAATAAAAATACTCGACATTTATCTATTTTCTTTGAAATATTTTTATTATCCTTCTTCCGCTCATTTTCTACGGATATTCAAGGAATCTTATATAGACAATGAATACTTGTTCCTTACTTTTGAGAACTTTAATATTCTTTCAATAATCAATTTATCAATTTATGTATGCTTGCATAAATGTCTTCTTACCACTAATTTTTTTTCTGTTTTTTTTATTACAATTTTCATTTGATTTTTTATGACTACTTTGCGAAAAAGCGAAAAGAAAATATTTTTCAATAGAATTTAATTGTTGTGAATAGAAAATCATGACTACGAAAAGGTTTTAATTCAGATAAAAATTCTCTTCATGCTTTGTTAATTGCGCAATTTAATGAACAGTTAAGTAAGACGATGAATAAGAATTTTTCCTGTTGGGATTAGAAAAAACTCGTTTAGATTTTCAATTATTAAATAATAATTTGAAGATTATTTACAGGGCTTACGATTAATTAATAAGACGTTGATAGAGAGTAGATATAAATTTTTTATGATCTTTGCAATTAAACTTAGAGCAAAATAAAAAGAAAATTTAATAAATTAGAAAAAATTCGTAGATTCATCATTCCGATGTTCTATTTTTGTTATTCATTCGAAACTTTTTTTATGGCACTAAATGTACAAAGAAAAAAATCAAAGCCAAGTTAATAAGATTACAATCTATCGATAACGTTATTTAGAGTTCAAGAGAAATGCATTCATTGTCGATACTGTGAAGTTATCACACTTTATCGTGTCGTTCGAGGAATTCGGAATTGTTTCTATTTATTTATTTTGGTCGATGAATTTCTTAAGAGCATGGCAAGTTACAAAATAATGAAAGAAAATGATGAGTATGATTGTCAAAAGATTGAGACAAGCACAGAAATGATTTTTTACTAACTTAATGTTAACAAAAAAGTTTTCTTCAGTCAATTATGATTTATGTATGTATGAAATCTTTTTTTCGTTTTAAATATAAAAACCTTAATTCAGGGAATGTTCGTTCGTTATTAAAATGTAATCCTTTGAGACTTCTTAAACAATATAAAGCCTGGGGATGTTAGTCATAGAACAACACAAGTTAGATAATCAAACAAAAACTTTTTCACATGTTAAGTCACAAGATGATTATAATAATTTTTCTTTTTGATTATTTAATGTTTTCATTCAATCTGTCAACGGTTAGTTATAAAGTGCAACTACTGGATAAATGGACCAAGAGAATATTTACATAAATATTATATTGAACAAAGCGCTTTGTTTTTATATTTTTCTTATATCAAAAATAGCAAAAGAAAATTTTACAATAATGGCGCAAACATATATTTGATTATGTTATGAGTAAGAAGAAAAGAAGCTTTAAGCGAATTTTATCAATTCTTAAATTTGTATCTAAATATCAATTTAATTCAATTCACTTTATGACGAAGACGACTGATGTGGTTCTGAGTACGTTGACGTGAGCCGATGTTAACGTGAGATAGTTCTTACGTTTTCACTACGTTTGAGTCACGACGTGTCACGACGTGTCACGTTTTGAGCGTAACATATTTTTATGTAAATAATATGAACATCTGATGTTAGTACGCCTAATGAGTAATCAAAACATCAGTTTACAGTTTCTCAATTTTTCAATTAAAACTGCAATTATTCTTTCATTACCGATAAAATGAATATAAAACTTTTTTTTCTTATGTTGTAAAAGAAAGAACAACTGACAGTATTCTCATATAACTTTTTAGAGAATATAATAAGAACTGTCTTATTCAGTAAATAATGATTCACTTAAGGTACAACATTTGTTTCCCTCGATGTGAATAATTTAACGAGACAAACGAAGAGTGTCTGGCTGTTAGTTTCTTTCTTCTCAATTCCATTTAACGTGTGCGTGTCGCTGATCTGAAATGAAAGAATGAAAAAGAAGACTTGTTAACACAAAAATTTACTTTCTTTGACAACGATTGTTATGGAAACCCGGTAAACTCTTAAAAATAACAAACTTTCTTATTTCGTAACTTCATGGCGGCAAATTTTTCTGCTAATCAATTTGAAAAAGAATTTCAAGCGAAAAGCTTGTGTAATTGGGAAGTTCCACATTGGTATCCAAAGCATCCCCGACAGCGAGAAGCATCAACCAGATTTATAGCAAATGATCGTGGGCATCTGCTTCCTAATGTTGAACGACCAAAGTCAAGTCCGTGGGGAAGGTTTAAGACTACTTGGCAACTTCCAAGAGTTATTACGAAACAAATTGCTGAAGAAATTCATGCTCCAGCTGTCGGATCGTCACGTTGGGCTATGCCGGATCCAAATCGAGCGATTATACGAAAAATGAAAGAAGTTGAAGCGACAATAAAGAAAGAGAAATGCGTGAAACTTGAGGTAAACGAAGAAAAACTTCCAGATAAAATGAAGGAAATTCGAGAAGTACCAAAAGAAGTGAAAACAGAAACAACGTCAAAGAAAAGTTTCAATGAAAAGGAAAAACTTAACAACCCATTAGCGATTGCCAAACAAGGACGTCGTTCAATCCGACATGAAACTTTAGAACGTGACAACGACGAACATTAATTTAAAAATAAAATAAATTAATACTGACCTAACTGGAAGTGTTTTCTTTGGTGTAGTGTGATGTTTATTTGGCGTTCTTGGGATTCCAGTTGTGGGTGATGTGATGGTTTGGTTTGTTGGAGTTGTTGTGTACTTTTTCGGTGCCATCATTTTACTTGGCGAACGCAGTTGCTTTCCAATCTGAAGTTCAGGTGTTGTTCTGAAAGAAAAGTGTTTGTTTGTTAAATTAATTTTATTAAAATATTTAAATAAGTTAAACTTACTTTGAGTTTGGATAACTGACAGGTCTTGGAATCTTAGATTGAATCTTTGATAAGCCAGTTGGTGTATTTCCACCACTTTGCGTTTCCAGCAATGCTCTTTCTTCTTGATCTTTGCTCAATAATTCCCATTGAATTTGCAGCCTTTTAAATCGATTACTTTGAATCTTGTCTTGCTTCTCTTTCTCCAGCCTTTGTTGTTGCTTCTTATCCATCACTTTCACGCCAGAATTATTAACCATTTGCGACATTTGTGGTGAGTTTGGCGGAGTTGTGAACTTTTTATCATGATCAGGTGGTTGAAGATTCTTCATCGTCTTTTGTGGCGATGGATGATTGAATGAAACTTTTCTCGACGACAGAGCTTTGCTGACTTCATGTCTTAGTTTAGTTCTCTCAATTGGGGGCTCTTGTTGATGCCATTCTAGGATATTTGCAACTTCAGCATAATGCTTCAGTTCTGATTTAGGAATTGAGTTTAAGAAACTTTCAGCTCTGAGTCTTGCTTCAATATCTTGAAGATCCAAATCAGTGCCATTCTGTTGCCCATAATTGAGCTTATTCGACAGAGCTTTATTAAGTTCTAATTCCGTCATCAGTTGATTGAGATCCTTCTCAGCATCAAGCTGATTATCACGAGCTTTCATATAATTTGGGAGACGATTGGCAAAGTTTTTCGGTCCTCCAATATTATTGAAATATTCTTCCAATCCGTTTTGATAAAAGTTTGGTTCTTGCAATGATCTTCGCTTTTCCTGTTGAGTTTGTTGAGCTGGCAAAGGTGTGAACTGCTGTTGTGGACTCTTAGGTCGGTCCAACATACTGTAACGCTTCTGTTTCTGACCATTTGCCGATGAAACTCGAGTTGGAGTATTCGAAGTTGTATTTGTTCTTCTCAAGATTCCTTTTCGTCCAGTTGGTGGACGTTGTTCATGTCCCGTCATTTCCGGAACATTCTCGTATTGATATACAAACATATTCTTCATAACATCACTGCCTGATCCACCATTGATTATCACTTCCATTTCAGAATCTGTCAACATAGTTGACGAGCCACGATATCCACTACTTGGTGGTTGTGAACTTCCACCCGAACTCGAACTGTTCGCCGTTTGATTCTGAAGCAATTGATGACAGTCACAAGTCATTCCCAGATTTCTTCTGATTGGCGGTGACATACAGAAAAGCGGCTTTTGCGATGACATTGACGCTTCCATTGATGCAATTCGATTAACTTCAGGAACATTCTTCAAAAGTTTACGATAGTCACCTGGCAAGAGTGTAAGCAGTGACGTCCAATCTTGAACATGACCATATTGCGTTTCCTGAAGTTTATCAATATCCAAAGATTGTGGACGTCGTTTAAGTGGAACTGTTTTCTGTTGACGGACATTTAATGTTTGAGCCATTTTCATTTGACCTTGATAGCTTAATGGCGACATGATGATATCTTTTTGAAACTTCATTGGCTGATGATTGATAAACTCAAGATCGGGAAGAGCGTAGTTCGGATAAATCACATAAACTGGCGCTTGTTGTTGATCACCAAGTTTACTTAACTGTGACAAGAATGATGGTGGAACCATCTTCACATGATTCTGAGGTAATTTTTTCGTTTCACTTTGTGGCATTAACATCGTTGATGTTTGAATTGATTTTGTGATCATATCAATTGGTATCGTCGTGTTTGTCGTCGGAATTTTGCTTTTTTCAATGGCATCGTTTTTAAGGATTTGCGTGAGATTTTCCGATGTTCGACTGCCATCAGAATTGAAGCTTCTGCTTCCCCCACTGCTGCTGTTCGTATTGTTATTGTTCAGAACATTATACAATAACGGATTCTTTATCTGATTTCTGATGTTAAGTTGAGCATCTTTATAACTTCTTCGATGTGTCGGTGAATCGAAAATCTCACGATTAAAATCATTCGTTTTCTTTTCACCACTTCCATCCTCACTTTCATTAGTGGCATGAACATCAAGACTATCCATCTGATATTCAGCATCTTCTTCATGACGACTAAGTGTCGAACATTTACCCGAATCATTCATACTCTTCTTTCGTAATCGATTGAGACTTGAATTCGAGCCATTTCCAGGATGTTCAGTAGAGCTGTTTGTTGAGTCACTTGGCCAACATCCGGATGAAACATCCATGCATGTGTCTGATGAGCTGCTTTTTTGTTTGATAAACAACTTGACAAGATTAAACGATGGCGCGTTTGCAACCTTCTCGTTGTTACTTGTCGAATTATCATTCGGTGCTGGACTGTCAGAATCTGATGTCGTGATGGGAATCGCATACATTGGAAGCATCGTCTTATGCTTGCTTGCTGAATCAATTGACGATTGACTGCTGTTGGTTCCCACTTCGGACACATTTAATTGATTCTGCAATTGCAATTGTTGAGCTTGCAAAATTGCTTTCAAATTCGGCATACTCGAACTTTTACGTACAGCAGCACAATTGATGTGATGATGTGTACATGCAGTCATCGTATTATTGTTGTTATTGTTATTATTAATATTGTTGTTATTGTTGTTGCCCGATGGATATCTAAAAGATCAGATCATTGTGAAGTTAATAAAATTTCATGTCATTTGGTGAAGAATTTTTCATTCACCTACAGTCTCCACCCACACAAATACTTAATTTAAATAATAAATGTTCATTTACCTTTGAATATGATTAAAGTCACTGCTTTTCTTAAGTTGACTCCATGTTGTGAAGCCAGTATCTGATTGTGTCATGTCATTGTCGTTTGTCTTTTTATTGTTCAACATTTTGTCCATGTTCATTATATTATGCTTCAATTTACCATTTTCTGGGATATCTAAAAGTATTAAAAGAAAAAACATTTGAGAAAGTTTTCTTAAAGAAGTGACTAATTAATCTTACCATAATAGCTGTCATCCGAATACATGCAACTGCCTTCAAAAGCAATCGTGTAATTGTTTTTATTTGCTTGACATGTTAGAATAATGTCATCAGCATATCCATCCATATCCAAGGAATCAACACTTATGTGCGACTCTTTAACGGGCGAGAAGAGAATTTCTGATTTACATATTGAATTATCAAACTCAGCTTGATCTTTGAGTATTAGTTTCCTGGTGGGATTTGTTTGCTCATCTTGTTGAATATGAAGAAGTGAATGAATGTCTTCACTACGAAAGTTCTCCATGTCAACTTCAGCGAGATTCGCATCAAGATTCTTCGCCAGATCGTCGTAATATGAGAGTTCACCGATGCCATTGTAGCTTGCTGACAACGATGAAAGAATGCTATGATGTTGAACTCCATCTCGGTAACTGAAATTCATAAGCCACGCCATTAAAACTTATTCTTAAATGTTGATGATTAATAATAATGAGAATTGAAGTTGCAAAATATTTTAATAAAAAAAAAATCTATTGACACAAGTGTGAAGTCATGTCAAGTCATTAAAAATTGTCAGCTTACGAAACGAAACTTTCAGTTCATGAAAAGTTTTCAAACTTGTAACTTTGACAGACGAAATGGTTCACATAATATTATTAATTCAATATGCTGGCAGTGCGAGAACAAAATCATGGGCTGAATTTAAATGTAGTCGTGATTGTGTCAAATATATTTGTACGATGTATGAGGAAAACTTAAAAAAAGCAAATTCACATTTGCCTCAAATAACTTACGACATTTCTGATCTTTATAATTATATTGATGACGTAAGAAGAAGTTAGAGATAAGAAATATGAAATTGGCATTAACATTCTAATTCTTTTTTAAGCTTAAAGACATGAGTTGCATGATAAGTCGTGACGATAGTGACGAATATATCGCATACGATAAAGGATGGCTTAAAATGAAAATATTCTTCGTATTACGTAATGAAGTAAATGTTGAAGAAGAGTTCATTGATTAAATAGTAAAAAATAAAGCTGATCAAACTTACCCGTAATCGACAAACCATTGATAATCTGAGTTGTCATGTGTGAAGTCAGATGCAAACGAGCATCCTAACATGGATGCCGGTCCCATGTTGTTATTATTCGTATTATCACAATCCGCTGGACTTGTCGACATTCTCCTTAAATTTTGACAATGAAAATTTCGCTGATTATTGACGATAAATGCACCGTCAGTTGACGGTGGACTCTGCTCGCCAAATATATTCAAATATTGAAAACGATCCTGATAAGTCAAATCTTGTTTTGCCTGTTGATTCAAAAGTGCATTCTGAATATTGCTTAACACAATTTGTACGTTGCTTTTAAGAGCATCGTCACTAAGTGGATCGTTTAAATTTAGATGGAAGTCATTACTATTGATCCGAGCATTTTTTTGACGAGATGACAATGTCCTTGTTCGATTAAATGTCTGAGGACGATCATAATTGTTATTATTGTTGTTGTTGATGTAGTTTGTGTTGATTGACGACAATGGTTGCTTCAGCAATGACGGTTTCGGCCTAAAACCAGCCTGCTGATTAGGTTGATGCGTTAATGTTCCAGTTTTAATCAATTTATTCTTGACTGTTGCTGGTTGATTTGTGGAATAGTCGGTCATGCCACGATATGAATTAATTCCTAAAGAAGAAAAGAAAAAAAAATTAAAGAAGATGAAAAGATTTTCTTGTTGGTCTTCTAATCTAGACAGCAATATGATTTATCATCAACTTGAATGTGTCATAACATTCTTGCTTGATTTCAGATGTTAGATAAGCTCTGAGTTCATAACAAATTCATAATGTGAAATGCATTCGTTACGTGATGATAGTGGAACGAAGCATGAGTTGGCAAGTTTCATTTCACAGCCTATCGCTTGTTTGCTATTTTACTATTTTATCTCTCAAACGATTATTTAACTCATCAATTGAGTCCAAAGTCCGTCGTCTCGTTTTTTTTTATCGGCAAGTAAGTAACGTCGAAAATAGAATTTCAATAGAAAAGAAAGACAAAACTTTCTTGTTTGTCACTGAATTCGATGCAATGAAATGGTGAAAAATTAAAAATATTTAAATAAGTACAATTTAAGTACTTTTGTGTTATGAACTGACGCGACAGTTTAAGGTTGTCGAAAGTGTTTTCTCTTTTTTCTGTTTTTGCAAATTCGCAAGGTGACATTTTTGTTGTCTGATAATAAAATTTAGAAGACTGCAAATTGCGAAATTGAAAATTTGTGGTTAAAAAGTTCTGAGATAACTTTTCAATTAGCTTTTAAGAAGGTTCAACTTTATGGCCGTTTTTTATTATCTTTATTGTTTAATTAAAGAGAAAAATTAAGTTCCATTGTTTGCCATCATATCTGGAAAATTAAGTCAAATGAAAGTGTAAATTTATCTAAGATAGAAACCGCAATTTCCACAATTTATGCTTGGAAACACGCTGAGTTCGGAAACATAAATAAATGCTTAGTTACTTAGTCTTCGAATTGGTTTCGCTTTTCTGAAGGTTTGTTTGTTTCAAATTTCTTGAATGTTAATCAGAAAGCATCTGATAACTTTCAAGATTAATTGCACTTTCATTTCGGATTGCTTAAAAGGTTTTGATGTTTATCACTGCCCTTATTTCAATTAAGCAAGCTTAGCTTATTTAGTCGATTAAGCGTTGATGGAAACTTTCTTTTAGCGATTGGGAATATTTTAAATTATTGAGAGATTGTTTAAATCAGATGTTTAAATACGTGATTAAGATGGGAAGTATGCACTTAACAACAAAAAAATGTAACAACTGCCAATTAACACGATTAAAAAGTAATGAAGATTATTTCTATTGATTCATCACAATTCAAGTTTTCAAACCTTTAGTAAACTAATTTCTAGTCTCAACATGACTTCTCTTTCACTTTATCTTCTTTTTCCAGCAAAGTAACTACAAATTTATTTTTAAACTCACAACAGTGATCGACTTTATTTTTATTCATAAAGCATCGAGTTGGTCCGAAAAGAAACTATAAATCTTTACGCAGTTCATTATACCATCACACGTCGCATCATTAACAATTCAAATATGGAAGTTAAAGTCGAAAAAGCTTTCAAATTTCGAATTCGATTTATGTAACGTTCATCACATTCCATTGAGCGCATGTGTAGATAGCTACAACATACAAAACTTAATCTTATTTATGTTGTCTTCTCTTTGAGAAGAACGTGTGACGACATGAAGATTATAATCCACTTCTGACTAGTTTACGTGCTTCAATCGATGTTACACATGTCATCTGATTTAACCGTTTCACGTTCTGTTCTCTTTATAATTCTCACGAGGCAATTGCCTTCTCTTTTGATCAACATACAAAAGACTTCACTTCGCAGACACTACGACACAATTAATCATTCTACGATTTCCGCATATCGAGGTCGACGAAATGTTTTATTTATTGAATTTTAATATTTTTTCGGTTTCATTTCACATTTTTTCAGAAGAATTCATGGAGAAAAAAAAGTTTGTTAAAGCGAAAAATATTCCAAAAGGTGAGGTTTTACCTTTTCAACCGCAACAAATGAAATTCAGAGACAGACTGAAAGCTAATTCAATAATAGTATTTCATTTTTTGCTCTATGTGTGTGTGTATTGGGCCCATCATTGGTTGAGATGCCGCCAAGTTTTTATTTCTTCATTGTAGTTGTCAATGATGACAGAAAATTCTTCTTTGGGGCTATCAGGGATTCAAACTGAAGCAGGTACATCAATTTATTGTAGGTGGCACCCGACAAATCAATTAACTTCTCTTTTTATAACACTTTAAGTAGCACATTCAAATGTCTCTCACAGAAATCATAAACATTACTGTCGCCAATGACGAAGAAAACAATTGAAAAAGGAAATCGTAAAGATCAAGAATTAAATAGAAGTACAATGACTTTGTTGTTTAGTTTGCATATCATATGATCTCAATCAACCCACAATCGACCATTCTAATGAATATTCACAACGTAATTCGTGATGTTGAAGTGCGAAGCTATTAATTACGCAAACAATATCACCGAGTAGTTAATAAAATTAAAACATGAGTTGAAGGTTTTACTTATGGACATGCTAGCGAGTTGTATTGCTTCATTTACAACTTTAAATGGCATCCATGACTAATTTAGAAATCAAATTATCTTTCAAAGTTTTTGAAAACAAAATATTTAAAAGAAGGAAAATTCACCATCCCTGAAGGCATAAGTACATAACTGTTCGTTAATTTAATTTGTTGCCAAGTTGTTGCTTTTGAAGTAGTGCAAGATTAACAATAAACAATTTCTCTTCGAAGATGGGAATGAATGTGATGTGATTATTAATAAGTGAATTGTATTTGTATACTTGAATGTGTTAAATGAATTTAAAAATCTTGAAAGTATTTAAAATCAAGTCGAAGAACACATGCAAGTCTTTCATCTCAATTCAGCAATCAATCAGTGAGATGATGTTAATTAGAACAGCTTGCAACATGCGAACGATTTTCATTTCACCTTCCATTGTAATGGACAACAAAACCAAATCTTTGAAATATTTTTTCCCTTCATGAAGCTTCATCATGATTGAGATGATGATGTGTTGAGTATTTTTCTCATGAATGATCTCAGATTTTTCTATTTGGCAAATTTAAATAAATTCTTATTTTTTCAACAAAGACGAGGTTGCAAAAACTTAAATGTTATCACCCACGATTTTTAATTTTTTATTTCAAATATAAAAAGCAAACAAACAAAATTGTTGGTCAAGAGCAATGACAGTTTCAATTCAACTTTTTTGTAGGCAAATAAATATTTGCAACATGACTTACTTTAAGATTGTTGAACTACTTTAAAAGTACATTATGGTTTGATATTTCTATAGAAATTCGAATTCCTAAACAAGAAAAGTTCCATGACATAAAAACAGATTTTCTGTTAGTCATCTAAATAAAAATCTTAATCGACCTTTCATTATTACTATTGAAAAGCTCTTAATTTTGGTCGAATTTCAGCAAAGTTAATGGCAATGTAACTCCTCCCATGTACAAACATTTATTACATGATTTAAGATGGAGACTAAATACGATCACAGGTAGAATCAGTTTCATCAATTACCTGTCGCTTACAATAATCATTACAATAATGAATCAAAATTTAAAGGGTGAAAACAATGAAACGAAGTTGGTGTTAAATAAGAAGATTTCCAAGCTGCAGCTGTTGTTTTGTCAGTGTAAATATTTTTGTGGGATTAACGGGAGCATAAATGTCAAAGATCTTTTCAGATGCTAACCCTAGCGGTTGTAAGATTAACATGACAAATAACTGAAATTTCGTCTCTTCAAATATTCTTTTGTTTACGTTTACTTACAAAGCACCAGACATGGACAGACACCAATGGCAAGTTTCATAATCATTGATTTTTTTCGATGGTCAAAAATGTTGAATTTGGCTTCAATGATTGATAAAAATACAAACGCTTCACCATTCAATCATTTTAACAAATACGCAAAACTTCTCAAGGACGGTTTTTATTAATTGTATGAAAACATTGTTAAGGCTTCGTTGTTAATAACAAAAAAGAATAATTTTTTACCTGGCTTTTTGTGAAGAAATTCTTTCAACTGATCAACACATGACTGATCAATATCGTAGAAATAATTCATCGAACAGCGGCCGGAATCATTTTGCAATCCAAATTCCTCAATTTCATCAAACATTTCAAGTTTCTTATTCATATTATTTTGGAAATCAAAATTATTTTCTTTAGCGTCTCGAGCACTTTTGTTACGTGCCATTTTATTGTTGTTCGTGTACATTTCAATTAACTTCATAAAGCACACAATAAGCAGTACCAACATTTACCTACGACGCAGGCAAATCACTTTCATTCAAATCTATTTCTTGTTTTTCTTTTCACAACTTTCTTTTGTATGACGAACGAATCAAAATTTTATTGTTTTAATTTGTATGTATTTACAGCATAAACTTATTTTTGCTCTTTAATCACTTCGAAATATGACTTCATAAGCAAATCCACTTTAGCTGCTTTCATAACGATTTAACGTGTTTGTTTCTTTTATTCATGTAGAAACAAAATGTTTCCATTAATTGTTCATAATTTATCGTTAGTTAATAAGATTTAATAATTCCTGTCACTCTGTAATAGAAGAAGAAAAGATCGTTGGAGAAGCGAACGTTTTAAGATGTTTTATGCAACAATAGAACAGACCGGATGGTGGCAATTTCCCTTTTAAACGAAGCGTTTTTTAAATCTTTTTTTAGTTTCGTATGATATGAGCTCAGTTGATACAATGAAAGTTAAATGTGCTTGCGTCTTCCTATGCTTAATGTCAATCATAAACAAAGTTGATCGATAACCGGCAAAGCATTTCTTCGTTTTGTTTCATGTTACGGGAAAAGAAATTAACCAAAATATTTAAAGGTTTGAAAGAAAGTAAAAGTAGTTCCAGTTCAACTTGGTTTACATTCTTCTTCAAATCATTCACAGATGAAATTATCATTTCATGAACATTATTTGCGCAATAATTTTTGTTGCGCTTCACAGCTGTCGGATGATCAAAGCTTTGAAGTTGTTCAAATATTTAAAGCATAATCATTAAAGATTTCGTAACGATTTAAGATTGTAAACGATGCTCGAAACAATGAAAACTGTTTAAAATTACTGATCTATGTTACTTAATCGATTCGTTTTTGCTTTATTTGCAATGAAAGCAATAACTTCCAAAGAAATAAAATAGAAGTCATTTAATTTTGCTTTAAAACGAAATATGAAAATGCATTTAAAAGTTTACATGGACACTCGATTTTGGACTATTTCTTGCACGTTTATCAAGCGGTTGTAACATCACGACTGCGCGCTGTGAAAATCAATTTTACTTGGTCTCTAAAACTTTATGAATTTCGTTAAATATCTTTATTAGGTCAATTTAAATTCTTGTGGGATGAGAGACAACAGACAACGACCTTCGCGATTAATATTTTCGCACATTGAAAAATGGCAACCGCGGAATTTATTCCATTTTTGACCTTCTCTCCGCCTTATCAGTCTCAGTTGAATGAATTATCACATCGTCATGTTTATATAAAGTCTGAATCATTCGCTTCCAACTTAACGGACTAATTTCAAATGAATTAATATAAGCAATTTCCTTCGGTGAATTGTGGATGAATGTGCGTTGATATTATGGTAACATAATCACTTCCTGACTGCAATCTATCAATTCACATGTCGACATATTAATTATACATAACTATCTAACCTAACCACAGCAAAGTAGATTGAATGTACAGTTAATTGATGAAAAATCTTCTACTTAATTACTACAACGAGGAATTGCAAGTTTATCTATTGCCACAACTGAGCATAAAATAACTTTCACAGCATAGCTTTTCGTTTCTTTATTCATTTTTTGTTTATGCCTTCAGATGAACAACTTTCCATTTGTAAACTTAAGCAACGTAACAAATACATAATTAATATCGTCGCCAAATCTCCAAAATTGAGACAAATTATATCATAAATCTAATAATGTACGAGTATTCGAAAGCGATCACAATCTTTACATGAATTTCCGTTTATATTTCTCACAACTCAATTTTTTGAGTTATTTAAATATTTTTTCTTCACAGAGCGCTCACTTAGAACCGTTCACTACAAAATTCTCTCACACATTGATTCCGAACAGAGAAACATGGAAATGAGATCACTCACAACGCTATCCCGAAAAATAAAAAAGAAAGAATCAATGTTTGTGAGTTATCTAAAATAGAATATTAAGCTTGAATCGTGTTAGTGAGATTGACTTTTAACTTCGTGGTGGTGCAACGAACGAACGAACGAGTGTTTATACGATTCTTTTGAATTAATGCCAATTTAAATTAATTTAAATGCCTCTCGTTTCACATTTTGTAAATATTCTCGATGGACTTCAGCGAAAGCATAAAGCGAGAAATTTAAAATTAGAAAAAATACATTGGGATTGTTTGAAATGAACAAAAAAAATTATTTTCAAGTGTAAATGAATTAAGTTGGGATGTCAATGATGTAGTCGATACCTTGGGAGATCAGAGAAAACTTACTTTCATTCTACTTTGAATAATAAAAAGTGCTTGAATCATGAAACCAAACATTTATTTAAACGAAGACGTTTTTTATTTATCTATCTTATCGCTTCAACTTTAAAGTGTGTCGCCAACATCGTGAAATATTTATTCACATTTCTTTAAACGTGATTCGCTTTCATCTTCAGAGAAGAATTTCTCCGATGTTGCTTAGACTCAGACGTAAAAGGGCATCAGAAAGTTGAAAAACACGTTGAATCTAATCATTCACTGATTCTCATCAAACAACAACTTCTACTGTAAATATTGCTGTGAATGATTTCATGAAGCTATTTTTTATTGTGAAGTCAATTAAATTTAAATGCTTTTTTTCTCCACATTTGCTTATCAGTCATACGATTAATTTTTCCTGTCAGCACTAACTATGTGGTTGTGTTGGAGTTATTTGAGAACTATGCAGCGCATTCATGAAACTTAAGAGAATTTATATTCAGGGCAAAGTTTCAGTATCAAATTAGCATAAACCGGAGAAGAGAAACGACCAAATCTCACGTTCTCCTTTGTATAATTATGCAAGTGTTCAGCGCCCATCCCAACTTATTCCCATAATGGATCAATTTATGATTCCAAAGCATTTCATGCATAACACATTTATGAGCTTCAGCTTCCGCAATTATTAGTCGAATCGATGGATAGAAAAAGTTTCTTGGGAAAAACGTTAAATAGTTTGCGAAAACGAAGAAGATTGAAATCAATTTCGATACTTCTTCTTACCCTCTACACGTCAAGCAACGACATACTTTCAATTGTACCATCGCAGAATCACATCCATCATAAATGAGATCAAATGACTCTGTCACTGAAAGAACTTCCTTTTCAAATATTACTAAATGATCGATTTATTTTATATTCCATGTTGGATTCTAATTTCAGTGCAAAACGTGTTCTTTTTACAACTTGTCGTGAGTAAAATCAAAAGTTTTTTATCGATTTATTCGGTAAAATCAGATCCAGTTTAACAAGCTACAAAATGCAAAAATGTCGCGACATTTTCCTACACATTTTTTCTTGCGCAATTCAAGTGGCGTAGCGAAGGTTAAACAACAATAAATATTTAAAAATTTAATAACACGTCTTTTTAATTTTACAAAAAATATCATTCAATGCAAAATGAATGTGCAGGCTGACAACAACATGAAATTTAGAACAAGAAACAAATGCAATTGTTCTGACTAAATAAGTAAATTACTCATTTCTCCAAACTTTTTCGTTTTATTAAATGAATAAAAATAGAATTCACAATCACAATGAATACTTGGAAATGCGCAAAGTGCAAGTTTTATTAAAACTACAGTTTAATTGTATCAACAACATCAAGAATGTAAGTGAATTCATCTGGTGTTTGAAATACTTCAAATGTATGTAAGAAATATTCACTTCCTCGATTATAAGAAAAATAATGAAATTTGATAATTATTGAGACTTTTATAAATATCTAATGCTTTGTTAACATTTACAAAAACCATTTTCATAATTTTACTCCGATCAAAGCCGTTAACATACCCGCTATAAACATAAGAGAAATTCACTTGAAAACTATTTTCAATTCCACTCTTTTCATAAATTGTAAAGTGATACCACCACAAAGATCTCACATGCAAGGCATCATAATTAAAACGCAATTAAAAATAGACAAACATTAGAATTGAAATGTGATCATTTCTGAGATGCCTTTCTGATGTACATACTTGAAAATTTATGAAGCTTTCTCGTCTCCCTTAGGAATTCTATTTAATAAATCTTAATTGAATTCAGGGCGAGTGAATGTTCTCGTTTTTCTGGAAATGAATGATTCTTGAATGTGCCATGATGAGAAAAGTGTAATGAACTTCATTATTTAATCAACTTTCTTCCTTTTCCACACTTGCATCTCCTTAAAGATGATGGTGATTAAATTTCCTCCCTTAACGTGTCATTCGAGAATTTATTCTTCCATTTGTGATGTCATAAACATATCAAAAGATGTCGTTTTATTTCAAGAGGGATTCGTGAAAGTAACTTAAGTTNATTTAAGAAGAATCTTTTAATTTATTTCAAAATAAATATTCAAGTAGCGGAAGCGCAAAAAAGTAGCGCCGGAACCGTTTGCGCTACAAGTAGTATCACTTCCTCATTTTTTTTTTGCGCTACGTGGAAGTATCACATCCTCCAATTTTTTTTGCGCTACAAGTAGTATCACGTCCACCAAAATTTTTTGCGCTGGTGGAACCCAGATTCCTCCAAAGTAGCGCAAGACGTTCCTTGCCCATCTATGAATGTGCCATGATGAGAAAAGTGTAATGAACTTCATTATTTAATCAACTTTCTTCCTTTTCCACACTTGCATCTCCTAAAAGATGATGGTGATTAAATTTCCTCCCTTAACGACGTTAGGGTACGTATTCGAGAATTTATTCTTCCATTTGTGATGTCATAAACATATCAAAAGATGTCGTTTTATTTCAAGAGGGATTCGTGAAAGTAACTTAAGTTCAAAGGATTTATTAGTTTGACTTTGGAAAGATTCTGACCCGAATAAGTAAATAAACAATTTCAATGCTCACACCCTCGCATTACTTTCATGTTTTCTTCGATCTTATGAAATGCAACATTCGTAAAGACGGTATTTGTCATGTGTCATAAAAAAAGATTTTTTTCCCTTTTGTTGGGTTAGTTAGTAAAATTATGGATAGAAGATTCTCATCATCTGTTTCTCCATAACTATGATACGATTCAGAAGTAGATTTCCTTTAAATTTTGCCTTCAGACATCAGAAGCGGAACACAAAACATGTTTAATTACTCAAGTTTTAGTAATCTTTGTTAATTACCAAGCAACTTTACCATGGGAATTAACGTTGCATTAAGAACATCAATTGTCACGCCTCACACAATTTTCCCATCTGATTTAAAGTTTCACATTTCACCGCAAGATTCTGTCAACGCATCTCAATAGAAAAATTTATTGATCGTGCTCATAAAATTGTCATAATTTAGACTCTCCAGAATGAAAAATAACGAAAAGTTATTAACTTTTACGATCATCATCAATTTTCTTAGAAGACGAAAACGACAAGTTGGAGGAAGAATCGTCGTCTTGGTGATTGTTCTTTCAAATCATGAAATTGTTTTATCAAATTAGCGAATGTGAAGGAAGGTAAAATCAATACTAATAGTGACGGAGTTCTCTGGAGCGTGTTAGATTGCCACGCGACAGTTCCATGCTTACTACACGATCCTTAATGCGAGAAAGTATGTAAATTAGACCAGGCATTGAACAAAAATATATTTAGATAGCTCTGCAAAATAATAATTCATTGGGAAACAAAACATCTAGCTCTGCAATCCACACACGAAAAGCATTTAAGTAAGAAAATATCGATTCATTGCAAAAGTTTTGCAAAATCTAATTCACGAAACCTTTTAAGAAAGTCAAGGATAAATGACAAAGAAATTTTCGCTATTACATTCATTCTTGTGAGGTCGATAAATATCAATTTAGAAAATGGAAAATGTTTCTTGTTTCTACACTTTGTTCTTCTCAAATAGCAGTAGACATTCCTTCTCAATGTCATTTCTAAAACTTCTTTAATTGAAATAAATTACTTCGTCATTTTCACTTCAATCAGAACATTTACTAATAAGATTAACAATGGCAATTAGGTTTTAGGATTATTTAAGAATGTGATCAAGAGTTGAATGATTGAAATCAATCAGTGTTTGAATATTAATCAGGTATTGAAATTTTGAAGGATACATTTGAGAATGAAAAGTCAATGACAGTATTAACAAAAAAGAGACTGAGGTAGAAACGATTATCCGCCTACACATTGATCTTTAAGTTTAATTCCTTGATTCGTTTATTTCTTTACAAAAATTTCAAATTCAATTGCAAAGCAACTTCAAAGCTTCTCATTCATTGTTTAATTATAAATAAAGCTGATCAGCAAGATAAAAGTAGGTCTAAATATCATGATCTGTGTTTTTTCCGTTTGCACGTCGTTGAGTGTTTTAAAATTGGTGATTTAAGTTTTCTCTTGCAACTATCAATCGAATGATATCGTGTTGCGTCTGACTACAGTAGATTTCCGGTTTCTCGCAGGTAATTTCGCATAATTATCGACTTCGATTTTCCTTTCACATCACGCGAAACTTAACTATTCTCATAATATCTACGATTTCTTTTCACACATTTCAATCATTTCGATCGCAAATAATTTATTTATTAAAGCATAAGAATTTGCATAAAAATTTCTGTTCGCTTCTCCAAAGCTTTCAAATTTTTCCACTACACATATTTATTATTAAAATTTTCATGGAATTTTATTTCCGTTTTATCTTTCTAGTTATTTATTCATTTAAGAAACGAGAACGATGAAAAGTTTTCATCGAGAAGAAATGAAAAATATTTTCCACAATATATAAATAGATTTTCTTTCACATTTTTCACTTGATGAGATGAGGTCACTCGCGTTGGTTCTTCTTCCTTAAAATTTTTTATTCACAGAATCCAATCGTACGTTCTCAAACGCGATCCAAATTCGAACTGCCGAATTGAACAAATTTTTCAGGCATTGAGACAAGTTGTCGGGCGTTTCATGCTCTCGCTTTTTTCACGAACGCCTTCTTACTCTGTTTTCAAGCTGAACACTAACAACGATTATTATATTTTCGGTTTTATTTGTGAAGCCCGCGCTAAATCGAACATTTACTTCTTCAAATCTTTATGTTTCATTTGAAGACTTAAATTTATTCTTGTTGAAGATTGTTCTGCTCTGCATGAAACAACAAAAAACTAAAATAAAACGTCACACATGTTTTTTTAATTAAGACTGTTTTGTAACAGTCGCCTCTGACTATTTCCGATGTGTTGAAGAACAAAGAAAGAATTGATAGAGTGCGAGTGTGATGAGAGACGATCGCCGACAAACAGAACCGAACTTTTCTTTCTTTTTCCAAGAGAAAAGCAACAGATATGAACTGCACATCGGTTTGAGAAGTTTTCCGAACACAAAAGTTCGTGCAAGAGAGAAATTTTCCGATGAGTTTTCCAAGAAAACGAAAATTACTTTAAGCATTGAACACGGACAATCATAAAACTTTTTCGTCTATGAAAGTAAATTAAAGGAAACCTGTTTAATATCATATGTGATGCGCCAATTTTTCTTGCCAAACTTTTTTCTTCTTCGTCCTTTTGTCATTCGTCAAATGCCTTTTAGATGAACATAAACGAAAACAGATTCTAAAATTAGTCAGTGTAAACAAATGATAGCACATTTCTTAAACGCTTCGTTCTAAATTTTCGATTTATGAGCAGCTATGACAACATTAAAGTGTTCAAAAGATGTCGTAAAACCTCGTGGCGCGACATAAACTTACTTAAGAGTTATGATCACTAAAATGTGAAGATATTTTTATTACGTTTGAGCATTTTGTGACGATGATTCATTTTGTTTTTGTTTTACCAACGCAAAGCTTAAGATTCAAAGCATGAAATTGATTCTTTGCTTTTTCTCAGCAATATTTATTCAAATCAACGAAATTTACAACCATGACTTGAAATTTTCATATTATAAATTTAAGATATTTTCACCGTATTTACCACCATCTCAAACGTCAGTGTGAAAAATGCGGTGGAAATTAATTTTCCCCGAGAAGTGTAGAGTAGAAAATGTAATCAATTGCCGGTGATTAATGGAAATAGTTTACTTAAATGACGTCTTGACTTCATTGCAGTTAACTTGAATTTTTCGGGATTAATGTTCATGGTGCATTAATCCATAAAAATAATGTTTACTTATGTTCTCTAAAATTCAGCTCCTTTCACATTTGTTTATTTTAAAAGCTTAATTAAGGCAGCAAAGTATTTGATTATTGGCAATACCGTTAATCACATGTTTCATTAAGAATATTTTGAAAAAGTCTTAACTATTTTCTGATTACGGTTACTAACGGCCACTTAAGAAATGCCACAGATTGCCACACATTTCTGAGTTCGTTTTAAATATCGCATTGAGGTGACTCACGCTTGTTAACAAATGCTTAATAAGCATAAAATATGCAAATCCAGGCGATAGTAAATTAGAAGTAGAACGATTTCCCTTGAAAGAAATTCACTTCGTTCTATTAAATTAAAACTTCTGGTTTTAAACATATTTTACGAGGAGAAATTGCCGGCTTGCTTCTACCCCAAAGTTATCTACATCTTAACAGAAATAGAAACGCTATTTCAAAAGAAAAATGAACTTTACTATAAAAATCTGCACAACACTTTTATAGTCGTCGCTCACATTTCATGAAACGCTCCCCTAAAAAGTTCATACGGACTGAATTAAATTAAATTTCATATTACCGATCCCAGGTTTTCCCCAACATTTCTGTTTTTTCTTGTTTCCATTTTTATGATTCATCCAACATATCGATAGCATCAACCCCCAAAGCAATGGTGAAGGGAAGATATAAATGGGGTTGATATTTGTGCAATCTAATAGTGAAGTTGGTTTTCTCCCCTTCAATATACATTTTTTGACTTCTACAAAGTTGTCGGAATAAATAGCACGCAGAAGGAAATTATTTAATGGCAGTTGCAAAAGGGGAGATGATGGTGCTTCATACATAAATGAATGGATGAACACATGAGAGATTTCATTCGATTTGTGGACGATTCTACCCTTATTTGAATCGTCTCTTTTTATCTCACTTCTGCTACGCCCTTCATAAAATTCATTTCAATGTCAAGATTAGGTTTTCGAATTCGCTTACGCAACAACGAAACGGGGATTAAAGAAAAATGAGATCAATAGGCTAGCAATGTTTGAGAAGGTGACTAAGTGCAACAATCGGAAACGAACTATTATAATTAATTCATCCGACCTTGAAAGCGACATATTCATTAACAATTTTCGTTTTCCCATCGCATATTCAAACTTCCATTACGAAGAATGGTTGTAATTAAAATTAATTAAAGGAAAACACTTTCATCCATATGTTATTTTTACTGACAATGAGCCAGCATCGTGTTGATATTCATGTTTCAGTTTTTGTTTCATCTCACAAATGAATTCATTAAAACTTCTCAAACATTGAAACTTTGTTAGTAATATCGCTGAACAAGTTTCGTCTACAACTGAGTAATGAAAGATAAAAATTAAATTCTTACATAAAGAAATTAAAAAAGAAACACGAGAAGCATAAGAGAATCTCGCATTACAAGTTGTGCAGAGCGCATATCATTTTGATCATCAAACTAACCCTATTGTCTTCTTTTCATATCAGTTTCATTATAATTTTCCATGACAGGGAGAACGAGAACATTTTTTTTGCATGCAATACATACATACAAACAAAAACAAGACTGACGATCATAAAACATGCAAAACCATGGCATGAATGAAAAATTATTTGCTATTTGAGTTCAGCATTGAAACTTCTCATTATTTTACCGCAAGCTAAGAGACTTAAAGAACTTTTCCTTCCATCAGCAAGGCTTTCAAAGTCAGTTTTGAATTTTGATTCATTTAATAAGGAAGATAAAAACAAAAGCACAACAGCGCAAAAAGCTGACTAAAAAAGGGACCAAAACAAAAATAGAAGAAATTAACTCGTTTGAGTATTTAACAAAACAAAACTTTTGTATTTCATAGATTTTGTTTGTAAATTGTAAACTAATGGAAAGATATCGTGAGACTAAAAATAAATAAAGTAACTTAAATTTCCATAAAAAATTAAGCAGCCACAAATTTTAGCCTTGTAAGTTGTAATGACGTCACATGGTGAACTTCTCATCGCCGTTTTCAAGCTTCATGTAATCCTGATAGCAAAAGCTTTTTCTTGTGGAGCTTCGTAAAGCGCACAAGCCTTTTTGGAACGAGAAGCGAGAAAGAGAAAGGGAAGAAAGCCTAAAACGAAGCTTGAAAATATGAGAAGTAAAATTTCTGTGTGTCGAATTTTCGTGTTTCTGTTCTCGGTTCCTTTTGTTGTACACTTTTTTATTATCTAATAAAAGTTTTCCATACATTTGCTTCTATACATATTTTTTTCGCTATTGGAACTTTTTAACGAACGAGTGAAAATTGATCATGCGCTGTGAATCCGAACACAAAGCTAAAAAATTTTTCTTTCTTCCCTTTATGACATTTTTGCTTTTCTTTCAAATTGCTTGATAAACTTGACAAAAGTGAAGCAATCCTAAGACAGATTTATGAATGTTTTGAGTGGCCTTAAGTGAAATTTGGCACCATCTGGATTTCATCAGATATTACAAACAGCCAAATTCATTCTCAATATTTCTGTTCCATTCTCGCTGGAAAAGAATAAAACGTAAAGGAAGAAAACATGAATCGAAGAAGAAAATCGCCATTTTTCCGAAACAACTTTTGTTGTTGGAATTTCCGCTGATGATGTCATCATTGGTACTACGCTTGACGTCTTGTTTTTAATTCTGCTACGAATTAATGTCATAGTGACGACACCTGCACATCCCCGGCAACAATTTCTACATCCAACCAACCTATTTTCCCGTGTCTCCATTCAATTATTTTTAGAAGAGTCTCGGGAAGATGTAAAATATTCTTTTACATTTCATTTAAGTGGCTTTTTACATAAATGATCATTTTAATTTCGTTCTCAAGTTCCATTAACTATTCCATTTCCTTTAAAATGAAGTGTGTCTTTAATTAAAAATGCTTTACTAACAAATTTATTACAAACTTGCTGTTAATTTTCTTGATTGAAAATTGGAGTTTATCTTTGGGCCAGGCCAGGCCTTAAACAAGGTGCGTTTGAGAAATAAAAAGAAAACCTCCAAACAATAGCATGAGAATTGGGGAGCTTCCTGACATTACAATTGCATGCGTTGGCAAATAGAGTTATTTACAAGATTCATAATGTGACTCATACTCAATACGTATAATTTCAAAGTCTTTTGAAAAATGAAATCTTTTAAGATTGAGTCGAAATCTATCTGCATATATTTTTAGTTTTATTATTGACACACTGTTTAAAGATAAGAATTCAGATTTCGTAATAAATCTTTCATTTTATAACCACATTCCAATCACTGACAAAGTAAAATAGGCAGATAAGCGACGAGTTTTTTAAAGGCTTGAAAAAAACGCAATTGAAGACGTCACATGACAATTCTAAGACTCTTTGTTATGTGATTATTGTTCTTCCGTATTCGTTCTTTTTGAGATGAAATACCCCACTGTTTGGAGATGAAAAAATCAATAAAATGAAAAGGAAATCTCGGAGTGGTTTTTCCCGACAATCGAAAGCAATTTTATGTTTTCAGTCGATTGATCGATAATATAAGAAATTTAAACTATAATTAAATGTCAATTGGGTCATGAGAATCTGGATAGGCTGCGAAATTTGTTTTCAAACTATGATTCACAATTGTTGTACTATCAAAGGAAAATCGATAAACTTGAGGAAAAATTATGTTTTCCTTTTCCACCCACTCATGTCAAATAAATTTATCTAGATTTATGTTTTACATTTGTACTTACCACATTTTTTTTATAAATTTTGTATTCTCTGATGTTCCGAGAAATCCAATAATTGTAATCCACAATTGAGTAATTTAATAAAACTACTTAATTTCTTTCCTTGCCTTAGACCACTTTACACAGATTTTGATATTTCTATGATTTCACTTATAATTTTTTGAGTTTTTCAACACTCTCTTCATTTAAATTCAGTAAGTTCTGAATTAAAGTTGATCTCATCAGCAATTGATTGGATATTCCCAATTATTTTGATTTTTTTGTTCTCGGACACTGCACAATCTTTTTTAAAATTTGCGACTGAATTTGAGCCGAGCTTCTACGAATGATAGGTTGTGTGAACTTCAATGCGGGGAAAATCATTCAATTTGAAAATTTAATAGCCGTTAAATTTTCATTCAACATAAAATTTTCTTTATTTCTATTAATTGAATTATTATTAATCATTTTTTCCTGAAATAATTTTTCCTAAATCTTTTAATGAGACATTAGCACTGCCTCGTTCAAGTGGCTGAGGCTGCGATTCATGTTTCTTCCAAGCAATAAAATAAATTACTTGAAACGTTGCGTGAATTCCTTTTTCATCTGTCTCTGGATTCTTTTTTGGGTACATTTCATCATAAATGGCTGAAGCTGCTAGAAGAACATCTCGATTGATTCTGAGAGGACGATTAAAAGCAGCATTGCTCTCTCCCATAGCTTTCAAATCATGAAGAAGCTCAAACATACTTGGATATCCAATTGTCATCTCATCTGTGTCAATAGTGAGCATTGTAAAGCCAGAACGATTCAATAGAGCTCCAATATCACGTATTTTTGTAAATGGCGAAAGATGAGGAGCAAGTCCTCCTTGTCTTTCAGTTTCAGCTAATTGAAGTGAAGATCTCAGTTCATATAATGTTTCACCTCCAAACAAAGACGCCAGAAAGACTCCATCAGGCTTCAGAATATTATTTATTGCCTTGAATATACCAGGTAAGTCATTAAACCAATGTAGAGTAAGATTCGATATAACAAGATCGTGACTATTGTATGGAAGCTGAAAAGGTTTTCGAAATAGTTTCATATTGAATTTATTATAAAGCAAAAATAATTTACGTCTAAAATCTCTTTCTCAAGCAAATGCTTTTCAATATTTATTCCTGGTGTTCCATACGCTTGTTCAAGCATCGTTGGACTAATGTCATAAATCTTTAAATTTTTCACGGTTTCAGATAAAATATGTCTTGATAGATATCCTCGCCCACCACCCAAGTCAATTCCATTTTCAAATTCTTTCTTTATGTCAAACAAACGATCAGATAGACGAAAGCCGATCTCTTCTTTAACATAATCGTACGTTTCAGCATCATCTCTGGAAGTAAATACCTACATAGATGAAGGAGAATAAATCAATTGCATTTTTGGTAATATTTACCTTTTTGCCGATCTCTCTTTCTGAATTCTTTTCGTATTAAAAACATCGAATATATTTACATCGCCTGATTGACCAACATCTCCAATGAACCTCACACTGTTAACCGGTGAACAAGCAATTCTTTGAAATAGTTTTAAGCTAGCAAAACTCTTTATAACTAGCGACATTTTATTTTATTTGCTTCATCTATTTGCGAAAAATCAAAACAAACTTTCCAACGAAAAAAATTTCTGAACTGTCCCAATGTCAACAACCTGAAAGGGTTTCTGAACAGCTTCAGATTGATTTAAGAACAGTCCCTATAAATATCGCTTGAAGGCACTAAGCAAGTTTTTCATACAAAACAGATCCGAAAACCATTCGGTGCATGATTTTTCTCCGTGCATGATACAGAACTGTAATTAATGATTAAATCTAGAAAGCATGCGAATAGTTCAGCAATTAAAGAATAATTATTAAAAAACTCGGACAATTTCACTTGTCATGTAAAACAAGACCTTAAACACATAAGTTTTACGGGATAATTTAAAGAAATTATTTCCATTATCAAAGTAATCCAAAAAAAAGTCGTACAAAGTCCCATATTTAAAACTCCGGCCTAGGTTATAGAATTTCTAAACAAACTGTATTAGTAAAATTCTATCTCCAATAAGGGGCTGCAGCTCTATAAAAAAGGGGGCAGCTTTGTATATTGTTTAATCTTTTAAAAAAATAATTTAATTCAAACATATCTATATCATTTCAGTAACAAAAAATTTAAAAAAACGTCAATTTGACAACGAATTGCACTAGTTTTTAGATGGCCTTTGAATTTGAACGTTTTCTGACAATAGCAAATATATAGACGATAATTTAAAATAAAAATAATTTTTTTATAAACCTTTTTTTTTAAATTCAATAAAAATTACCAGAGCGCCCTTTGGAATGTCTATTAGGTAAAACGAATTCACAAATATGAATTATTATATTGTAACACGTTGTTCTAAATATTAAATAAAATGAAACTGGAAAAAAAATAAGCTTCAAAAAGACATTTTAATTTTTGGAGCATCGTGTTGCACCTTCAAATAACCTCGAGAAGCTTCTTTTCCTTTTATTATTCACTTAGATATGTAAAATTTCAGTGACGTTATAAATATAAAATAATATTAATATATCAAATATTTTCATCACAAATATTTTAATTAAAATTTGAACATAAACAAAACCTATTTCTTTTACTAATTATTTTAAAGAAAGATCGAAATAAAAGAACAAAATACCTCTACACCACGTGATTAAGGCAAAATACCTTTACACCACGTGATTGGAATGAAATGATGGATGATGAACTGACACAAAGTCAAATGACGCAAATGGATTTAGAAGCGTCAAGAAAACATTTGCAGAATTTGAATTTAGACTCAATTCAAACTGTAAATATTTTAAATGAAAATGTAGTTGTTCCAACTGCTTCATCGAGCAACAACCCTCAATATAATAATAATGAGCCAGCTGTTGCTAATGTCAATAATAATAATTGAACTGCAGTTGCTTCAACAATCACTGCATCAAATGACAACAATCCTCATTATGCACGACGTAATGAGCCTTTTGTTGTTAATTTAGGATTAACTCCAATTAAAAGACAATAGAAAGAAGAATTTGACAATATTCTTCAAATACTCAGCAATGCAGTAACTAATGAATTGCGTCAATTAAATATAATAGCGCAAAACGGTTGCATGGAAACCAGTACAATTCTTCACTGGAAAAAAAGCACAATTTATATTGGCAAACGAGAGATATAAAAAAGAAGCACAACAATAGTAAGTATTGTGATTTTAATTCAAAATTGTATTTTTAATTCAATATTTTGTGCAGGAGTTCTGATGAGAAGCTTTATAAATGCTTTGGAACATGTTCCATTAATTAAGCCTATGGAACAAGTTCAGCAGAGAAAAGAAGCACGAGAAGCGATCAACAAGAAACGACGCCTGGAATGATTTTTTTAGTATAACTTAAACGATATGATGAGTTAATATGAATTAATGTGATAAGAATAAAAGAAGACAAACAAAAAAAACCGAAAAGTTTTCACTCCAAACTTCTTTCAATTAATTCTATACTGAATGATATCATTTTTGAATAATTAATTAGATATTCAGAATAATTTCCTCACATTAACCATGACGAAAAATTATCAATAATTAAATGAATAAATTTTGATTCTAAATGGAAATAAGGGAATATATAAATGAAGGAATGAATGGATGAATGAATGAATGAACGAATAAATGAATGAACGAATAGTATAGAAATTACCTTCTAGTTTTATGTCGTTCATCTTACTTATTATTTTGTTATATACTACATACTTTGAAGTTAGCTGCTTAAAGCTAACTGAAGAAAAATGTTTTTGATTTTTCATGCGTCTTAAATATCCGTTTTTTGAAGGTTAGGTATGTATTGAATTTAGTGAAAACAACGGAAAATAACACACGGTTCGTTATGTTAGGTGAAATATGGTAGCAATGTCTTTTTTTTCGATAGGAAAAGGGCAACTTTGTATGGCAGGTACCCGAAATATTAGAGGTACACACCCCATAATTTGATAGAAAAATTCTATTCGTATTTAAAACACATTGGTGAAGAAATTTTCCAAATCGGTTTAGAAGTGTAGAAGTGCGAGTGTTTACATTTATCCATCCAGTGCCGAAAGTGGAAAATTTCTTTTTCGCTTTTTTCGACATTTCAAGTCATTTTAAATGTAATTAAGCAAAGAATTTTTTTTGAAATTTTTGCTTAAATCCAATTCAGTGGCCCGTCACCCAAGGGTGGGGCCTCCGTAAAAATGTAAGAGAAATCAGCGTAATCCTTACGAGAGAAAAAAATAATAGTGATGTTGTTAATGCCACCTGGTGGCAATGTGTTGAATTAATGAAGAAGGAAAATTCTCTCGCGAGAAGTCGCAGTCATTTAAAGATTTTCGTGATTTCAAGTGGAAAACCCGTAGTTTAAGCAGAAAAAATGCACTAAATATTAATGTTAAACTATTAAAATATTGTAAGCAATGAAATTAACAACAATATTGTATAGTTTTAGTGAGATTAGAAATTTTGAGTGAAAAATCGATCGATTTTCTTTTAAAAAAGGATTTTCTTCTTCCTCTCCCCCATATTCTGTGATGTGCGACTATTTTTTTGTGTAATATTTTGTGCATGAAGGAGACTCTTCTGTGTGTATTTTTATGAATAGATAAATACCACTACAGTGAATTGTGAGATGCTTTTAAATTAATTTTTCTATCTCCAAAATATATTAAAAAAAGAAAATAAATTTTGGAAAAACTGAACCGAATGAGAAACAAGAATTTGCAAACATTGAATTACATTTTTGGATTATTCATGAAGCCCTTCTCCCCATTTTGGAAGGAGCTAAGTTTTCTCGGTTCTTTCTCTTTTTCGTCCATTTCGCTGCGCCTGAAATGTCGGAGTAGTGTGAGGGTGGAAAATCAATGAGAAAAAAGTGCTTTCGCTTGTGTTACATACGTAAAAATTCGTTGCCCAAGGAAAGACAAAAAGAATTTTCTTCGCGAAAAAAAAAGTTTCTTATCAGCAATCACTTGATGTTTTTCTCTCTTTCTCCTTTGTTCACACACCCCTTTTTATTGTCTTCTAGTTTTTTTATTTGCTTATATCTGAGCTTCCCCGAAAATCGTCACCCCCCATCGAAATAGAAAATAACAAAGAAAAGAAAATTGTTCAGTTACGCTGCTTGAAGTGAAAAGCATCGTAAATGGACACAAAAGTGGACTGACAGTTTTTAAACCCAAAGAATGAGACAAATGACTTTGGCAGGTCGTGACAAAGTTCGATTATTTTCCAAACGTCACATTTCTGTGCATAAAATTCGCTTCTTTCTGATAAATTGTTTAAGGTTTCCTTTCCTGTGGTTTCAAAAGATTCCATTTATAATAGCAATCTACTAGCGGTTGAACATCGATTTATCAGCTACGATGGCCTTTGCGTTGAGAATAAATACCTCAGACATATTTTATTCTTCTCACTTCCATTTATTTTTCATGACATTAATGCATTTTGATGTTTGCTTCCCATCATGAACAGTTTTCATGAATGTTCTTTGTTCATGATTCTATTCGTGCTTTAGATTCCATTTTCATCACAAAAGATCAATATGAAAAGCGAGGACATTCAGCCTATCAAGAAAAAGGGGACAACCCGAAAAAAAAGAAGTTTTCATTAAACTCGAGAAATAAGCTTCGAAGAAAATAAGAAGAATGGAAATGTGCTTTAGGTTTCTTTTTTTACGTAGCTGAATCATGATTTTTCCCCCAAGGATATTTTGCGGGCATAATAAAGCGAATGAAATCATATTCATTTCTCCTTTTCAAAGAATGTGTTGCTAATTCTACTCTTAATCTACGCGAGCTCCGCTTTTTAAGTCTCTATTCGACTATAATCGTTTGGAAATAAGTTATATTGATAAACTTTGAAAACAAGCGGTAGAATAAACTTCACTTTTTGTTATGTAATTCAATACTTATCGTTCCATAGAGATTTGCTTACAAGTCGTCTGTGGTTCTTTTTCTATTTGTGTTATACTTATATACTCACTCACATTTCCAATAGCAGATGGTCAGCAGCAGATTGAGTCTAACTCCCAAATGTATGTACATTTAAACAAACATTTGTGTGGCGTTAATGTGATCGTAACTTTTAATTCGCAAATATTTCAAATTCTCGTTGACACTAACTTTTCACGCTTTAATCTGAAAACGAAGATTATCGTGATTACATTTTCCTCGGTGAAATAAGTAAATAACTGAAGTCGAAGTAAAACTTTTCATATTTTTCTTAATGTGCTATGAAACAGAAAATCAATTATTATTGAGATGTTTTTCATAACAGAAAGCTTTACTAAGCTTATGACATCATTTTCGTTTCATGTGATAAAAAAGTTTCGAACTAACTTATAAAGTTTTATTTAGTTTGAAGAGTCAAAGAAGCCGAACTCAGTATGCAATTTAAATAAAAGCAAACTTTTCTAGATAACTTTGAGCATGTGAATGGTTAATTATTGTTGAGATTCAGTACAAACCTCAATGAATATGAAATTTCAGAATAAAAAGCAATTCAACTTACCCCAATAAATTTTGTTGTTTATTTCAAAAAATTCTGCATCGGAAATTTTGGAGCTTCCTTCATTCATTTCCTTGTATAAGTGCAGACGTAATTCTCAACTTATTCCCCCAACTTTTTTTCTGTTTTTTATTTCATTTTGCTTTCTGTTATGTGTGGAAGCCATTCGGGATTCATTTTCATTGGGGATTGATTCTTCATAGCTTCGTTCATGTATTGAGAAAGAAGAAGAGAAGCTTATAAGTCGAGTTGGTTTATTTAGTTTAGAGGCAATAGCAAAGTACTTAATAAAAACTCCATTTTAGATATCTTTGGAGTCTTTTCGAGAATTGCTTTCCACTGAAGAGTAAACCAAATGAAAATCGCAATTCAATGTTGAGTCATATGTAAGATATTTATGTTGAAGGAGAAAAAAAGATCTGCGAGTGGAAAGTTTCATTTCCAAATCTTCTTTCTATGTGCAGACATGGAAAAAGGAAGAAAATAAAAATGCAAATAAATGAGAAATTCCTTTTTTCTTTATTGACGCTTTCCAATTTTCCGATTCCTATCATCCATAATTTATTAGGGAAAGGTGTGAAAAAGGATCAATCTGTGAGTTTTGAATGCTTGCTTGATGATTCAATTACGAGAGATGTGTTTCGACTATTTAGGGTTCCATGCTGATGATTAAAATCTCTCTTTTTTCCTCAATCATAGATTTCAATTATCTTCGATTTATCCATTAAAGTGTGAATGTGGAGAGGGAAGATTTTGATTGAAATTCAATTGAGAAAATTTGTCGCCCGTCGCTTGAGAACATAAAACATGAGAATTAAATTTGATTTTATATTTCTGTTCAAAATCTCATAGGACAAGTTTAGTGTGCTTTTGGATACAAATGACCGGTCATTAAGTGAATCATCGGCTTGAAAATTTTGATTTAATTAAAGAACAAAGTGGAAAAACATTTTGAAAAGCAGAATTGTTCTATACTGTGCTGTGGACACGGAGTTCAAAGCCACACACAGAGCAGTTACCAGTGCTAAGACGGCACTAAAACTCATATTATGGACGTGTATCAACCTGGCTTAGATAACGATGAAATATGTTTAGGTATGCACAGTGAACACATCTTCTACAAACGACAAATATTTCTGTGTTTAATATTTGATGTTCTCATTCTTATCCATTCTATTCTTTAATGCACAAGGCTTTCTTTTTATTTTACTTTTATTTCTACATTCACAAGCTTAAGCTTTCACTTTCATTGACGTCACAAACATCGATCCATTCCATTATAGATTTTTTCGTTAATCTCATTAAAAATTAAGCTTCTAATATGTTTGTCGTTTATACACCCTCTCGTTCATGCTAATATTTGATTTCCAGGATTTTTCCCCACAAATATATTTTCGATTTTTATTGTTTAATCGCTTGACACTTCTTGGTTGAAGTTACGCTCCCAAAATTTATCTATTTGTCAGTTCATATTTGCAATTGCTTCTAAATACTTATGTTCCTGACATTCCAATATTCTTGCTCTCCTCGATTGCTGTAAATATAAAGGAAAGCATAATTTAGTTTAGCACGTGAAAACATTTTGATGTGTGGCCTGTTAACAAAATCGATTGATTGTGTTATGGATTTTCTTGCCAACAAATGACGTTAGATTAAAAATAAAAGAAACCAACACGAGTCAAATAATTTTCTATTCATTTTAGTTTCCTTTTTTTTTTGCTATAAATACTAGATTTTTTTTTGTTATTTGCTTCCATTACTCATCAAATGAATGTCATCGCTCATTCGATTGTTGTTGTTTCGCTATGTTAAAAATTATGTGTCGCGCTCACGACCCTCTTTTGCATTGAAATTAATTATTATTCGTTAGTTTGTAAGCGTCGTCATTTCACTCGATAAAAGAAAATATATTAAAAGTAAATTTAAACAGCAACCAGCAGCACAAAAGGGTCGCAAGGCAAAAGCAAACGACCATATAATCAGTATGGTTGGCGCCGAGCTAAAATCTGAAATTCACGTTTTGGCGCCTTCCAAACAGCAAAGGGAAACTATCGATTTAATAACAAAACGCAAATGAAACGGAAGTTAAAACGCTATTTGCTTAGAACATTGAAGGGACGACTAAATGCTTTCTATGTTGTGGCATTTCATTTTTCATCATTTTTTTCACTTAAATTTAGTTTCGCATGTGATTTTAGTTTTGTTTATTGACATGTCAAAGCCACTCAGTTCCGAAAAAAGGAGTTTAATGAATGCTTTGGCAACTTCTTTCCAGAGTTTAGTGAACTGTTTTAATGGATTTATAATGATAGTTATTGGTTTGAATTGGCTTTTAACTAAATAACCAAATAACTGAATATCTGTTGCCTTCTCCATATAAATTTAGGAAGAATTAAATTTTCTTTTTATTTACTTAATTCACATTTTGTCAACTCCAGAAAATGGTTTACTAAGCTATGAGAATCCAAACTATCATCTTGATCCTAAATCTATAAAACACAATCAAAATCTGTTTGAAGAAATAATGTCAGAGTCAAAGCAGCGAGGTGGTGTTGGGGATACAAAAGTCATAATGAGTAATAGAAAAAGCTATGCGTGTCTGGACATTGGATCCATGGGTGTTGATTTGAAGGAAACTTTCGAGTGAGTAATAGTTTACTTAAGCTTATAAGGGCTTCCGTCATGGTCAATTTTAATTATGTTTTCTACAGGAAAAACAAAATTCTCACCGACATGAATCAATATCCTGATAATAAAATGTTAACAGAAGAGATTGCAAGCGACAGTGGTGAAAAGAATGATGAATCGAGTGAAAAGTATGTGATAGATAAGCCCGAAGACGATGAGAAAAAAGAATATGACGATGAAGACGGTAAACGAGATGACAGTGAGAAGGTTATTCGAGCTGATAAGAAACTTTCAGGCAAAAACTTGCCACCGGGTTGGGAAAAACACGAAGGTTAGTAGAATGGAATGTTTAACGATGGTCGTCACGAGTCATTAAATTTTCTTATGTTGTCGCTTTTTCGTTTCAATTTAGATAATGGCGGATACTATTTTTGGCACATTAAGTCCGGCACAATACAGCGAGAGATGCCTTTATGGCCAAAGGAACTGAAGACTCCCATTTTACCGCCGACCAGGTAACTTTCCTAGACAATTATCAAAAGCTACAAACTTTTAAATAAAGCACAAAAATTATGATGAAAGTTCAAAAGAAAATTTTTTGAAAACTTTAAGAATTTTGTTTCTCTTCATCAAGAAAAAGTGTTTTGGATTTAAATAATTCATGAATTAATTTCATTCTCTCCTTCAAAAGATTGTAAAAAATTACAGCAAACTCTTGAGAGAAGATATCTTGATAAATCGATTTTCTCGGTTCCTTCCTCTGAATTTATATTTTTTAATGAGCTTTCATCGATTATCGGAAAATGTTTTTATAAGAAAAAGATTCTAAAAGTTTTAACAAACGGAATTTTTTTAGTCCAATTCCCGGTGGCGATGGAACCAGCAGCATGTTCTCAGTTGCATTTAATTCCCTCTACAATTACAATTCAGAATCAAATGGCAGTGTCTCAAATGGCAATTGCATAACGGGTAATGGCACAGCAAATGCAAATTCGCAGTCGGCTGTCGCTCGCAGTACGTCCAGTCACGCGCTTGATCTCGACCAAGAAAATAAAAGAAGAAAAGATTTGGAATACAAGTAAGATAATATCTGAAGACGCTCAGAGTTTCAAGTATCAAATTTCATTTCAATTCCCCAGACGTCGCAGTTATCCTCTGAAATCGGAGACAGACAAGCCCATAAGATTTGCAGTTCGATCGCTCGGTTGGGTGGAAATAGCCGAAGAAGACCTCACACCAGAACGTTCATCAAAAGCTGTAAATAAATGCATTCTCGACTTGTCGTTCGGCAAAAATGATTTGCTTGATGTTGTCGGACGTTGGGGTGATGTGAGTTGAAAATGATTGCTTTCGTCTCAATTGAATAAGAAACTGAATGATTTTATTTGTCTCGGTCACTGTTTTCAGGGCAAAGATTTGTTCTTGGATTTAGATGAAGGCGCTTTAAAGCTTATCGATCCGGAAAATTTGACTGTTTTGAACACACAACCAATTCACACGATTCGTGTTTGGGGTGTTGGAAGGGATAATGGGAGGTGAGTTCAATTAAAAGTTCGAAAACAAAAGCACGTCAATGAATTAATCTCGAATTCATTTGCGTTAGTTTTTATGAAAAGCTTTTCCATAGAAAAATTTATTTCATGAAAATTTTCTTTTAATTTATTTTTAATGCATCAGAGAGCGGTAAGTGACGGAATAAAACAAAAATCTTTTTTATAAAGATATATAAAAATAAAAAGTTTATTTTGAAAAGCTTATAAATTTCTCATTTTAAAGCTTCCTTCTGTTCTTAAATCATTAATCAAAATACTTTTCTCGTTATTCAGTGATTTTGCTTATGTAGCTCGTGATCGCTTGACGCGAGTTCACATGTGTCATGTGTTCCGTTGTGAGACGGCGGCGCGGACAATTGCCAACACATTGAGGTGAACGAGCTTTGAAAGAATCAAAAAAACGTTTCTCAAATTCATTTTTTATTTTCCTTTATTTCAAAATAGGGACATTTGCAAGAAAATTATGATTGAGCGTTCAGTGCAGTTGGATGGAAGTAATGGATCTAACTCTTCAACAAAACGAGCTGTTCGACCGACAGACTTGCCAACAGAAAATAGACAACGTCGAATGAGGCATGGTGAGTTTCTATTCTCATGATTGTAATTCAATGCATTCTATTCATTGACATATTTAGCACAATCGTTCCCAACACCAATGGAAGAACCAAAGAAAGTGTTAAGAGCACAATATCTCGGTTGTATGGAGGTGCAACAGGCAGTTGGAATGAATACAATTAATGATGCCATTGATAAGATAAGTGGTGAAATGGCGCCCGAACATTGGATGACAGTAAATGTTTCTATCTCGCCATCAATGATTGCGGTTCGACCAAGTGGAGTGAGTTTCAAATTTAAAAAAACAAAGCCAAATTGTAAAAGTTTACATCGATTTTCTTTCACTTATTTATTGAAATGTAGGACGATGACCAAATAATAGTAGAAGCTCGTGTTCGCTATTTGAGTTTTTTGGGCATTGGTAAGAATGTGAAAAATTGCGCCTTCATTGTTCATACGGCACAAGATAAGTTTGTGGCTCATGCGTTTAAGTGTGAACCTAGTAGCGGTGCTTTATGTAAAACTATCGAAGCAGCTTGTAAGGTAAGTTGACAATGCATTTATGCTGTTTTGAAAATGATTATTTAACGTTTCTATGAATCTTGTTTAGCTTCGATACCAGAAATGTCTGGATGCTCATCCAGCAAATAGTCGCACTTCAGCTGACTCACAATCACCCAACTCTAAAGGCATTGGAGAAACATTGAAGAACATCATGAACACCCTCACATTCAAAAAAGATGGATCGAGTTCCTGAAAGTTTCATCGAAGCTTCTAAAAAGGAATTTCTTTCTTCTTTTTTATTATTTCATCTGATACCAAATTTTACTCCCATTCCAACCCACACAAACACTCACACACACATCATGGATCTCGTTAAATTATCGCTTTTTAACGAGATTAAAATTGTGCAATGTCTTTTAGTTTTAAGTATAATTGAGATTCAGATTTACAAAATGAAATCAACATTACCAAAGAATTTGCGTTCATGAAAAGTATTTGTCTTGTGTTAAGAAAAGCTTAAGTTAAGTGTCATAATATAAAAGTTTTTTGCTTTGCCATCGATGTTCAATTTAATCTCAGTTTTAATCTTTTAATTTAAGATTATGAAAAAGTATTTAAGGATCAACCAAGTGAAAAATCAGTGCTAGATGTCATAAAAGAATTAAAGTAACATCAACAAAATAAATAAAAGCTATTAAATGTTCAATTAACATTGCCATGACTATTGCGTTCCGCGTTTCCTACTTCTCGGCTGATGCATTGCATAACATAGAGAAAAGTAATGTAATGAAAAGTTTTGAAGAAATCTCATTAACATACAAGGATATTTTATTTTTATTCTTTAAATTAAATATTCTACTCGGGTAATTTCCTCGTTTTTATTTCTTCTGACCTTTTACTAAGATATCAGTAAGTTTGAAGTTTAAGGATTTTTTTATCATCATTTCTTACAAAGCTCAGTTAGAGGCTGACTACCATCTATTGATGGTCATTGTGAATCTCAAGATTGCCCTTTCAAGGCTAGATAAATATTTTATATCGAATCTAATTTACGACTCCCTTTAATTTATTCATTCATCGCTTTTGTTATTGAATTTATTTGTTTAGTTAAATTTAGTTACGTTATTTTCTTAATCAAACTCTCATTTCCGGTTATTTCGATGTAAGTTTATATGGATGTTGTATAATTTTATATTTATCGATCGCAGATGTTAAATCAAAAGAAACTTCGAATACCAGATGAGAGACGAACATACTTATTACTTACGAGCCATAATTGCATTATTTAACATAACAATTCTAATGATATTAAGGATACCAGTAAAAGAAAACTTGCTTTAAATGCTATAACATTGAGATGAGTAAATAATTATATTAAAAAGGAATGTATTTAAGAAATTCGTAATATGACAGGAGACGCTAATTGTATTTTTTTTACTAAATGAAAATTGATATAAAAAAAGAAACAAAAAAAATATTTGATGAGAGAAGAAAACATTTTAATCAGTTTTTGTTTCATTGCAAAAAGGGGTTGAAATTAATTAAGAAAATCCATAATAGATAAATGTATTTACGAGCTTTCAGTATAATTAATTGCTTAATTGTGCGATGAGAAATCTCGGAAATGAGTGAAATGTTTTCAAACTAAAATCAACTCGGATTTCTATTGCGCAATTATGCAATGAAAAAAATGCATTTGAATGTGCTTAAAATGACATTAAAAATAATTAAACAGAAGTAAAATCTGCCGCAATATTTCATACACGTATTAACATTCCCATTTTCTCAGCTCTTATCTGTAAGTTCCATCCATCTCTGTTACCTACCGCGATAAGTCTACCAAAAAGAGACGAAAAGGATCTAAAAGCAACATCTCGCTTGAAATAAAAGTTTACGGCAGTAAATGAAATTTAAAGAATGGGACGATCAGAATGTGATGTCATCTTCAAGAATTATTTTCGTACACTTAAAATTTCTTTCAATAATTAAATTACTGGAAGAAGCTCAAAAAACTGTTTTCAATTGCTATCGCTTCAATTGACATCATTAATAATTCATTCCGGTAACAAAAAAACATAAAAGCTTGTAATTTAAGAGAGAAAAAAAGTCAATAAAGAAAATTAATTGAAATCGCTTAGAAAATTATACGCAATGAAAATGTAATGGAAGTTCTTCAGCTTGGTGGCTGATGGTAAGTTGATCATTTTTATTTGACGTCCCATCGACCACCGACTGATGAACTTGAAAAAAAAATACTTAAAATGTTAAGGAAATTGTTTAATTGTTTTTAGAAACAACAAATATTAAGGAAGAAACAGCTGTTACGTGGTGGTTTTGTAATAAATTAATAAGAGAGAGAAGCTAAAACACGAGAAATTTGACACAACCAACACTCATTTTGCAAGAAAACACAAAGAAAATTAAAAGTAGGAATAATAATTTGGAATGAAAACTGAAAAAGCTTGTTATAAATAAGAAGTAAATTAAATAATTTCTCTTTATCAAAAGTTGCGGTAAATTTACCAAAATGAAACCAGCAGTATCTAAACACAACAAAAATGGAAGTTTAATAAGCTATTAAGTAACAAATTGCCCTCATAAACTAAACAAATATTTTATGGTAAAGAAATTTTTTGAAGCTGCGAAAAATATCCGCCGAACGAATAATGATGAAAACTTTATTTAGTTTTCCGCTGTCCAATGAAACTTTATTTTTAAGATGAAATCAGCTTTTATCTCATTTTTGAACGACTAACATTTATATCGAGAAACATTAAAATGGAAACAGCGCATTTTTTTGGATGAAAACTTGTAAAAAAGATCGAAAAGAGAAGATTGAATAAATAATTATAATTTTGCAAGGTAAAATTAACATTTGGATCTTTTTCTTTAAATATTTCTATCAAGATTTTCTGGGTTTAGGGAAAATCTTCGAACCTTTTCCATTTCTTCTTCGATGAGTTTCTGTTCTTTCAGAAGTTCAGGAGTGTTGAATTTTCCTGTTACAAGTGAAGCACGTGGAATTAAACCAGCTCCATGCATTGATTTTGTTCTTCTTAAAATTCTTCCAACTTCCACATCATCATCATGTTTGAAGTGGATCTGGTCATTGCTTTTCCTTACATCGTTTGATCTCCTTCTTAAAATGCCACTTTTTCGATTAACAACTTCAAAATCTACAATATCTTGATCAATTATAACTTTTTCTTCTCCTGTTTCATCTTTAAATTTATCAGGCAACATTTCAGGAACAATTGCATGCCAATATTGATCTTTGAGTAATTCAGGATGTTCATTATGCATGTCATCAACTATTAAATATGACATTTGAATGTTCCTATCAACCATGCTATTAACTTCAAAGTCATCATCATCTTCACCAAACGGATTCATGAGAGTTTCAGCAACTTTCAACCATCCCATAAAGAAGATGAATTGCAACATGATAAGGAATGGAATGTAGTCAATGTTAAGCACGTCTGCTTCCATTTTGGGATTTACATATTGCTGTGAAATAACGACTAGGAGAAAGTAACTGTAGACAGCAATGGTAACAACCTGAGTGTAGATGAGTGGAATCGAAATCGTATTATAACTCATTAGATTTGAGCATGAAGCACGAAATGCATTCAGTGATTTAATGAGAGTTTTAACAGCGAAATCATCATGAATTCTCCCTTCGAGACGAGCTCGAGTAACGAGTGTTGCCGACCAAACAATCGGCACGAAGTTTTTACTATATCCAGGAAACTTTCTATCCAATTTTTCAATAATTTCCAACTCATTTTCAAATAAAAGTCCCGCATCGACCAAATCAATCATCTTTGGAAATCGCTTTCTAATACGAGGTGAAAGAATTCTTAAAATCATCGTTAAACTTAAGCAAACATATCGCATGATTGTTCTTCGAAATGCCCTTCCGACTTCGTCATATCCGTGAATCGTTGTTGAGACGTAAACAGCGATACTTGTCGGAGAAGGAATACTTTGATATTGACTCCACCATCGAACTAAGACATTTTGTACAAAAAATCCTACGACGAAATGTATCGGAAAGAAATCAACAAATTTTGATGAATATTTGACAACAGCTTCGAAAATTTTCTGCTGCTGTTCATTGAGCACGAAAAAGTACATGGAAAGCAGTGTGTAGTAAAACAACACAAAAACCATCAACTCTCGCCACAAAAGCTTATAAACTGATCCATGCCATCTTAGAAGGAGCTTGAGAAAGCTGAAGTTGCCAGTGCTTGCGACTAAAATTTATTTTTATGGATTATTTACACACAGTTGAAGCGTGCTGAGATTGAGGGTTTAAGAATTACCATCATTTTGATAGGAGATTGTCATTTTGCATAAACTGTGGATTTAGAATTCGACGGAAGTTTTTGAAACTGATTTGCAATTTAATAAATAGAAATTACTAAAGAACTGTCAAGGCATATGATTACTGGGATAGTTTGTGTCATCAATCAAAAGCAACAACTTTCAATGCTTGAATACTATTTTTTTATTCATTAATAAGATTCATTTTCATTTGTCCAGCTTAATAAATCGTTTTTAAAAAATTAAAAGCTTATTCTTATTTTAATATCAAAAGAATTTTTATGAAAATATCTCGAAGTGTGTAGAGTTTCGTTTTGAAAGATTATAGAAAATCTTAAACATTTTATTATAGCATGATGAAGTTTGACCACAAATGAAAATATTTAATCTTTTGAACTTTAAGCTTTTAATGGACCTCTCAAAGCATTGCTAAAGCAACATGAGATTGTCGGCCAAAGATTATCCAATAAAGTTAAAATGTGGTCAAACTTCTTAGAGGCATCAATTTGTAATCGTGTTCTGTGTTTTATTATTCAGATTATCACACATTTTTATTTTTCTAATCAATTAATTATCTTTAAGGCATTAAATAACATGCATTGACATGTTTTAGAATCGATAAAAGCGATATTAAGCAGCAAATATTTGCATTAATATTAAATGAATGAATGCATTTTTATAAATAAATATTCAATTATTATTAAGATACGAAACCATGAAACTTCCTAAATGCTTTTTAAATTTACAATGGATAATCTATCTAAGAAACAAAATGGTTTAAAACTTACAAATTGCGTTCATTAATATTAAATTAATAAAGTTATTAGTCAGAAAAATAATTATTGTGGGTCAAGAACTGGAGAGGCATCGCCACTTGCATGTTGCTTCGGTAGCGCCTCGGTTAGAAGCTCTTGAAGTTCTATCTGATTGACAATACCTTGTTGTGCTGAAATACTTCTTGCGACTTTCTCTTTATGTCGTGCTATTCTTGCAGCTTCACGTTCCTGACGAAGCTTTTCGAAGTCATCACCGGGTTTGAGTTCACTGTCAAGTTCTTCATCGTTTATAGTTTTCTGCGATTCTTGACTTCCGAACTTTTTCGGATCAAATTCACTCATAGTGTCTGCTTGATGAGAACTGCTTTGTGGGAATTTCCCGGTTGGAGCAGATGAACTTAAAAGATCGTCAACGCCTCCAGGAGGGAATATTCCACTATTATCATCATCATGTACCTGAGCTGAGACGAAACGTTGGTAAGGTGGAGGAACACGACCTGGTACATCTACGGGATCACTTGGCGTATGTTTTGAGAAAATACTTTGTGCTGTTGGCCGAGGATCTTCTTTATTACGCATTGAAGTGATCGTCAACTGTTCATCTACTTCTTCAATGACTTGGTCAGTAATTTTCATCGACCCAACAGTTGCTGGAGTTTTTCCTCCAATACTCGAAGAACTTGCTGACGTTCCAAGTCTTAGGCCCGTTTCGGGATTTGTCGCTGCCATTCCCGATTTATTTTCATTTTTACTGTCATCTTTACTAAGGAATCTCTTAAGAAGTGAAGTGACTGTATTAACACGACTCATTGTACCAGCCACTGAATGCATTGAATTCGCTGACGATTGACTTGCATTTCTTTTTCGACCAGCAGCAGTGAAATGAATTCCACTAGCATTGTCTTCTTGATCCTGTAATTAAATTCGATTTAATCATGTGAAATTTAAAATTAAATGAATTGTCTGTGAGTAACAAAGCTACATAAAGAATGAATGAAAGCAAAATTAAATTTTCAAACAATTTTTCTTCTTTAAAATGTTTCATTTTCCAAATCGTTCCAAATAAAAATTCAATCATTCAACTCTTTTATTGATTGAGATCATAAATCTTCTAAACTAAGGTGTGAAGTTTAAGTTAAACTTACTAATTATTGCAAAAATAAGTAGCTTGAAAATGTGTTTAAATTTTATGCGTCAAGTTAACACAATTAGGTATATTTGAGAATTTTCTTCCGATTTGTTACTTTTAAAACTTAAACAAATAAATTCTCAACATTTCTTCTTCACTAACAGTAAATTTTCTTAAATTTCACTTCTTGTTTTGTCATTTTCTGATCTCAATCAATATTTTGCTATCACGATTATTGTAGAATCCCCAACGTTAATAGATATTTTTCAATTAGATAAATGATTAAAAAAGATTTCCATGAACTTTTAAAAAGGTTTTGAAGGCCGTTTCGTTTGATTAGTGACAATGTGAAAACTTTAATTAATTTTAAAGGAAGAAAAGTTTTAGAATCAAATGCGAAGCTTTCTTTACGTCATGCAATTTTTTTTGCTTTTTGCACTCAATCCAACACCGTAATGATTGCCAATTTAAGAAAGCATCGTCAGTCAACTAAGAGAAATAACTTTTGTGGATTCTTCTAACCTTGTCGCCATCATTGACAGGGAATTCATAATTAGTGACATTTTTACCGACCATTTCATCAATTTTGACAGTTGAAGGAGCCATCGGAATAATCTCAGCTTTGTCTGGCTTCACGGCAATGTTGGCAGTTGAAGGTGCTGGCGGTTCTTCACGATTATTCATCGATGCAACAGTGTAAGGAAGCTCCGTTGTTAACACCGAATCCCAATATTGATCCTTAAGAAGTTCAGGATGGTCATGATGCATCTCATCAACAATCAGATAAGAAACTTGAAGATTCCTGTCAACCATCCAATTCACTTCAAAGTCATCATCATCTTCACCAAATGGATTTATCAACTGTTCAGCGACTTTCAACCATCCCATGTAGAAGAAAAATTGAAGTAAACTAAAAATGGGAAAATATAGATCGACACGATTACTGTATCCATTGTCTTTTCCTTTATCTTCAATCCATTGTTGTCCCATCTGAAATGATCCTTAAATAAGCTTCATAAATTCACAAATAAATGATCAATGAACTCACTAAACCCGTAATGAAATACGAGTAAACAGCAATAGTGACTACTTGAGTGTAAACAAGAGGAATCGAAATGGTGTCGTAACTAGAAAGTACACCACATTGTCCTCTGAACTTATTCAACTCATCAAGGATTGTTTTCACTGCAAAATCATCACGAATTCTTCCTTCTTTTCTGGCTCTTGTTACAATACTTGTCGCCCATACAATTGGAAGCCTACAAACTCGTCAATTAATTGATATAAAGTATTTCATTTTCCAACTCACCAATGCTTGGAATGTTTTGGAAATTTAACATTCAAATCTTCAATAATTTCCCTTTCATTATCATTCAACAGACCAGCCTCGACGAAATGAACCAACGTCGGAAATCGCTTTTTTACACGCGGTGATAGATTTCCCAGCACCATAGTGATACATAGACAAACATATCTCATAATTGTACGTCTCATGACCCTTCCCTAGATTCAATGACGGAAGAAAGTTAATAGAATGTAATTCATGACTGTTGGTGCCACTAAGCTCGTCAATTTCAAATAAAACTTTTACTCACTCTCTCATCTTGACCGTGTACTGTCGCTGACACGAACACAGCGATTGGATCAGGCCATGGGATGCTCTAAAAACATGAAAACATGAAAACCTTAAAATCGATTATTATTAACATGTGATGATATTACTTACTGTGTACTGGTTCCACCATCGCGTCATAACAATCGACACATAAAAACCCAAAACAAACGATAATGGGATCAAGTTTGAATGTTCATCACAATATTTAACAATCGCTTCGAAGGTTTTCTTTTGGTCGGGGTTAAGAACGGTACGGTAAGTGATGTTAAGTACGTAATAAAGAAAAAGAAATGATGTCAAATCAAGCCACACCAGCTTGTAGATTGAACCACGCCATCTGAAAATAATTGAATATTTAATTGAAAAATCAATTAGGTGTTCAAAGATAATTCTAAATAAAATATTTAAAGAGTCAAAATCTGATGAAAATGTTTTTAACACTTTTCGAGTGTTTACGTTCCTTCAGTTGAATTATTGAATGCGAAATATAAGAACATTCTCGTCACATTAAACTACATACAAGATACATTTTGTAAATTTCATCAAATTAATGTACAAAAATTCAATATTAAAAAAATTGTGTGAGAATTTGAAATAAGAAACTTTTGACTTGTTTTGGAACATTCATAAATATTAATGAGGTTGACTTCAAATGCTTGCTTACTTTAAAACGAATAGAAATGAAGATGTTATAACATATATTTATGTACAACTTTTTTAATATGATTAGTTTTCTGCCAAAGACTCTCACGAGCATCGTTGGTTCAGGGGTAGAATGTTCGCCTGCCACGCGGACGGCCCGGGTTCGAGTCCCGGACGATGCATTCCTTTTTTGATTTTTTTTATTTATTTATTTTAATTAAATAATTTATTTTTATATTATTAAGCGTCAACGACTATGTAAAATTGAATTAATTGACGTTTGATTAATTGCAAACACACAAATTTATTTCACTCTATAAATCTTAACGCAATTCTTCAAAAAACTTCTCATTTTATATTTGAGAAATTAATCAAAGCTATAAATAAGTTTGAAAAAGAAAATTTGTCGCCAGCCGTTCTGTCATATTTCAATAGACGTCGACATTTTTTCTACACAGATAGTTTTTCTAACTAAGCAGTGACCTTGAAGTGAATTGGGGTTACATTTCAAATGTGATTAGTAAAATTGTAAATTTTGACCCAGTAGCAAGTTTTTTTTTAGGTAGAAACCATATGGAAGATAAAAGCAGAACATAAATTATTCCCAAACGACGACACTTGTCTTTGATGTTGATTGATTTTTTGGCACTCCTATTTATGTTTTGATCTCTCACACGAGTTCAGGGTTATCGCTAGAAGTTCTAACAAACGTTTACAAATTTACTCAACCGGCAACTGGTTCTGATAAGCATCACGTGAAGTTTTCGGGGTATTGCCTCAATCTTTTTCCTATTTACTTATCAAGTTTCTTTTCCAGATAACTCAAAAACGAAACAATCAATGTTATTAAATTGAACGACCTTGATAAAAATTTTAGAAAGAAAATGAGAATAATCCGAATACACATTTATTGAGACAATTATCGTTCAGAATTGAATCATTGCTAATACGCGGAATAAAACTTCAAATTTTACAGCATGGCATTAATAATGACGGCAGTTTTAACATTTTCGTAATTTTAAAGCAGGAGATTTTCTTCATGTCTTTCAATTATTATTCACGTTTCTCATTTCCCTTCTCGCCTTTTTCGAAAGTTAAAGAAATTTCGCCGACTTAACTGCCATTCAAGAGACGTGAATCATTGAAACTAATTAAGTCAAGATATTGAATGACCGTTTCAGAAGAAGTAATTTGAACACCGCGTTGATGTTTGTCATTGAAAACTTTAAACATTCTTCTTCATGTGTTATGTCACTAAATTTAGAGATATTTTTCTTATGAAATTTTTTAATTATGAAACGTCATACGTGTATGAATGTAGATTAAAACTGAAACAGAAGCTCTCATCATAAATTAATGTTCTCAAATAAAATATTTTATTAACGAATGAGGAACTAGAGGTCAAAATATTACAAAATTTAAACCGGTTTTCATCTTTGCAAAGCAGAATGAGAAGAAATTTCAATTTCTTTGCTTCACCTTGAACTTCAATTCTTGTGGTGGACGGAAAACATCTTAAATGTTATGTGATGTCATCTTGAATTTCTAACAAACCACAGTAGTGTGTCTAAATTTCAAAGGTGTTTGTATGCTAATTCATATTTTATATATAAGGTTAATTTTTAAGGAAATATCAATTTAAAGTGTAAATAAAAATAAAGGAAGTTCAACAGGGTTTAATGAACCAACGAAAACTCTTTCTATTACGTCAACAAGTGCTAAAGGTAATATCCGACATCCACAAAGACAAAAACTTGAATCGTTTTAATTTAAGGTTTATTTTTTCGCAAGGTTTATTTTGAATGTCTTGGTTTAAGAAGTATATTTGGTTGCAGAACAAAATTATTCTACATAGCAACACATACAAATCACGTGTGTCAAATCAAAACAATTATCTATCCATTAATAATTACGCAACTCACCTTCCAAGTAACTTTAGGAAACATCCGAAACCACGACAAGTCGCAACTTGTGCTGTATACGAAACAGTCATGTTACCGGCGTTGACTAAAAGCCAAATTCTTATGACGATGAATGATGAGTGATGGGACGCGTTGGTATTTTTTATTTATAAGATGTTCCTTCTGAGATTTTCTGACGAACTTCTTGTTTATTCACTAATTTACAGATATTTTGTTTTTTTTACTTGACTTTACGAGAATCATCTCATTTTTATCTCACGTATTTATTTCATTTATGTACTTTTCTATTCACTATCATAACAATTATTCATCCCCACATTTTATTTACTTCACTAAGTTGTGGTGTTAACTTTACTGTTGAAAATATTTGGTTTTATTATTTATTTTTATAAGCCTTCTGTCAATTCACAATATCAGTTTTTAAAACATTTACAAGTTGGAATAATACTTAAAAATAAATATAGACAGAATTCGTAGAGCGGAACCGACCTATCTAACAAGAAATTCGTGGGAGGATATTTAAGATTTATTTTCTCAATGTGGCCTTTGTAAATGTATTGTCACAGATTAATCAATCTTGGTTTCACATAAAAACAGAATTTTCATGGCACTAATTCGGTGAGTAAAATAAAACTACAAACGAGAATTTACTCTAACGATTGTGCAATGACAAGATGAATGAAAATTTTAACTCGCTAACATAAAACGTGAAACTACCAAATTTCGTGATGCGAATATTTATGAATGTAAAATCAGATTCTGCTTCCTTCGATACAAAAGCGACAATGTTTAAACAACATTAATTATATTTGACCAGCAAAGTGAGACATCAAGTTAAAATTGAGGTCCGTAAGGTTCAAAAAATCAATAGAATAAAATAATTCCTTACTATTAGCACGCTATAATCTGCAGTGTTTATATTTTGTTTATCAAATTGCGTAAATAACTTTGTTTGTATTGTTCTTCTTTTATCAACTTCATATGATCTTGGAGAAAACTTGAATGAATCACTTCGTAAAAGTGTCAATCATGCGTGCAACTTACATAAACTATAAATTCAAAAATAAAGCGTGTTAAATAAAATTATTCTATCCACTTTTGACTTCTTGTTGTCAGGTAGAAACAACAACAATAAAAGGAACAATAACCGCTTCTAAATGATTTAGGTATTTTCAGAATTTAAAGGCGACCGTCCCTGACGAAAGCAGAAGATTGACTAAAAAATTGAAAATAAATAACGAAGTTTAACTGAAATTCTGCCGCTATAGCAAAGTTTAAGCGTGTTGAACAACGAAATTCAAACCTGCAAAGTTAAAAATATTTTACAATTAAATTAAAGATCGAAAACAATATTCAACCGGATTGAAATTTGTGAAAGTTTGTCTAAAGTAATGCAAATAAATGAAGTTTGAAGAAAAACTCATGTATTCTTCACGTATCAACTAAATACAAAGTGAATTTTAGAAAATAATTTATGAAATCCGTTATGATCTAAAGATCAGTGAAGTTCCGAAACAAGCAATTTGGCGGGAAATTCATGACTTTTTTTTCAAAGCGGAAGAAAATTGAATCCTTTTAAATAACAATTAGAGTAAAATACATTAATATACTTAGAATGAGTGACTTGAATCATCTTCCATCGTTTCAAAAGATAGAAAAGGTGAGATAAAATCATTATACATTGAAGTATTTACTAAAAAATGCTATGTTTACAAAAAATGAGGTGTAAAATTAATTGAAAATGCATTTTTTCTCTATTTTTGAAAAAGATTGGCGAAGGAACATATGGGGTCGTTTACAGAGCGAAACATAAACATAATGGCATTGACGTAGCACTAAAAAAAATTCGGTTAGACTGGTGAGTTTCTATCTTATTTTCTTAGAAATTTGATATCCTAAATTAAACAAAATAATGAAGGAGACTGGATCATGTTGGTGATTTACGTTTTAAATTGATATCGTAGCACCACAGGATTCAGCTTTTTTTGTTATGAAACTATCATCAGTGCTGAATTAGATTATTATAGAGTAAGAAATGAATTAGGTATATATGATATCAAAATTTGATTATAGTGAAACAGAAGGAATTCCGTCTACGGCGATGAGAGAAATTTCATTACTCAAAAATATGAAACATCATTCAATTGTGCAACTCTTCGATGTGATTGTAGCTGGTGGTTGTATATATATGGTATTTGAATATCTCGATATGGACCTTAAGAAACTTCTTGATAGAAAGAAGCAATTATTAACACCAAAGTTAGTGAAAAGTTATTTACATCAACTGCTCGAAGCCATCGACTATTGTCACATGAATAGGATCTTGCATAGAGATCTTAAGCCTCAAAACCTTCTTCTCGATTGCATGGGTCATATTAAACTGGCTGATTTTGGTCTAGCAAGAGTTTTCAATATTCCTTTAAGGGCCTACACACATGAAGTTGTGACTTTGTGGTATCGTGCACCTGAAATTCTTCTTGGTTGTAAAATTTATTCAACTGGTGTTGACATTTGGAGTGTTGGCTGTATTTTTGCTGAACTTGTAAGGAGCATTTTTTAATCTTTTAAATTGTAATTAAAATTTTCTGATTCTTCAGATGATGCATCGTCCATTATTTCAAGGGGACAGTGAAATTGATCAACTTTATAAAATATTTCGGCAATTTGGAACACCAGATGAGAAAGTTTGGAAGAATATTAACGAATTGCCGGATTATAAGCAATCATTCCCTAAATGGGATCGTCAAACGTTGCCTCCTCGTATGTATGCTTATCAAGAAAGTAAAGCATTAGATTTGTTTTCTAAAATGGTTAAATATGATCCTGATGAGAGAATCTCAGCTAGTAAATCATTAAGCCATCCGTATTTTGATAATGTTGCTCTTGTGCCTGTACAACTCCCCCTTCCACCTGGAACCACTCCAAGTAACACTCATCAGTTTATGAATCTTTGAAAATAATAATAAAATGTTTCTTACGTTTGACAAAACTTCATTTTTATTCTTTTTATTATCATTTCTTAAAATACATAATTTAAAAAAGTTAAGGTTTCCACATTTTCAGCAAGCCATCTTCGCCATAAGTTGAAATCAAATTTTGATGTGGATGATGACAAAGACCTGTAAAAAATATAAAAGCTTATCAATAGTTTCATTTAATTGATCCTTAATTAACTCACCGATGACGTCTTTCTCATGAACATTCAAAGTTCTCTCCAATTTTCCAGAAGTACAAGAGAAACAGTAAAGAACCATATCTTCACCCACACAATAAATGAATTCTCCAAGTGGTGAGATAATTGCAGTTATGAAGTTTCCTCCTTCACGTTTTCCTGAAGAAAATGAACGAACAATTTGTCCTTGCATGTTCATGATAACGATGGTGTTTGAACGATTACAGACAACAAAATTGTCGGGATTTTTGGGAAGAATCATGATGGAATTGACAGCTAGATCGCTACCAAGTGATTTGAAGGTGGAAATACATTCAGTTGTCTTCAATGACCAAACTTTGACACTTCCATCTGATGATGCACTTAAGATGTGATGACCGTCTGGTGAGAATGCAACTTCATTGACGAATGAAGTATGACCGCGAAATTCTTTCAACATTTTTCCAGATTTCAATCCATGCAAGTGAATGAGATGATCAAAAGATGCTGATAAGATTTGACTATTATCACGTGAGAATTGAAGACATGTGATGCCTTTGCTGTGAGCCTTTTCAAACCGTCGCAAACATTGACCGGTCAGAATTTTCCAAACCTTCATTTGACCATCTTGTGATCCAGTTGCAATCATTTCAGAATCTCGTGAGAATGCCATTGCTAAAACCGCTTGTTCCATCATCATGAAATTATCTTGCGCTTGATACTTTAAATCTTTTCTTATCTTTCCTGTTGTGAAATTCCAAACTTCTATGAATCCATCAACACTTCCTGTGACAAGATATTGTCCATCTGGTGAAAATTGAGCAACTTCAACATGAGATTTCGCACCGAATTTAATTTGTCTTGCAAGTTGTGTTGGATATTGTTCCTCCTCTTGATCACGAACAGCAGCTTTACCACGAAACAAATCGATTGTTGTCCCAGGAGGAAGTAAACCTTGATGTTGCTGCCATTTCAACGCTTGTCCAAGTAATGCAAGTAATCGAGATGATGGAACTACCGAAACTTCTCCAGATAATGACTGAGCAATTGCTTGTCTCCTTTTTTCTTTATTTGTACCTTCAGGATACGCTTCACGAGTGTCAAAGAATCCGCGTTGTAACAGATTTTCAAGTTGAATGTAACGTTCTGGTTCTCTTTGTTTTAACATAATCATGGGATCAGTCTGTCGAAGAAGTGATCTAGCAGCTCCGAGTTCTCTCAACTCGATCAATTCAATGACAATCTGAAGAAGAATTTGATTGTAAATGAAATTTATCAAAATATTTTATGTCAAAACTTACTTGTTCATACAAATCGATTAATTTTTTATCTGGTAACTTTAAAGATTGTATTGCTTTCAATACATTATCCCAATGACCATTTACGATATCTGTAACAAATCCCTCAACAGAATCTACAGTGTTTAATGAAATTCCAGTTTCTTGCTGCAAGGCTTGTAAAGTTTTTGACAAATTACTTTCTTTTAAGAACTGCTGAATTAATCGAATGACATCTGCTGACTCAATTTCGATTGACATCTTTGTTCAATATAAATGTTTCACTTAATTCGCTGTAGGAACGGTTAATTTTAATTAATATTTACTTTCGACTACCGAGAGTGAAAAAAATTGATTTGTTTTGAGATGCAAAAGTTCACCCACACTTCTTCAAATGATGCCAAAATTCACTCACACTACCAGCACTCTCGTGTAAATACAGTGAAAAAAGAAAAAAATATTTCTTCCAAGAGGTTCAGAATCAAATTTTAGTTTACGTCTGAATGCGGACGAATTAAGTGTTTATAAAAACTAAAGTGGATACCGAATTTGTTTTCCTTCATTTTAACAATCCAGAACTTCACCCTAAAGAGATGGGTGCACAACCGGTGCGTGAAATAATTAATTTGTTTACATTTTCATCAAAAGTGCCAAGTTGGATTTTTTTTTTGTTGTTAAAAGATAACAAAACTTTCTGTTAACTACGTAGATCCTGACGTAGACAAATCAATCTAACAGAATAAATATTAAATTCTTATCAATAACATTACTGCTATAAATTAAAGGAAATCCTATCGATACGCGGAAGTTATCAAGACCATAAATTCAATTTCTCTTAGATTTCTGGTTTGCAACGTTGTCGTCGACCTTGTAACATTTTTCTTCCTTTCACTTTCGATATGAATTTTCAAAAAATTTTAATATTTTTTATAGAAACTTTCGATTTTCTTATATTCTAAGATACAAAGTTACTTTCCCAGTTTATTTAATGTAAATGTTTCTTAAAGTTACAAAGCATGTATTTATTTATAGGCTCATGCCTTAAGAGATATTTTTAAAGGTCAACATAAAAATTTTAAAACCCGCTTAAAAACCGGCTGAGATGATTTAATTTTTGATTTTTCATATTATTCCTAGGAACAAGAGCTTTTTCTCTACGACCCATCGTTATTGTTAAAGCTTGATTTCTATCGTTCACCAGCGAAATTTAATCCACCAATAACTGCGGTTGCTCCCGGTGAGCCATGGCTGAAAGTACGTCCCTTAAAAACAGGTGACTACCGTCGAGGTTTCTTGCAAAGTCTTTCACAATTGACCAATGTTGGTGAAATTTCTGAAGCTCAGTTTTTAAGTAAGTTTTATATTTTATACTGAGTTACAAAAGATTAATTTCACTTTCTTTTTTATAGATCGATTTGCAGAAATGCGAGCAAAAGGCGATTATTACGTGACTGTCATTGAAGATCTGAGATCGAATAAAATTATTGGTAGTGCAACTTTAGTCATTGAAAGGAAATTTATTCATTCTTGCGGCATTCGCGCTCATCTCGAAGATGTTGTAGTTGATGATACGTATCGTGGAAAGCAATTGGGAAAATTAATTGTGGTTACTGTTACGCTTCTTGCTGAAGTTCTTGGATGTTATAAAATGAGTCTCGAATGTAAGGATAAGTTGATTCCATTCTATCGTTCGATTGGATATGTTGATGAAAAAGGAAACTCAAACTCGATGACACTTCGCTATGCAAATCAGAATCGCTTATGACAATTAGCCGCCGGTGTTTCAGCGAAATTGTAGATTCAGGAAAACAGAAAGAAATTCCAACAAAGAAAATGATGATATTTTCATGCATAACTTCTTCGGCATCTCTCAAAATCTTTTTATATGTTTTCAAATCTCCTTTTTCTTTATTTCCAACAGTCAATCTTAAGGTGTGAAAAAATTATCATTTCTTATAATTTTCTTTTAGTTTTTCTGTTGAATTCTGCAGTTTCTCGATTTCTCTTTTCTTCTTCCACAACACCTACATGAATAAGTGTCATATCATGATTTTGACTTTCAATATTAAACATCTGTACGAATTGTAATTGTGAAAGAAGAAATGAGAAATATTGGAACACTGGTACATAAAATGTTTTACTGGTATATGATGCTGGTAACTGATACAGAAATGTGTATCAAATATAAAATTTTTTTGACATTATTTACAAATATATTTGGTGTTGGTATCTCGATGAGTATGTTAATATTGCCATTTTACTTAATAAAATAATGTTCCAAATGTATAAAAAAACTCGTTTAATAATAATTCTAGTGATTCACTCATCGATGAGTTCTAGGTAAATACTATTTCGAGCATTCGTCAATAATAATATTATTCTTCTTTGCTTATAAACAGTTGCAGCGGATATTCCCCAATTTTTGAATTTTTCGCATCTTTGTGGCTGTTCAGAAATAAAAGTTCGCTTATTATCTGTGAGTTTGTTCATAAAATCTAAATTCAATTTAGAAAACAGTCTGTTTTTCTCGAATTTTTCAAGAAAAAGGAAAACAATTAGTAAATTACTTATTCAAAAGATATTTAATAATATAAATAATGTGGTCGTTCTTTTCACGGGACTCCACAAAAGATTTTCCTTATGAAATAGTTGAGAATATTTCTGGTAATTCAATATATTTTCAATAAAAATCAATTCAAATGAAAAGTTTTCAATATTTTTGTCATTTTCTGATGTGTTGTTCGATGAATCAGTGCTGACCCTTCACTTTCTTTTCTAGGATTTGAGGAAAAAAGTATCTGGAGTTTAAAAAAAGGCAAACGGAAAGGATCTGACGAACAAGTTTCAATTTTCACGTACGAGTTAAAAAGTGGATCCGAAACTCAAATTGAAATTGCAAAAGCAAGTCTCAAGAGGATTAAAACGTTAAGACATCCGTCAGTACTCCAATATCTCGACAGCTTTGAAAATGATAAAGTGATTTATGTTGCAACAGAGTATGTTGAGCCACTTGGCTTTTACTTGGATAAGATTCCATCGGATGGCCGCAGGGATTTGTATCTTGCATGGGCTGTCTTTCAAATAACGGTGAGTCAAAACAAACAAATATTTAATTATTTAAAGTGATTATTCTGAAATTACGATGATTATGCACTTTGGTCGACGTTGAAAGTTTAATTGCGCATGATTTTCAATTAATAAAAACAGCAGTTTATGAAATTCCTTTGAACGTTCAATTATGTGTTAATTAAATTATTAAATTTTCAGAGAGCTTTATCATTTCTTAACAATGACGGAAGTCTTCGTCACAATAATGTATCGATATGGTCGGTATTTGTGAATTCAAGTGGCGAATGGAAACTTGGTGGACTCGAATATGTGCAAGCAGTCGATATTAACAATCAACATAATCAAACAATCATTCCTGTGAAGATACCACCAGCACTTGAAATTTACGACCCTCCGGAAAAAAATGACCCAACAAGGATCAAAAATTCTACAAAGTGGTGAGTTGGCATTTGACCTGGAGCTGGGTAAATATCGATTATGAAGGAATTCTTCTACTTCTAGCTCTACCGATATGTGGGGCTTAGGATGTTTAATCTGGGAATCTTTTAATGGACAATTGCGATCACGTAGCAATCTTAAGGATTTAGAGCATGTAAGAAGATGAAAGAATTCTTTAATCATAAAACAGAAATAATTTTCTTTGTGTCTGTTTAGATACCAAAATCACTTGCGCCTGTTTATTGCGAGTTGGTAGGAGCAAATCCATCAAATCGTCCAAATCCAGCTGATATTATAACGCGATGTCGCAAGCCTGGCGGATTTTTCAAGAATGAACTAGTCGACACACTTTTATTTCTCGAAGAAATTCAAATCAAAGATAAGGCTGAGAAAGTTCGATTCTTTAATGCTTTAACGCCGATGCTTGATAATTTTCCTGACAATGTTTGTCGTCATAAGATTTTACCACAATTGATAACGGCCTATGAATATGGGGATGCAGGATCGGTTGTACTGGGACCGATGTTTAAACTTGGTCGACTTCTCGATGAGGTTGACTATCAAAAGCGAATTGTTCCTTGTGTTGTTAAATTATTTGCATCGACAGATCGTGTTACTCGCTCAAGATTACTTCAACAACTCGAACTTTTTGTTCATCATCTGACACCAGCTGTGATCAATGATCAGATATTCCCGCAAGTTGCGCACGGCTTTCTTGATACAAATGCAACAATTCGTGAGCAAACAGTGAAGTCAATCATTCATCTCGCACCAAAACTCAACTACAACAATCTTAATGTTGAAGTTCTCCGACATTTCGCTCGATTACAATCGAGAGATGAACAAGGTGGAATAAGAACTAACACAACAGTTTGTTTAGGAAAGATTGCTCAACATTTACATCCACAAGTTCGTCAAAGGGTTTTAATATCAGCTTTCATTCGTGCCATGCGTGATCCATTTCCGCCAAGTCGTGAGTTATTTTAAAACTTCCATGTCATGATGAAAGTTTATTAAATTTGCTATTTTTAAGGTGTTGCTGGGATCTTGGCACTTGCTGCAACTCAACAATATTTTTTGTTGAGCGAAGTTGCAAATCGAATTTTACCAGCACTTTGTCCATTAACAGCTGATCCAGAGAAAAGTGTAAGAGATCCAGCTTTTAAAACAATTAGAGGATTTCTAGGGAAACTTGAACGTGTCTCAGAAGATCCAACATTAAGGGAAAGTATGGGTGAGTTTTGTTAGTTAAATTTTTATGTCTTTAAAGTAAAATGTTGAATTGTTTTGTTGTTACAGAGGCTGATGTTCATACAGCTACACCAACGATAGGAAATGCAGCAGCAACGTGGGCTGGTTGGGCTGTATCAGCAGTTTCAGCAAAGTTTTATCGTTCACAAAGTGACACAGCAAGACCAAGACCTCCGTTAACTGGTAAAAATTTAAGTAAGCCTGCTTCATTGGGTATGTTTAAACTGAATTTGATTTTTATCATAAAATAAATTAAAATATTTTATCAGAACAACCATCAAGTAGTAGCATTTCCACGACAACAAGTAGCGTAACTTCAATGACATCTTTAGAACATGAAAGCAATGACACATCGGTTTCTGCTTCAGATTATGGTGCTGATAATTGGGATCAAGAAAATTGGGGCGATATGGATGTAAGAAAAAGTGAAAATTTAATGAAAGTCAATTTTAAATTTCTGTTTCCAGACATCGCAAGATCCGTCGTCACCTTTAGCTGGCCCTTCATCAACATTGAGTGCCAACCTTAACGTTAATACAACAATTAATGTCATGACAACAACGACAGTCAATGATGTACGAGATGGATGGGATAATGACGAATGGGGAAGTCTCGAAGAAGAACCAGCGAATGAAGAATTGGAAGAGAAAGCGAATAATGATACAAACCATTTAAAATCATCGAGAAGCAACTCGAATTCTCATTCATCATCAGGCGTTTATAACAATAATACTGTAAACAATATCAGCCCGTCGAAGAAGAATGGCGATGCTGATGAATTGTTGCTCAATTCAAGCTCAAATTCCAATTCAAATTGGGATAATTATGGAACATCTTGGAATGATGATGAGTTTGAACCTATTGAAGATACGAATGCTGGTAGGTTTTTTTTTGCTTTGTATGTTTTTCATCTTTAATCCCAACTCTTCGTTTCTCTTTTTGCAGCAAATTCAAAATTCGACGAAGCTCGTAGAAAAAGAGAAGAAAAGAAACTTCAACGACAACGTGAGATGGAAGCACGTCGTGCAGCTCGTGGTGGTCCTATGAAACTTGGTGTTGGTGCCAAGAAACTTTAAAAATATTCATATATTTTTATGACTCCATTTAATCTTTTCTTTCCTTTTATTTTACTCTTTTAAAAAAGAAACTTAAAATTACCGCAAACAAACATGAAATAAGCATTTCCTTTTCCCTTTAAAAACTCTGCTGTTAGTTATATAAAATTAATATACATTAAGGATCGCTTGGTCCATCTCCCACCCATCCATCCATCCACAGTTCTAACGCACACTAAATCATATTTTCTATTTTTCCAACATTGAATTTTCCTAAACAAAAATTTTACCGCAGCCGCGTAACGTAACATTTGGATTACTAAAACTTATAGTAAAATTTTTATCCTCCCATTAACAAACTGGAAATTTGATGATTGGGAGCGAAATTGTAGTTAGATTGATTATTGAAAGAAAGACAGATGGTTATCTAAGAAACCAAATACTTATAGTGTAGGAGAGAAAACTGAAAAAATCCTTAAAAATGGACTAAAAATTTTAATTTCTTTTTCTAAAATTGGAGAAAAAAAAAGCTTTTGGGGACAATCGAAATATTATTGAATGTCCAACCTTCAATATGAATGAAATAAAATTGCGTTTTCCTTACCACTGTTTTCCCCCATTGAACATCTTTATTTTTTTAGAAAACTTGTTAACTTAAAGTGAAAACTTTACATGTCAATGTTGAGGAAGAGAAATAAAAAGGCGATTCAATGATGTTTTTAAACTTATATGAAAAATCTCTGAATGTTGGATGGTTCGTGATAGATAATCCCAATTCATCTCTTTTTAAATGAAATTTAAGTGGAAGAATCCTTCAATTTGTCAATGCTTCGATTTCAACGATCTTCATGAAGATAATTTTCCATTGAAAACTTCGAAGTTAAAGTTGACAAACAAAAGAAAGGAGAAACATTAAAACTGTCAAACTTTGTAAAATTCCTTTTTGGCCTTTTTGTAAATTTAACAAGAAAAAAATGAATCATTAAATATTCTAATTCTAAATGAAAATAGAAATTTGTTTTATTTTTTAATAGTTTATTCTCGAATCACCTTGAATAAATTTCTTATATCTACAAATATTTCTGATACAAAATGATTTCTTTATCTTTATATTTTCACATAAATATAGAATTTAAGATTGAGCAGAAAAGTTTTTTCTTAGCTACAATTTTTGCTTAAGAAAGTATTTTGATTTTATGTAAGGCTGCATCGTAAAGTTGGCGTCAAAGTTATGCCATTTATCGTTCGCTCGTCAGCGTCACAACTCTGTCTGCTTAATGCAAAGCCTAAACGATTTATTATCATCATATTTTGTCTTGTACTCTAATCTTCTCTATTCGAATAAGATCTTTCATCTTCGATTTAAATTCAATGGAATAATAGCCGAAATATTTTATTATTTTATTTTCATTCATAAATTTTGTTTCAAATCAAAGATGAAAGAAATTTTATGTTTATTATGAAATTTTTTACAGTATTTTCTTGGACGGGGGTAGATAGTTGATTGATATATTTCTTTATCAGAATGATTAGAAAAGCACACATGTTAAATGCACCGAAAGAAGTCTTAAAAAGTAGCAGAAGACATGACAGCATTTGAATGATTATAAGCATGGCACATCGGCAGTTCTCTTTGATAAATTCATTAAGTGCACCATTCAAGTATCAAATTAAGGCTGTTCTTGCGATCAAACTTAAATAATTAATGAATACTCGAGCATGAGATGTTTTCCCACCTCTAAACATTCATTCATTGTCTTTTAAGTTCATTCATATACAATTAAGTTTGTGGAATGCGTTTGCTTGTCTAATAAAAAAAACAGATTCCCGTTGGACATGACACAAAAGAATTCTCACCGAAAGAAAACAAAAACGTGCCGAGGAACAAAAACAACATTATGAAATTAATTATTGCATAATGGAAGTAAAGTAAATTGCCATTTTCTTGAGATCAATTTGACAATTGAAAAAAAAATCGTGAAGAAAGAATAAAGATATCCAAGCGGATTTATGATTCAGCTACCGTTTTCATTAAGTATTGCGTGTTGAAACAAAGAGTCGTCATTTTGAAGCTTTTCACAAGTTTCACAAAAAAATCATGTCAAAGTAAAAAAAGAAAGAAATAAATGAAGCACAAAGGAAGAAGTTTTAAAGTATTCTCATAAATTGCTAGATACATGCCAGTGTTTCATTTCATTTAAAGAAAAATAATATAACAGCCTGATTAATGTTAAGTGGGCGTGGGAGGGACAAAATCATAATAATAATAATTATTGATTTATAATTCAACAAAAATATTTCTTTTTCTTTCATTAACATCCTTAAGTCTCTAATTTCAAAATGTAAAGTCAACTCATTATTTTTGACAAGCACACGAAACATTTCGAATGAGCACAAACAAAACTGTTTCCGGTGTGAGAGCTCAGAGTGGAGAGAAAGAAAAAAAAATTAAAAATGTTCATGTTTCTTTGTCTTAAATAAAAAAAACATTGAAGTCGATAAATATTAAGTAAAAAAGTGACGGAATGTGTTAAATTATTATAATTGCGTTGTAATCACCGACTTGCGCATAATCGGCGGTTCTTTCGCTTTCGTTGCTTGAACGATTTCTGATGACACTAGCCATGGTGAGACATCGTAATTGTTATTATTATTAATATTCTTCCGAATCCCGTTATTGTCGTTGATGTCCTGGAAGAAGATTGAAAATGTTTTATGTAAACATAAGTTTCTTTTCCTTTAAACAATCATCTTGATTAACATGCAAAACAAACGATTTTAGTAAAAAATTTATTTTCAGGGCTTGGAAATTGAATTCAATTTTTGACATTGTAAAGAACGACAATTCATTCCAATTCTAAACCCTGATGAAAATATCAACTTTCTACAATTTTTGTTAGAAATAATCATCATCACAAACCACCACATTCAACGAAAGAATAAACATCTACATGAAATATGATGAGAAAGACAAATGTTGTTTACCTTCTTCGCTGATTCTTTATATCCATTTACATGAATTGATGATGGTTCAGTGGTCGTCTTTGAACCCAACATCTTCGTCACATTATTATTCTCATTGTTATCAATCTTTAAAGTAATTGATGATATTGATGATAAGTTTTTCTCATTGTCGATATCATCGACACCATTTCCATTGTTATTATTAGAAGCATTTTCATCAATAATTGATTCACTTTGAAATGGATTCTTTGCATTGATGGGAAATGAAATTTTCACAGATTTGTTATTATCAACATCAATTTTCTCATTTGTATTAAATGAACTTCGAAATGGATTCGTTGAAGTTTTAATCGTTGGCGATGTGACTGTCGATGTCGTAATTATTGTCGTTGTTAACATTTCGTCAGCAAATGGATTATTGCTGATTGTCGTTTTCGTCTTCGTTGTTTCAAGTTTCGGTGATTTTTGTTCATTCATCTCGACTACATTTGAGCCACTTGTCACGGGTACGCTAATTTTCTCTACAACACCTCCATGAATGTCTGAGAAGTGCGTAACCGTAACGCTTTCATTGAGGTTTGAATTCTTTTCCACTGTCGTCGGCAATGGAATCAACGATGGCAAGTTACAAACTTTTGGCGATGTTGGTGCAGTTAAATGTTGAACCGAAGAAGCTCCAGATGACGACCCACCGCCATTTAAGTTCAATGTTAACTTATCACCGCCCTATTGCGTAATTTCATGAATGGGGAAATGAACAAAATTAAAACAAGAAAAAAAATGAAAAAAACACACGCGAGAGAGAAACAAAGAAAAAATTCGATGTTGATATGAAAATGATCAGGAATTTTAAGCGATAACAAAACAAAATATCATCATAAGCACTCTCTTGTCTCTCACAAACACACACACACACAAGCATTGGACACATTTAAAAACTGCTTATTAACTTACCACAGCAACAAAAGTCGCAGATGCGTTATGTGAATCGTCAAAGAGCTGGTTGGTGAGCTTCGGATGATGAGCATTTGTGTGAAGTTCTTCTTCAGCTCGGGCTACAATATTTGATTGAATATTTACACATTTAATTAACAACATGATTACTCATCAAAATGAAGAGAAAAAGAAAAAAAATGTTTGCTTACCTTTCAAAATGTTGCACTTTATTTGACTCGGTGGTAGTGAAACTCCCGATGAATTAATCAGCTTAATCTGATTATTCGGCTTGTCATTAGAAAACTTTTTTAGCGTATCGTTGTTCATTTTAACTTCTGACGTTTTATTAACACCAACTTTAATATTTGTCACATCATTTAATGCTTCAAGATGGACACTTGGCGATGGATCTTTAACATATTCTTTAAGTATGTTGTCGATTTGAATATCGGGAATAGATGAACCATTACTTTTAAAGCTTTTGATCGAAGCTTTTCCGAAAGATCCTTGAGGATGAAGGAATGGCGATTTCGGTGCATCGTAACTTGCACCAGCTGGTTCAAGTTCAAGTAGCTTCAGTTGAACAGCACGATCTTCGTTTGACGACAAAGACTTATTTCCAATAGAAGTTGCATCGTTTACTTCCGGTTTATGAATAACGGTGTTGACAGAAGGCGTCGATGTACCTGAAGCAATTGTTTGCGAGTCTTCCGATTGAACTTCCGTTGGCTGTTGAATTTGCTTTTGCCGTTCTCGTAAAACATGACTTTGTCGACGAGCGAAACGTTGCGAAGGTCGTCTTTCGAACTGAACTGTACGACGTGCTCGATTCTGATGAGATGTTTGAAATTCAGTTTTTCCACTGTAACGGAATCTTGAGCCCATTCTAAAGAAGTTCTGACGACCTGATGGCCCTTTCAATGGTGATCGTAGACGGAAGAATGCATGATGCTCTATTGCGCATTTCCATAAATGTTTGCACGCTTTCTCATTGTGAAGACGAAACACAAATGTGTGTTCTTGTTCACGTCCTTGGTCATCATCTTCAACAACGACAAGTGTCAACTTCTTCTTCTTGAAGTCAAGTTTGCCAATCTTCGGCCAGAAAAAAAAGCCGATCTTCTGTGCACCTTCAAACACCAAAATTCCAGTCGGTGTCAATCCAAGATGGTATTCACAACCATCTTTCCCCAACACCGTATGCATATCAACACCAAACATGTCCAACCATTTAGCTTTGTTGAGATAATTCGTCTCAGCTTGTGCTGGTGTCAAACCACGAAGTTTTTTATATTCATCAACAATTGCTTCTTCCATTTCTTCAGTTTGATTCGGCACAAAACGGAATTCGGAAACAGTCGCTGGTGTATGTGTTGGGGCATCGTAATCGCCAAGTTCAGCTGTGAAAGAGGAAAAAGTCATGTCAAAATGTTCACAATGATTGCTTTCATTTCTCAAATCTTACATTGAAGAGATAAAGCACAAAGCTCATAAATTGTTGGCTCAGGAACTTCCAGTCGTCCTGTTACGATGTCTTGTTTGAGTTGAAGGAAAAATTGATAACGTGTCAATTCTTCTCTCAACGTATTCGGTTCTGATGAATAGAACTTTACTTTAAGGTGGAGTGTATATGGTGGGCCGATCTTCACTTGCTTTTTTATTGTTTTCGTTGGATCCAACCAATGCTTGACATTGTAAGGATCAGTAAATTGTAAGCCAAAGTAATCTTTTTCAATTAAGTCCAAAGTGTAGAAAACCTGCTCGTACAAATCATTTGCAAGCGCTTTCTTCTGTTAAATGGAAAATATTAATAATAGAAAGCGATTAAATTTCATGATGGACATAAACTTCATTGCTCGTTTAATTGACTTCAGTAGACAACAGAAGATATTCTAGACAATTAAATTGTTTAATTGATGTAATTCAGAGTTTAACATTGAAAGTGTTACGATGTGAGAAGGTGATCATTTGTGAATTCTCTTGGCACGACCTGAAGCTAAAAGGTGGAAAAGCATTGAAGGCAATTTTCTTTTCTTTCTCTTTGGCGTTGTGTTTACACGGACGGTTTTACGCGATCACTTTGGGAATATTTCTGTGTTAGTATAACAAATAGTGGAGCAAGTCAGCAAGCAAGCAGAACCCACACATATAATTACAACTTTAATTTTTTTCTTTCTTTCACATTCAATTTTATTTTATTTTTTTTCGTCTAACTTCTTCTGGACTCTTTTCCCATTTCTTTTCTTTCTTTTCTTCTTTCTTAGACTTGGTATGTTTTTACAAATCTCTGCTGCTGCTCAACTTCTTTACTTTCCGTTTTTTTTCTTTTTTTTTGAAGAAAGTTTTCTTATTCTTTTGTGTGTCCACATAAACTGAATGTTGTTTTAATCCAATTAAGAGAAAAAAGTTATTGAATTCATTGTGGTGGGAACTTACCGATAGTTCAATGCTAATATCACTGTTATCCAATAGTATGACTCTACATTGGATAAGGTTCTTATTTGTTGGGATTCGTTGCGATTTTATGTCGCTCGAATTGATTTGTTGATGATTTCGATTACGTCTGCTCAAAAATCGCAACATTTTTGAAGACTCTATTCGAATATCTTTTCATTAAATATTATTGTTGATGCAATGATTCACTAATTTTTATGTTAATTATGTTAATTTTAAGATTCCAATTAGAAATCACGACACTTTTGGTGACTTATTACTTTACTCGAAATTCTTTCAGAAACAATTTTGAAGGTTTTTGCAAAAACGAACTGTACGTGAAGAAACATTCAAATTTTTTATGAATATCAATGGCTAAGCACTTCTAAGGGCACAAAATTATCACTTTAAATGACACGAAACTAAATTAAAAGGAAGAAAATACTGAGGAGATGTTTCTGAGCTATTTTCAGAATCGCGACATTGAAGCAAACTTTTTGCTTCTTTCTTGCTTTACCCATGGCAGACGGACAAAAACCAGCTTAAGCACTTTTCTTTGCAGTTAAGGTTGAGCCAAGTTCACCTGTGATCAACAAATCGAACCAAAATATCTTCAAAATTTCAAGTATAAAATAGCTAATTGTAAGCAATGCCATTAATTGATAACAAAAAAATGGAGCTCAACTCTCCTGAAAATTGTCGGACGTGTGTTGACTTCAAGACATGGACGAAACAACAGAGAAAAGCTTTGTCAACCTCTGAGGTAAAAAAAATATGAATTATGAAATAATTAAATTAAATCTTTATAATAATTATTTTTCATAGAAAAAAGATGTAAAGAAACAAGAACAAACAGAGCCTCCAAGACGAGATGATTGTCCTTGGGATAAGGACGCATTGGGCAGATCAACATGGGGTCTTCTACATACCATGGCAGCAACTTTTCCGAATGAACCTTCATCACAACAACAAAATGACATTAAAGGCTTCTTCCATATACTTTCGAGACTTTATCCTTGTGAATACTGTGCAAAAGATTTCAGAAAAGAGTAAGTTTTATTTACTTATAAAACGAATGGTTGTGCTCAACTAAAATTTTGATTATTTCAGATTGAAAGAACATCCACCGCAAGTTAAATCTCAACAAGAACTTTCACAATGGCTTTGTAAATTACACAACAAAGTCAATGTAAAGATAGGCAAACCTGAATTTGATTGTTCAAAAGTTAATGAACGATGGCGTGATGGTTGGTTGGATGGATCATGTGATTAACTTTCTTAAACTTTTTGGTGTTTTTGAGTTAGAAAAATTTGATTTTAGTAAATAAAAACGAAATAATTTTTTAAATGTGATTTTTTTTGCTTATTTATTTCAAACTCTTCTTACATCTCTGCGTTTGGAACTAAATTGAATTTTAATGTCTGGTTTTATATCCAACTGTTGGTTTAATAGTTTTTTATTTAGATTCGTCCAGGGAACGTTCCTTCTTCACGTTGAGTGTCCCATTTTTCAACCCATGCATTTGGGCACATGGATCTGTAGACACGAAGGAAATACTGGCACACTTCGGCACCTTCTCCCTTTACCTTCTGGCAACGGTGAAAGTCGAGATAACTCTGGTAGCAGTAGCGAGTTTGGTTAGTGTTTGGGAACCGTGGATCGAAGGGTGCTGTCTTCAATTCAATCTCAGTTTCTACTGCTTTCGGTGCCATTTTGTAAGTATATTGTTAGCAATGTTCTGACGACTGTTAAAACTGTTTCTAGAATAAAATTGACAAAGAATGATTTTGTGTGTGTTGTGATTCTCGAAGTATTAAATTCAATAAGATATTCAACAAATTATTTTAAAGAAAGAAAAATTGAGCATGCTAAGAAATAATTTTATAATTTGGGAAATGATAAGAGCACGCGAATTTTAATTTGTTTATTTCACAAGAGGACGGGTTTTTGAGTCAGAATCGCATGAAGAGTTCTTATATTTCTGAACTTCCTTGAGATAAACCGACCAAGGGTCAGCTGATGGCACTTCGGATCCATCTTCATTCAGTTTCGTTTTAGCAACGATTCCTGTTTTTAGAATTTTTCCTCCAAAACGACGACGAATCGGAAGACTCTTAAGTCGTTCTTCAGCAGCTTTTCTTTTCTTTTCAGCTTCAAGTTGGAGTTTGTAGTCTTCTTGCATTTTCTTAAATTGTTCCATGAACGAGCCGTCATTAGCAAAACCTGTAGCAGCATTTATTGCTGGCTTTTCAACTTTTGGCGGCGGATAAACTTTTCCTTGTGCTGCGAAGTGAGCTTTCAAGAGTTCTTCCATCTTTTCATGCACAACAACACGATCATCATCTGTCTCAATATTGCTGAAATCAATTCCATGATCACGAGTAAATTGTTCAAATCCTTCACGTGAAAATTCATTGGAAATTTCAAAAGCATTTCGAGGATCAAAGTGTTGAGTTGTTGACTGTTCACTGCTGCTGTTGGTGTTTTCATCATTTGGCACTTGAATTGAATGACTCTTTGAATTTACTTGAGACGCGGAATGTTGTATTATTGGTGCAGACTTTGGTGTGAAGTTTTTAATGTGCGGACTCAAGCTTCTGCGATTCTTTTTCGAATGGCTACGAGATCTTTCACGATCATGACGGCGAGTATGATTTTTTGCACGATCTCTTGACCTATCTCTTTGTCTCTGATGCCGATCTGAGGATCTATCACGATGTCGATCTGTTGATCTATCACGACGTCGACGCTCTTGTGATCTATCACGATCACGTTTTTCATATCTTGTTGTCTCATGTCTGTCTTTTTTGTGATGTCTATCACGACTAAGGCTCCTGTCTCTTCGTTTGAAGTCTCTTGAACGACTTCTTCTGTCCCGAGATCTTCGACGGTCACGGCTGCGTGATCTTGGCATTTTTACTCTGAAATACATTACACTTGTTATTAAATTACAAATAATAATTACTAAATATACATTATGAATTATTCATAAAATATAACTTAAACTTTACCACGAATAAGCAGCGATTATTTAGAAATTTCAAAGCGACGTCGCTTCCCACTCCAGCAAAACCTGTATCTTAATTTCTTCTCTTGGAAGGTGCGGATTCAACAAAATAAACCTAAAAAATAAATCTGAGCATATAAGTACAGCACTAAATATCCATAAACAAGTTTTTTAATTACTCTGACGAATTCGATCGATTTTTTTGCATGAACCAGCGGACATTTTAGTCAGTTTTAAGGGCATTTTCTCGGGTTTTTAATGGTGGAAGTGCAAGAGACAGTGCCCGAAGAGATTGTGATTTGAGCGTTTTATGACTTTTTGTGAGCCCCTTAATCATTAACTGTTTAAAATTCATATTTCTTAGCGTGTTATGCAATAAATTTTTTGTATGACTCTTTGAATTTTTTTTTTCTCTTTCAAAGGTGTAGGAACAAGCTAAGAAAAAAAATTTTCAAACACATTTTACGAGAAAGCTCTTATCATTTCCACGTCACATTATATATTGTTTCGAAGATCGATTGTTAAACTCGATAATTATATAGAAATCAACTAAGAAAAGGAAGAATTAAACAGAAATTACTAATGAGGAAAATTACCTTGCAGCACGGAAAAATACTTTACTTAAAGATGCAAGAAGTGAAACTTGTTTGCGTCTTTTTCGCTTCTTTTTTTATTTTTTACAAAAAACCGTTGAAAAAAGCTATCTTAAAAATCAAAAACTTCAATAGAATGAGTGTTTCTCAAAATCCCTATTTCATCTTTAGAATTTTTTTTCTAATATCCTAAAGTCTACTTATCCACTAAGTATACTGTGAAATATGTTTTTTACTTTACAGAAACATTTTAGTGTTCAAGAATAAATTTTTCACGGATAACGTGACATGAAAGAATTCAATCAGAATCATCCAATGATTACATGCTGTAGATGATTCCTCATTATAGAACTTATTAGAACTTATTGTATTGTGTCTCTTGAGTATCCAGTATGGAATGTGAAAGGTATTTGATGCTCGGAACGTCGGATGAACTGAATGTTCCTGATAGAAAAAAACTTTGTCGAACTTAACAAAAATTTTATAAAGTTTATTACTCTAAATAAACATTGGACGATTGAAGAAAATTTCAAAGTCACTGTCGTGTGGAACACGAAAAAGGAAAAATGAAAAATCATTCTAATCGAACACAGGTCTTTAGAAACGTGTCAACAAAAATACAATATTTGGACATGAAAACCAATCGTTTCATATGACTAATAAAAATAACAAAATGATTCGTGAAATCTTTTCAATTCCATTGAATAAAAATTCCAAATATATATTTTGTCATTAATAAATGCTGTTTTTATTCGATAATTAAATTTCTTTTTTAATATATCATTACAATTTTGTTGTCAGGGTTAAGATTTTCCCATAAATAACTTTTCCTCTATTTTGTCATTTCTTATCAATTTAAAGATATATCTAAGCAATCATACAAAGCTTATGATCATTGTGTATATTGAGCTCAAAATGTTTTTCATGTTTCTAACACGACAACCCATACACTAAGTAAAAGGAGTTAGATAAAAGATTTTATAAAAATTAAAGCATTTCATATGAAGATGCACAATTATTAAAAAAAAAAACTTTCAGGAGAAGTTGGATTGATGTTAATTTCTTCTCCATTTAACACAATTCACAACTTTTTAGTGTCAATAAGTATAAAACAAATATAAAGAAAATTAAAAAGTTTATTATTATGAGAACTTTTTCTTTTGTTTTGAAACTTCAAGCAATTTTTATTTATAAATTTTAAGCGTAAGTTTTAATGATTTTTATCCTTCTAGATAGTTGAATCAAGAAATAAGCTTTATATTTTATTGAGACGATCAAAGAGAGCACAAAAAATGACAAGTGAAAGACATTGGATTAAATAGATAATTATTTTCTTGAGTTAAATGTATCTGAATTAAATTTTCTATTATGTGGGATGATGAAAAGCTTGACATAAATTATGAATTTTATGTTAACAAACTTTTTATGTAATGAATGAATCTTGGTTTTTAAACAATCATTTTAAAATAAAATTGTTTCAATCTCTAGATATGTAAATAAGAAGAAAAGCACAAATTTATACATTTAAAGAAGGTATAAAGATATGAAAACATGAATGTAAGTAGAAATATTTTCCTTCCTGAATGGTGTCGATGAAAAATCAAACATTTTACTTCTGTCTCGCTTTTATGTGTGTGTATTTGTGTTCGTCTTTGAAACGGAAGAAAATTGTAAAATTTTATGCAAATTTTGTCATCTTTTTTTGGCTACGTCTTGAACATATTTTTGCTTTCTTTCCTGTGGGAATTTAAACGAAAAACAAAGAAGAAAAAAAAAGAAAAATGAAAATTAATTAGAAATAAAATTTGGAGCAATACAAATTTGTTAAATAAATATGAATTAGGTATGTTAAATCATTTGAATGGTTAATAATGGTAAATTTATGGTAGGTTTTTTCAATTTCGGATGTATACTTATGATTAATGCAACCAATTAAAATAAAATAAGATTTACTTTTGTCAGTTCTGGATTGGCATGCAAGCAAGAGACAATTTTTTTATTATTTCTCATCCCAGCAACAAAGATGATGTACGTCTGGCAAAAATATAGCTTAGAGTCCCATTTAGATGTTTATATTATTCCTACTTTTATTTGAATTACATATATTTGATATATGCAGATAAGATGCAAAGATTGAATGAAATATTTTCCAATTTCACTAAATTTTCCATTTCAATATCTTTAAAAAAATTTATGTGATTAAGTTTTTTTCTTTTAACTAATGCTTCAATGTCATTAAAACATGAATTCTTAATTTAACAAATGCACCATTTGACAAACAATATTTGGCTATCTAATCAACAACAATTTAATCTAAATATCGTTGATCTAAGTATTTTAAAATAATGCAAAGATATCATTGAACAAACTTCTTCATCTTATCTTTTCAATCAATAATTTTCTGGAACTCGTTCAGTGCTAAACTTCTTTGCAAACCACAAACAACAATTGAATCCATCGAAAAAGCTCCTGGAAAATTTCTTCAATTACTTTTCTTCTCATAATGAACATTAAACTAATTTCCTTGTTCCCCCAAAAGAAACATTTATGTATAGCTAATTAATTATCATTTAAGGCTTTCATCGATAATTAATTGATTGAATATTTTGAATCACATTAAAAACTTTCAATCACACCCACATGGAGAGAAGCAGTTAAGTTATCTACGACATTGATGAGTACATTAGTGTAACAAAGGATGAAGGTTATTTGTTAAATTTATTATTTACATCTATAGATAAGTTAGTTAGTAAAAGATGTAACAACCGAAAAGAAAAACTTTTTAAGCCCTTTAAAGCACCACATACGTGACAAAAGAATCTTTTTTCTCACTTGGAGAGCAATAGATAGACAGATAGCCTTCAACCTACACCACGCAAGCAGAAAAAACTCCCATAACACGTCATCCTATATCCTGTGGATCTGAGCGGTAAATAGCAGCTCGATAACTGTACCTGTTTGTTCCTTGTTGACTGGTCTGAAGATTTACACCCAACGGTTTAAGTTCATCTTCTTCTCCCAGTGTTGGCGTCGTTGATGTGGCTGTGCTACTGGCGCCGATAATGATGTTAATCATTGTTTCATTTGTTGTTGAGTTAATATGCGAACTCAGCAGATAGACGTAAGTTTTATAGCGTTTCAGCTTTAAGAATTGAAGGAGAGAAAATAAAATGAATTATAAAACTTTCTTCTAACTTTTTCTTAAATGATTACGAACCTCAAATTGTAAGTAATTTTCCTTCTCTCGATGATTTTGTAAAGCTAATCCTTTTGTCGGTGCAGCTCCCGATTTATGTTCAGTGAGAGCATTCTCAAGTTTTGTGACTTGTTCTTCATGTGATGCAAGTTGTTCACGCTAATTACAAATTTATTCGTTTTATAATCAACTTTGAGTGTTGTTTATTAGAAATACTTACAAGCAGTAGTTTTGTATGTGAACATGGAAGAAGTGGGCGTTGAAACCGTTTTTGACTTCCGACGCCCCCTGATAAGAATCTCGTTATAACCTTGACAAAACAAAATGTTTAAAACAAATGTTCAATTTACCTTCAAGTGGCGGTGCTGAGAAAGAGGCACAAACAAAATTGATTGTATCGATCCACGACTGTAGCTCTTTCGAATCGCTCGTTTGAAAGAGATATTCAGATTGATCTGATGTCTGAAGTCTAAAAACATGCTGCTTTTTGGTGTAGTCGTTCGCTTTTGTTGCGAGTGCGTGGTGAATTCTGATTGCGTTGTGAACATTGTCAGATAACTGTGAACGAAGATTAATTGATGTAACTTTTTCAGACACTTATTTTTTACTTCATTTACCTGATTCTTATGGAATCCTCGTTCATCCTTGTGTAAATACATAACGAGTGGATCTCTCAATGTACAATAAAACATTTTCCATGAACGTTTTCCGAATGGTGCTGTAAAGTATTCACAACAAGCTTCAATAAATCGGTGTGTTAAAGCAATTCAAATATTAGTAAACGACGATTAAAAGAAGCATGAAAACAAATTTTGTCAGAGATAAAGAAATCAACGAGAAAACAGATTTTTTGCAACTTATTTTTAAAGAAAACCCATCAAGAGAGAAAACCAATGCTTCTCAAACGCTTCATAGCATTTGCGTAAGAAACAGTTTAAGAAACACTGTTGCATCATTGCATTCTTTCTAACTCACTTTTCTTGTTATTTGAGTCGTAACAGCACTTTCTCATCACATAGCCTTTCTTGTACTCGACAGCCGAAACATTTTGTGGTAAGTCGAGGAAGGGATTAGGTCCAACTGGTGGGCCTGGTAAACTGCTTTCATTGCGGTTTTGTTTTTGATTCAAATCAGTTGAATCATCGTCACTTAAAGGATGAAAAAGTTTTTATTATGACATGAATAAAGTCGAATTGATTTGAAGATACTTACAGCGCCCACTCAAGGGGATTATTTTTAATTGCATGATAAATATGTTTCAGTATATCTTTAGGAAAGTTTTCACCGTCATTCAGTTCACTAAGATTATCGATAAATTCAGAACATGTCATTTTTCTGCCGATGTTCTGTCCATGGAGATCAGTATTTAGCAGCATGATAGCACACGTCAATGTATGGACAGCGTCTTGTGAATTAAGCGTTCTCGGATTGCAATCAAGATAACGCTTTGAAAAATGAACCAGCACACGTTCACGCTCTTGAGTCTCGCCTGAGAGCGCAAACTGATTGAGAAATTGACGAAGAGCTTCATCCAACGTCTTCTTCTCAAATTGAAAATATTTTAAGTATTCATCAGCAACTGCTCGACTAAATTCATTACTGTGAATAGCAAGAAAATGTAGGGAGTGAAATGTTTTGAACAACACAAAATGCTTTCAAATAAAACAACAAACGAAACTTACTTTTTACTTAAATGCCTTGACACATCACTCTTCTTGAATCCATCTAAGCCATAAAGTCTTTTTGCAAGCCGAATAGCTGACGGCATATCGACAGCTTTTGGCGAATAATGGAATGAATGAAGTGAATCAACGTCAGAGCCATCATCGGAAATTGGTGGCGAAGAATCTCTTTGATTAGCCAATTGTATTGTCATTGGTTCATCTGTCAATGTTGCAAGTTCATCTTCCGAATCTTTACAAAATGTTTTATGATTTTCCATGACTTTTCTTTCTTTGTCTTGTTGAATATTATCAACAATAAGTGTTGAATCGGAATCACTGGCTTCACTTATAGCCATTGCTGCTGATAAATCACGTGTACTCAATAAATCGTGTTCATCTTGATAGTCAGGACTTGAAATATTTGAAATTGCTTCCGAAACACTTTGTTCACCACTCATCACCATCAATCCATGAAGACCATTCGAATTATTCCCTAATCCATTTCCCTTCGAGCCTGATGACGACATGACAGAACTCGACACAGATGTTGGTGATGCTGGACTTTCAGAATGTTGTGGTGAAGTACTAATAGAACTTGAATGTGATGTTGGTGAAACAACAACTTGATTAGAATTGTTGGCAGAAGATTGATTCGTAACAGGTGCATTGTATGTCCACACAATTCGATCGTGATCTGAATTCTGATTTGATAGAAGAAATCAAGAATAAAATTAGAAAGAAATTTTAAATCTAAATTATTTACCTGGGAGTCTTCAGAATCATGTCGTGTATCGAGAAGTGTATTAAGCGAACTGTTAACATCTTCATCAATGTCAATTGGAATGGCATTTCCCATTGCACCTTCACGTTGCGACAATTGTAGATGATCTTCAGATCGACTTGTTCTAAAACCTGAAGCATCACATTTTCTTACATGAATTCCATTTTGTTGTTTATTATGACTGTTGCTGCTGTTACGACGAACAGCATCAGATTGAGGGCATTCGGGACTTGTGGGAACAGAACAAGCAAGTTCACGTCGTTTGGTTACTTCGAGAAGTGGCGTTGAAAGAGAAGTTGGAGATGTAGGCACGGAATGGCTAACATCTTGAGTTGGCGTTAGCAATGTTTCACTTCGATTTATTGTCGTTGAGGCGGATGATGTTGTAGTTGTTGTTGATGACATAGAAGCACTCGGTGTGACATTTAAATGTTTTCTATCCATCAATTGTTGTTGATTCTCCTCATTCTGTAAAACGCTATATTTCTGAATCTTTTGATGACCACCGAGACGTCCCGTTTCATTTAGTTGATCGTCGTCACTTCCGCCACCGCCACCACCATCATAATTCTCATTGTTATTTGGCGATGAATTAGATGATGAGTGAGTGTTGGTTGGTGATGATCCGGATGATGACGACGATGAATTGTTTACACAGCCCTTGTTGATTAAGTTATTAAATTTCATCTTTCGCTCTTCCGGAGCTTCGTTCGACGATACTCCATGTTCATTTTCATGTTCATGTTCATGCTCCATTATCAACTGTTCTTCTTCTTCTTCTAAACTGCTATTAATTGAGTTCACTCGACCGTCATTCGATGTAATAATTTTACTTAATTTACTATTCTTTCGATTGTTGTTATTGTTGTTGTTATTATTTGTTTCGATGACATTTTCTTGATGTAATGCAATTTCACTTAAACTTGGCGATGATGATTCGGAAGGTGAAGAATCGTAGATTGCTTTTGGTGCTGTACCGTTCTTCCGTTTTAAGCTTCGAACTGGTGAATCTCGTAAACTGTCAACTTTTTTCGCTTGCGCTGGCAATAAACCCGAACTTTGTGGCGTTCGAGACAAATTTAAGATAAGATCACCTGTCATCATGAAAGCCTCAAAACGTGGTTGTTGTTTCTTTTGAACGATCGGTGAGACACCATTTGCAGTCGGTATGTGTGATTGATAACGTGGCTTGATTGTTTGTGGTGATTGTGGAGCGCTTATAGACGAGACACGTGTATGATTAACAGGAATGCGAGATTTTCGACATGCTGATGATTCCGATGAGCTTATTCGATGTCCACGTCCGATACTATTTGTGTTAATAACTGGAGATGTAGGCGTCGGGATATTTGTATAATTATCAATGTCCTGTTGATGATGATTGTTGCTGTTTGTTGTTAAATATTTGCGAACATGATCTTTAATCGTTGGATCTGATTAAGAGATTTTTCATGAAATTTTCAATAAGAGAAAAAAAGAAAATCTTTGAGCTTTTAACTTACCTCGTTTCAATTCCAACGTTACGGGGTCATTTGATAGACGTAAACATCTGAGTACTGGAAATAATAAAAGCGCGTGTTTATTCAACTGTTTAACTACTTTTCCTAAGGCTCATAGAGCTTACCCTCTTTTGTTGAATAGCGATGAACGTCGGTTCCATTTACTTTCAAAATCACATCGCCTGCTTCAACCTGAAAGAATAAAAGATTTCAAAAATTAATTAAAAATCTCTCTCGACAGTAATTATGATCTTGTAAGAATCGTAAAGCTTTTCTTTGTCACTCTAACTGAGGGGAAAGTTCTATCGAAAATTATCCCAAGAATAAAGAAACCAAGAAGAAAAGTTTTGTGGAAATCTATTTAAGCTTTCAAGTGGAGTTTTCAAGAATTCATATTTCTCTTGAGTGGAGCTAAAACAGTGGAACATAAATGAAAAATTAATATAATAAAAGGAACATCACTTCTGTTGAATGTTAGTGTTAGCGTGACATGAAAGCATCGGATAAAAACATTAAATTTCAACATGCATTTGTGAAGCATTCCATACACGATTATAGGCAGATTGACCTGAATAAAAAGCGAAGCAGACAAAAGTTGATATCAGGTTGTTAGATGCCGCGAAAATCGATATTATTGTATGTGAAAATTGCAGACGGCGAAGGAAAACAACCTCAATTGTGTATTGTAAGTTAATTGGAAAGTTATAGTGAAGTTGAGATGTAATTTTCTTACTTCGTATATCTACGTAAAAGAAGATATATCGAGGGAAGCGAAACGTGTTCTACATCTTCAAGAATAATAACGAATAAGTATCGTCGAAGTACACAGTTTTGTGTTGATAACTTATTGTTGCAGCAACATGACTTGTTTATACATTTTTATGTCTCACTTAACAATCTTCCTTCCATAAAATAAAAATGAATTCGATCTTCTAAGAAGAATAGCAAATCATAAATTATGTTTAAAAACCTTTTCTCAGGTGCTCTAATGTTTAAAAGCTCTTAAATCTAAGTATGTTCATAATCTTTCTAAGTACTTTTATTCGTAACAAAACTCATGCTTTCATTAAATTCACGTTTCGATACACGATTTGTATGCTTAGCAAACAATTTTAAGTAACTCCACCCTTTCATGGTTAAATGTCTTTATTCATTCTTGGAACACAGCAGAATGAATAAAAGTGAAATGGAGACGTGAAAATAAAACAACAACCGAAAGCTATCAAAGCTCTAAATTTAAGTGAGTCAGTAAGGAACATGTTAAGGTAGGTTCACAGAGTTTAGTGCTATAAAACATTTTTAATTATCACCAACTGAGTGAGCAAACAATTTTTCATTACTTCGCATGTAATTTGTTTACAATTTTAAATATTATTAATTAAATAGTAAACATTCAATCACTTTGACTTAAATGACAAATAAAAGTCATCAACATTTGCTAGTTTATTACTTAATGAAAGTTTCACTGAATACTCAGTTGAATAGTAAACAAAGAGATTGAGATGATTGAAATCCCTTTTAAATATAATTATGCATATAAGTCTGGTCATAATTGGAAGATAAAACTTTTTGTCTGACGAACTGAAAGCGAATTTTGTTTTCACAAACTTCGTCATTATTATGTTTCATAACTTTATTGTTTTTAATTAACTTTCATCATAACGACACAAGCTTTCAGTGAAACTTTCTCATTCCTTTATTTATTAATGAAAAGAAATATTTTTTTATTGTTTCTACCATTTAATTCGGTTCACAAAATGAAGTGATGATGAATAATGAACATGCAATCTTTGAATGAGTTCGAACGTAAAGTGCGCCTTAAATCACAATTTAATTTGTAAGAAATGAATATTTACACGTGAAATTACGACATTGAATGTCGTCAAAGAGTCTTTACGATCGTTGAGTGGAAAGAAGTGGGAAATTTATTTATTATTGTGAAAGTCATATGAAAATCGATAAAAAACATGATGTGCGAAAAAGTTTTGCTGATGCAAGCTGAAGTCAATCTTTTGTGCTTTCTTCAACTATTCAGTTATTAAATTATGCAATTTTGTTATTTCCCTGGCAAATATTCAATTGAAATTATAATAATTGAGTAAAATGATGATAAAAATGAACTCACGGAAGATAATCAAATAAAAACTAAGTTTTAATCTAAAGCAATGAAAGAGAATTTAATTAAATTATGTAATGCATGGGAAATTCCCTTGTTACAGTTCACTGAAATGCAATTTATTTACATACAAATTGCACTTGTGTTTGTTGATAAAATATAATTCAAAACTTCGGTCGGTGTTGGCAAAAGTTTAGAAAAGCCAAACGAAAATGCAATTTTAAATATGTGAAAATCTCCCTCGTGCTGTGACCCTTCGCAAATTAATGTTCAGAGATAAAAAAGTCAATGAAATTTTTATCAAACACAGTAGTGCAATAATATTTTATTTACTCCAGACACTCTCTTGCTGAAGAAGCGTCGATTGACATTCTGTGAAAGTCATTTTATGTTTTGTTCCGCTTTTAAGCTTTAATTAAATAACAAAAGCTTTTGCTTGTCTTATAAATTATTCTTGAAACATAATATTTATGTATTTTACTTGATAATTTGATGCCAAGTAAGAGCTAAGCTCTTTTTAAGTCTTTCTTATAGTGATTAGAAAGATTTGTTTCGACACCTGATTTGAAATAGATTATTTAAGTAATTTAATAATTTAATAAGAAAAACTTATTTTACATAAAATGATTAAATTGATTCTTTGTCAATCGAGCACGATCAAAAATTTCCTTATTGTCGATAAAATTATAGAAAAATAAATAAAATCAATCTCATCGACTCGTGTATCCTGTTTGAATCTTTGCCAAATGCTCGAATATTAGAAAAACAAATATTTTCAAAATCATAAGCTCATTGAGATCGTGAAAATGACAAGCGCCTCGCCTCGCTTTGCTCAAAATATCTGCTGATCGTGACTTGAGAGAGATTTAAAACTGAAGAAATATTTTCAATCGAAAACATTGATAAGGAAAATATTTATTAATTAGATACGATAAGAAAATCAATTTTATTGTTTAATTACACATTTCAAAGTTTTTCGCTATCAAAACTGTTTACTTCTTCTAACAAATTTAGAAATTTCAAATTTTTCCCAAAGCTAAAATCCAAACAAATTATATCATCGAAGCGAATAATGAAAAAAACATGTTTTTCATTTGTAGACGATTAAAAATTATTTTGCGACATCACAACATCGGGTGATTGAATAAACTGTGCAAACTAAGGAAATAAAATAAAAATTCTCTCTTTTAGAAATATTTTCGTGAAATTCAGTAATTGAATAGAAATCTATGCCAACAAGAAATAAATATATTTAATGGGATTTCTCCTCGGATACGAAATTATGATTCCAAACAGTGAGCGTGGGGGAGTAAATAGGAAATGAATTGAAAGTAAATGATTGAAACCTCTCAAAAGGCCAATTCAAGGGATTTCCTCAGCTCTGCTACCACCAAGATATTTCTCGAAAGCTTCCCAATAATCTTCATTTAATTGAATCATTTCAAAGGTCAATGCTTTGAACTTTATTCCCTAAAAATTTCGGTAATGACATTTGCTACAGTGAACATTCAACGGTGAAATTGATTTTTATAATCTAATTGAAGATCTAATCGATTATTTACGGTACATTTTTCAGTTTTTAAAGAGAAAAACCTGAGCAGTGGATAAAGTTGACAAATTTCCTCATATTTTTCCTTTCACAAGATAACAAAACATTCATCGTTTATTTACTGATTAAATCCGATATTTTACAAAAGGTTAAGCATTTTAAAAATAAAGACAAAATGCTTGTTGAGAATATTTATGCGAGGGACGGGATTTCGATATTTGATATCCTACACAAGTAAGACGTTGTTTAATGAAGTAAATGTCAACATGAAATCATTCAATGAAACGAATACATATCACAATTGTCAACATTAGAATTAAACAAAAAGTTCTTATCAATGCTATATGCTATTCAGGTTCAAGTGTAAGTATGTATTGTGATAGATAACAGCTTGTTCCGCATCGGATGCTTGTTTTCAATGTTTAAACGTAAACTGCTGAAAGCAATATGGAAAGTTGTTTCTGTTTCTTATCACTTTCAAGTGACATGTAATGTTTATGCAGATAAGTTTGTGGCGATGACTTATTCAAACAAATATTACACTGAAAGATAATATTGCTATATTAATCTTTGTAACAAGAAAAGCTGTGACGTTGTTGTGCGGATCGTTTTAACAAATTCCACTCACGCGAACCTCTTCAAAGGTAAATTCTTTAAATTGTTTTAACTTTGAAGTGTTAAAATCTTGTCACATAAACTGCTACTTAAGTATGAGGTGTTATCTTGCAATCACTCGAAATTATATTCATAAATGCTTCACTGATAAACGTTGACGTTATCTTTCTAGCATTTTAGGTGGAAGCAGGTAACAAATATTTGCTTCATTCCTTCAAAAGAATCACATTTGTTTGAAGTATTTACTACTGAAGTTGAAGATTAGAAGAATGAGACATTGGAAGATGATTAAACGTGCGGCGAAGTAGCCAAGGTATTAATTAGTTACAACACTTAATCATCGCTGGTTCTTTCTTCTTTTCTCTTATTAGATATTTATTACACAATTATTCGCATTTCAGTCACGTCATAAAATAAGTTAACAACAGTTTCATGAATGTTTATGGTTTTAATTTTCTAAAAAATTCCCCTCAACATTTTTTCAAGAGATTATTGGAGTCCGCTACAAATTTGCTTGCCAGCTATTTTCATGTTTAATTGCAATCAACAGAAAAAAATGAAGCGGAGAAAATTTAATTAAAACATTGCTGGAGAAAATTTCTGTGCTGACCATTTCGTTGCCTCGCTTTAAATATGAACTCAGTTAAATTAATTTATTTATGCCGTAAACAGTTTTGCTGTCAACAAATTGTTAGTGAGTTGTTTTGTGCGTTTGAACTTTAATCAGCTTTAAGAGGACCTGTTGAGTTGCCCAAGCGTGAAACAACTTTTAGGTTTAGTCTTAATTAAACTAAATATATTCTAAACACGCTCGTGCAACAAGGTTTCGTGATCTTTTTTCTCATGTATCTATTAATCATTTTAGAGACAATGTTACGCTCGAGATTTGTTTCTTTGTATTTCGAAAAGAAAAAGAAATCTTCAAACTTTTAATCCCACACATGAGAAGGATATTGCAAGACGAATTTCCTTGAAAATGTTTCAGGTGTTTCATGACAACATACAAGAAAATATAAGAACGAGTAAAATCATCCACTCACTGAGTGGATTTCTAACTACAACTCCTTCATTTTCGCTTCCTTTTATCTTCTTCATAAGACTAAACTATTGATTTTCCCAGCTTTTTTCCTCCCGAAACTTCGAGCGTGAAAAACAGCTTCGTCATGCGACCCAGTTCTAAATGAAACTCATCATGAAAAGTGAATGAATATACATTACAATATGAGCTTTTGTTTCCGCACATTTATTTGATGAGTTGAAGGCGCTTTTGAATTTTCAACAAGGCAGAAAATCGTACTTAAGTTAGCAAATGACAATCATTTTCCATTAATCTAATCTCCGACAACTTACTGCTGCTGAGATTGCTTCCTCATTCTCTTAAATTGTGGTCAACTCGAATAATTTAATTTATCATCTTTCATAATATAAATTCAGAAAATTTCATGAAGCTCGTTCACTTATTTTCACTTTCACTTGCTCAAAGTGAAGAAATCTTTCGAATCTCCTAACATTTCTTCTTTCGTCTTTTTGAAGAACTTTCTCATTTAAGTGAAGAAAAGTAAAACTGGTTTTTCATGTCGCGATTTCATTTTCATTTTATGATGATCGTATATCATAACCAATCCTGAAACGGGCAACTTTATGCGTATAAGCAGCAGCGAAATCGCTATACTGCAACCGCAGATTGTACATAAAAACAGTTAACCATTTATTTACGTAAAAATTTATGCAATCTCCCAGGGACAAGTTTAATTGAGCGGAAGAAATTCTGAGCAATATTGGTATGGGATGTTGACGTTGATAAAATATCCCATTGGTTTAATATACAAGAAAATTGATTAAAAGATTCTTTCTGTCAATAACACCCACTGTGCTGAACTATCAGCAAGAAAAAATTCATTTAAGAGAGAACCAAAACAAACATGAAAAGATTTCATCGGTCAGAAACGACGCAAGAGTCTTCAATGCTTCTAATCTTTAACCTTTTTATACAAAGTTCATAATAAAAATCTGATGCTTTATATTATATTTGGTGTTGTCAAGACCTCGTCTTAGTGTTTACATATGTTCAATAAATGTTTACCATTTCCAAAAACCCATAAAGTTCATCTATTAGAAGGAAGAAAAAACAACCGCAAATCTGATGAATCGATATCGTCTGAAAACTCTTACGAAGATCTCGAAAACTAATTTATTGTGGTTTTTTTTGTCGGCCACAGGTTTGCTTTTTCCATGAAATATTTCTCAATGGATGTGAAGAAGTAATAAAACTTGTATATTTCATAACTTTCCTTGTTTTCTTGTTGTTAACAATGGAAACATTTTATTGGTGTCTGCAACGCTATCTAACTTCATGGGAAATTAATCTTCCAATAATTAAGCAAATTGAATCAGCAGATTCCAAAATTAATTTATGTATGTCGACGACTCTTCGAACCTTAAATTCAACTAACGAGCTTTTCACACGCGCTCACATTGCTGTCACTAAACTAGATTAGAGAAATCTTTCCAATTATTCTCTCTTGTAGTGTTGACGATAAGATAAACAAGAGACTGTCAAATCGTGGGTCTGTTTTATCGCGTGAATCTGCTTTTTCTTACTTAATACACATATTTATTGTCATTCTTGAGAGTGGATGCTTGAAAAATGAAATGATCTTGAGAAATAAATAAAATCAACTCACGACTCAATTTACGCAAACTAAAATGAATTTCACTGAAGGTTAAAGATAAATATTACTGTTTAGGAATGTCTACGATTATTTTTTTTGCGGATTTGTGCAAAGCTCAGGGAAGACTTAATTAAATCCTTTAATAAACTTGATTCGAAAGAAACGACCTTGAAATTTTATGATCGGCAACAAAGTATCCGGATCTTTCCTTTCGTTCCAGTTTTACGATAAAAACAGAAGCGTATTTTGTTTGCTAAATAAATAAGAAATAATGGCAAGAAGATAATGTTTAGGATTTTCTAGTGTTAATGTTATCATGATGGCGTATAATATCAAAGCATGGAACGTGGATAAGTCTGAAAGGATTTCGCTGAATATCTTGAAAGCTTAAGGATTGTCAAGCATCGATTTTTGTTATCCTAAGTAGATATTTAAGTTGAATGACATAAAGTGAAAAAGAGATAAGAAGCGAAATGAAACGTCCACGCTTTTCATTTAACGAGAGCTCGTGAATAGAAAAAACTCGTTGACCTAATAAAAGAAAAAGTAAATTTCATTCTTTTCAAAAGAAAATTTTAATGTCGAGACTACATTTTCCGCAAACAGATTTCATTGAAGAATTTTTCGTCTATTTTAAATCGAGATGAAATGTAAACGCAGAAATTTACATTGAAGGGAACCAGTTAATTAAAAATAGAACAGAGAGTATGAGGAAGAAAAGCGTGCAATTTATTTATAGATAAATTTCGCAAGAAATCTTTAAGAAAATATCATCGAAGGCCTTTGTGACCTTTGTGCAGTCGTCGATGATCTAGCAATCTGGCAACATTGTCCGGCAATTAAAAAAAGGTTTGTTTTGACTACTTCTGTTTACACATGTTTGGAGTCAAGTTAAAATAAATTTCAAAGTAAATTGTCTTCCCGGTCAATCAAATCTTGAGTAAAACATCACACACGTGAAATATAAATTTCATTTCAATGACGACTTGTTCAACTCATATTAATATTTAAAATTATCACCCAGTTAATTTATTATCCAATGAAAAACTTTTATTTGATAAAGACGAGACTATGAGAGTAAATATCGTAAAACAGTTCGCAAACAAGACATTAATCATATTCGAATTAATTTTTAGGCAGAAAGGGAAGCAATCAATATTTCCATTGAGTTTCATGTCAATTTTTCTTTCCATCAGACAAACTGAAATTGTAAGAAAGAAAAAAGACATAAAACCATCTTTTATAGCTTTTTATGCACAATCTACTTGATATCGCCAATAAACAACTCAATAAATTTCATGTTGCACAGTACATTCGAAAAATGTTGACAAGAGCACAGGAATTAAATTGTGCACTCGTTAGCCATTCTGGTGCCGACAAGAAGATTAACATCCTAGAAAGTTTCGTTTACTTTCTGCTTGTCAATGAACTTACAACCGAGAAATTTTTATCAGTTTTTCTTTTTCTTGTTTCGCGTAATTCATAAACAGAATTAAAATAGACGATAGACGTAAAAAAGTTATTGAGGTGCTTTTTCTTCATTTTTATTTTCATTTCATCGTGTAATTTGAAACGTTGCCAGATTTTTCTTTCTCTTATGATAAAAAATTAATTTTCCCTCTTTTGTAAATAAATGCTGGGAAAATAGTTCAGTTTACATTAAATGCTCCCTCGTTACATTAGAACGTGGACATTGACAACATAATTTTTGCTCGTTTTATCGGCTACGTTCAATAGCTTGTTCATTCAAAATGAAATGAAAACAAAACTCGATAAGCACAAATAATGCAAGTAAGCAAAACCATTTGACTGGAATCTAGAATTAGCTTATGCGCCACAAAAGAAAGAACTCCATTGTGGTTTTGAAATGAGATTCGTGTATTTAAATATGTATTAAATTGTTGCTTTACCTCGTAGAACGTGCAGAGAAGTTATGAGATAAGCAAGGAATAAAGTTAAATGTTAGAGTTTATAAAATGATCCAAAACCACTATTCAACTTAATAAATATTCAAGGAAACATCAGCCACATTAGATAATTAAGAAACAAAGCCAACATCTATAGATAACCTTCATCAATAGCGACTCTAGAAAACTAATAAATACAACATTAACGAGAACAATTCATTCAGCATCCACAACATAAACCTTAATGTAAGTTGACGTGCTTGATTGTGCGAACATTAAATCCATTTATGTTTGGTTGCACGAAGCATTAGTGCTGCTTTTCCATAAATTATTATTACCTAAACACGATAATGAAGTTAATTTGCTAACTTTGCGACTGTGTCGTTTGTTTTCGTTAAATAATTTATTATCTTTTTTTAAAATGCCGAATATGGCAACTTTTTTGAATTTTACAGTGAAGATCGTTCAAATTAGTTAATTTAATAAACTTTACGTATTATAACTTTAATTATGTATGTTTAATCAGCTGTTATTCAAACTTTTTATTCTCATTCTCCTGTCACCCAAAAGTAAAATGTTCAGTCATGAATCTTCATGAATAAAAATTACCATTTTTTACTTTTGAAACTTTCACATTAATTTCATTGATTTTTCATTCAATGAACTTATCAAAAATTCAGAATTTCAATTTATTTTTTCACTGTTTCATTCGGAACTTTTGTACAGCTGTTTATGTCTTATTCAAAACCGACACTTTAAACAAATATTTATGTTGTTTCGTGAATCTTCTTCTCACTCAATCTAACAAAAGTAATTTCACTTTATGAAACAATTTAGTTCACTTTTATCAAGCTTTAGGTTGTATAAAATTTATTCTTGATCTCTTTAAAACTTGTTTATGATTTCTTTCCTTATTCAATTCTATACACTTAAAGCAATTTTCATATTCTTGATGTTGCTATTTCTAAGTGGCATCTGAGATAATTCAGTTTTTTTTCTTATATTTTTGTTGTTTGAAGTTTTTTTTTGGTTTACTTTGCACTTTGTTGCTTGATTGTATGTATATCTACATAAGTATACGTTTTACTGAAAGCTTTTTATTTGTTTTCTGAATAAATTCACATTGACAATCGATTATAAATGTTGACAATATTTTAAGTCTAGAAATTCAAGATGAACAAAAAAATGAAAATCACACAAACGGAATTCCCGTCATTACTGTTCAAAGATTCTCATCAAACTGCTTGTTTTGCTCCAACATTTAAACCGACTGTATGAGAATGAGAAAATGTGCTCAGTCGCGCTGTTTTCGTAGACGAAGACGAAAATAAAATGTTTGACTCACAACAACAAGAGAACGACGAATGTTTTGCTTGTTGGGAAAGCGAAAAAATTTCTTTCTTTACTTTTTTCCACATGGCGCAATGTTTCTCGCTCAAACTGGCTCATTTTCTCTTTATACATTTCTCGCTAATAATGCTAAGGAGAAACAGAAACAACAACTGAATTGGTATCATCGTTCTCATTGAAACTTCACAAGTATTAAAAATTCAAAGGATCTAGCAGACAATGTTTATGCTTCGAGGGTTGCCTTGTCAGTTCAGTATCGAGAGAAATAAATTGTCGGTTCATTTTAGCATAAACGATGATATTGATAACGGATGAACTTTGCTCAGAAACCTTCAGACAGTGATGAGGTCTTCTCCTAAGCTCGTAAAAAAAAGGTTGCATTTACGGCCTTCATAGAACCCACAACAGTGCAATGAAAGAACCTCAAAGTATCTCTTAGCATATCCATAGCACAATCACACTCAAATAACCGCAAATAAATAAAATGAAAATTTTATTTTAGGGCTGTTTTCTCCCTAAAAAGGCTTTACTTTCTCCATCCGCTAAGCTAAAAGAACATAATTTACGGCACAAGAGTATCCTTTTATCTCTTCAGTACCATTTTCAGACACACTTTGGAGCAGTGTCGTGACATCAAGACATTATTCATCGTGTGAAGAAATCATTGCGCTCTGCTTTAAGCAGGAGAAACAAAAAGTTGCTTTGTAAGAAAACGAAAGTTAAGCAAGTGCTTGTTTCAAAGCAATTGTTAAGATTTTTTTCTCTGTCTGCTAGCATGGAAGGTGCTATTTATGGTTGCAGTTATTTTGTTGAATGATTTTTATCTCCAGTGATTTTGAGTTTGTTTAACTGTCAGTGATTTATGAGTTCAACTCCGTCATTTGAAATCATTTTAGTCGTCTTTCAAATTGATTAAAATCTCTCACCACTCACTCGTCAAAACTCATCAACTTAAAAAGTTTTTTTCTTTATTTTTGTTGACTTAAATCGATTGCATTTCTTTCTGAACATTCCACGGTTAACAATGGTTGACTGAGTAGATATTATACTCTTCTTTCCTTTGTTCTTTTTTTTTCGTTGCTATTATTGCAACAATTCGTCGGGATGATTGCTCTTGTCGAAACTCTCGCGGTTGAATTACTTATTGTAGTGACAAAACATATTTTAATGTCTAGAGAAACAGAATTTCCTCCTTTTATCAAAATTCATTTGTTTCACGCCATTAAAATGGTGAAAAATCTTTTGTTTCATTACTTGTCACTCAAACATCACCAGAAAAACTTTCTTACTACCATTTTCATTACATTACAACGTGAAATTCGAGGCATAATGTCGCTCATTTTTACTTTCCTCTTTTTAAATTTGAAAGCTGATGTCAGAATTCGTCTTGATTAACTACTAATGATAAAAAAAGCTCTTCCACGTTTTTTTTAATAAACCACGAGAACTGTCGCAGACAGAACTTGATGATAACATCTACAAAATTCGTTCTTGTCGTCAACAATTTCACGATGTTTCTATTTTTTTTTCTTCAAAACATTTCAATAATAAATATTTATCTCATAAAAAATTTGTTATAGGTTTGATCTTGTTTCGATTACGGTAATAGCAAGGCTTACGTATAGAATTTTATGCTTATTTCAAAAAAGAGAGAAATTTATGTTTGTGTGTCTTTGAAGCAATGATGCTCTATTTTCATAGGATTATTTAAACAAAAGGATAAGCTCTACGGCGGCTTTATGAGGGTAAACACACTGTCGAAAAAGGAAGAAGAAAGAAAGCCATTAAACTGTAATCTCAGCAAAGCAATGACATTGTGGTTGAGATTATCAACGGAGCATGAACTTTTCACTCCACCTATGCTTAGAAAATGTACGAACAAAAGTTGAAGAGACTCCTTGTTACCATAAAAGCTTAAAAGAACAAAATGTCCATCATTTCTTTTTAACAAAGTCAATTTTAGAAGTAAAGCTTAATGGATGGATGATCATAAGATGTTATTATGTGAAAATAGATAGTTTTGTCTTCAATGGATGCTAAAAGTCATAGAACATTTGTTATCCTTGGACAAGAGCTGAACTATGTAACATAGTTATGACAATAATGACGTAAGATTATCTTCAAGCAGATATTGTAAGTTATCGTTTACAAATAAAAAATCTTATTTGTATGAAAATTGAGAGGATGCAACTAATGGAAAGTTATGATTGTAAATTGCAAACCGTCAATTGCACAGCCTTGAGCAGCTCAATGTTTAAATTATTTAAACCTTGTTTCTTTATAAAATATTAAAATGTAAATAAATGCAGAAAGAAAAATCAATAAATCTTTTCACTTTATATAATTTCAACCGACGACTTTCATGAAACAGAAGCAAATGTTTAGTTTACAGGCATATGTAAGTATTTATACTTCCACTACAATAAAGTGATTCACAATAAAAGCTTTTTGTGTTACTCACAAGTGTTAGAGATTAAATTTTATTCCTTAACAACTTTTACTTGTGGTCGCCAAGTGTTTAATTATGTACATTCATTGTATTCTATTTATCTTCAGAGATTAAAGCTTAACGGAGATAATGCATGTGAATGCTTCAAAGCAAATGTGAAAAGTCTGTGATTGCATGTTACGCTTGAAGTTCATTAAAACTTGTTTTTTATGGTTTATTTCATGTTAAGAATTTAAAGTCTGCCTTGAATATTTTGACAGTCAATGGCATGATGAATGAAAGTTTAGCTAACCAAATAACATTTTTTCGAGCAAAGTGAGTTGCTTGTTATGTTTTCTATTAAATTATGCATGCTACTGAACATATTTTTGTAGGTACTTCCCTTCAATTTAATTTCTCATGAACAACATGAAGTATGTCACACGTTATAAAATTCTACATAAATAAACTTATTTATCAATAAGGACCATCACACGTCACAATGTATTTAATTTACAATACTTTTCATTTATGTTTAGCAGATGAAACATGACGGCTTCGTTTTATTAGATACAAAATGAAATGCTTTTTAACTGACACGAGAGTGTGAAAGATTGATGTTTTAATTGTATTTCGTGTAACTTTACAACAATTAACTTTGATAATGTTTCACATATCTACTTGTTAGACAGCATGTTACAACAGCTTTGAAATAAAATTGTTCTGCCACGCAAATTTCATTTCATTGTTTTTCTTAAATCTTATTTAAAATGGAAAAATCATGCAAAATAAATTTTTCATTAAAAAGCAGTTGTGAAGAAAAGTAATAAAATTAAAAATGCTTTCAGATGTTTGTCATTGCATAAAATTATTTATTGCTGTTTGTAGTTCTGCGTCATATTTATTGGTATCATTCAAAGTTCGATTCAATAATTTTATCTCGAATTTAATGTATGTAAATATGATAAGAAACTTGGCGTGCCATGTCTGACGACTTAGCTTGTGTGTCAACAATGACATTCAGGGATCTGTGAACTCATATAATCGACATAAAGTTTAATAATAAATTCTACATAATCTCATATGACGTACAATGAAATTTTCCAGTAGCAGCTCCAAGAAAAATAAGTTCAGGTACTTTCAACTTCTTATTTTATCTTTAAGAAATAATAAATTTAAAATGACTATAAATAAAGTAGACAAGAATAAATGTGATCTATCTTTAGCTTCTCTCTTCAATTATTTACACCTTTGTCTGTCTAATACATACATCAATTATGAAATTTAATTCCATGCTATCAAAATCGATTTGAAAGAAATATTTGTAAATAGAAACTGGGTCAGTTAAGGAATTTTAATCAATTACAAATGATGCTAAGCAAGAATGTCAAATCAATGAGCATTTAACCGTCCGTGATCAATATCGGGTTCTATTTGATCCTTTCTGTCGTTCTACTTTTCTCGATTAAATGACAAAACAAGATTCATTGAAAGCAATCAAGTCTAATGTCAATCAATTCCATAAAAACCGTTCAATAAGCTCTCTTTTCCTTACCGAAAGAAAAAATCCTGCCAATTTTTTATTTTTTCATGCTCAACAGACATGAAAGAGAGTTGGAACAAAAAATGTATTAAGCAGACACAACAACATTTCATTGCACTTTTAATGGGAAAATATTTATCAATCCTCGTTCGGTTCGAAAAGAAATATTTCTAAAATTAATAAAAAAAACATTCAATTTGTAGCAATCAGGTTTGAAAAGTGATATACGTCACTTATAGTGAGAGTTTTATGGCAATTCATGCGATATTTCATTTCAAACGTGGCAAAGGGAAATGTAAGCTTTCACGAGCTGCCTTTTCGAAATTAATTTGTAAAGTTCAACACGTGTTAATTTGTACTTGAGTGAACTATCTGGAATAAATATTGTGTAGGCAGTTTCAAGAAGTTTTATTATTTCTCGTACTTAAATATACACACAGAGATTTATCATCTTTGGGATGTCAGAAAGTTTGACGTGCGTTGGAGAAATCAGAAGTTGATTTGTATTAGGAAGATGGAATCAAAATAAACATCTAAATTAAATAACAGAATCTAGGAAATGAAGAGGAACTTTAGGAAATCATACAAACATGTTTTACATTACGATTCTGACCAAGGTATTCAATCATAAGAATATTTAATAATCTTAAAAGATCGAGAGGGTAGCTTGAGTATTCTCCAAAGTTTGATAGCACATGTTGACATTTGAAAAGGTTTCCTTCGTCTGAATCCTTTCTGTGATCAAAGAGTTGAACTTGTTAAAACTTTTTTATATGATTAGAGAGAATAAAATTTATTACCGCAATAAATTCGAAATATGTAAGGAGAACTTTTTCTCCGTTCTTTATTTGATGAAAAACATGGGAGCTTTCCCACTTATGTTGTCTGTAAAAACGGGTCAGGATGTTATCGATTTTCCTTCCTCCAACTAAAGAAACTCCAGGAACTTTTGAAAATTAAATCTTATAGATAGAATTTTCGATGGTTTGGGAAAATAAAAGGAAAATTCAGGGAAAAGCGTGTTGAGGTGAACGGAAGAAGGTTTAAAATTTATTGGATCATAAATCTAATAAAATTTTCTTTCTATCTTTTCTCATCTTTTGAAGGTGCTTTAAATACAGTTCCAAGATTATTTCAAAGAAAGTTACGATAAGATTTAAATAAATTTATGCTAAAAGTAATTTGGAGAAAGTTTGAAGTTAATAAATATTTTTAGACGATTCTCTCGGCGATTCCTTCGACGATTTTCCGTAAGATGAATGAATACAAACAAACATACGCAGCTAATGAATGCTAAGCAATGTGTTTCTTCTAAAAATAAGACACCGGCTCTCTATTGACTAAGTCGTGAGCGCATTTTTCTTGTTTTTCAGTCGCAGTCTCTTTTAAAGTTTTCCCTTGTAAAGATCGAAATTGAGGAAAATTCTTGAAAAAAGAAAATCAAGATGGACGGAATGAAAAGTGGATTTTTCTTGAACTTTTATCAAAAAATTCGAAATAACTTAAAAAGTGAAGAGATTCAAGCTTTCACAGAATCAAATTCTAATCAAGAACGTTTTAATTTCGCATACCGCGTGAGTCATGTTCACGATAGATTGAAAATTCATCGTCATGAACGAGGTTCACCACTTCAACCCGACAAGGATGAAATTTTCTTTTATAAAGATTTGAAGTGTGCAATGGAAATGAAAAAAGTTGGTAACAAATTCTTTCAAAACCAACAGTGGATGGAAGCTTTGAATTTTTACAACAAAAGTTACATTATGATGCCGAAAGAGAATTGTAAGTAATATTGGATTCATTTTAATGACTTTTCTTTCATCTATTTTGATTTTTGTTTTAGCCACTGACATTTCCATTATCTTTGCCAATCGTTCAGCGGTTTTGTATCATACACAACAATATGATGCTGCATTAAAGGAAATCGAACGTGCCGTTGATGAAAACTATCCGAAAGATTTGATGTATAAGCTTAAAGAAAGAAAAGCTCGATGTTTACTTGCAAAAAAGAATCACGTAGAGGCACTTAAAGCTTTTCAAGAAGATGTTAAAGCTTTAGATGATTCAAGTTTGCCGCACGAGAAGAAAATGAAACTGGAACGCGATGCACAGATTATGATAAAACTTATGCAAAAAAATCTTGAGATTGAAGCTAAGACAAAGAAGTCTTTAAAAACTTTTCAAGTAAAGGAAGCTAAGAAAGATAAAAAGGAAGTCGTTGATCGTTTCATTTGTGATGCAGTGTCGTTTGAGTACACGGAAAGTGAAGGTCGTTTTGCGAAAGCCGGTAAAGATATTAAACTTGGGACTTATCTCGTTCAAGAGAAACCTCACGTAGCATGCTTGTTGCAGATTTATTCACAAACCCACTGTCAGACATGTTTCAAACGGACAAACGTTCCAATTACATGTCCCAATTGTGCTGATGTTATTTTCTGTTCAGAGAAATGTCGAGACGAAGCATTGAAAACTTTCCATCAATTTGAGTGCGGCATAATGCAACATTTATGGAATTCTGGGGCTTCAATTACTTGCCAAATGGCACTTCGAATTATAGCACAGAAATCACTCAAATACTTTCTCGATATTAAACAGGAAATCGAAAGTTTGAGAAGTAATCCTGATTACGAAATGATTGACGAATATGGTAACGATGACTATCGACGTGTCTTTGTGCTCGTAACACATGAGAAAGAAAGAACTTTCGAAGACATTTTTCATCGCTTGTTGATGGCATCTTTTTTAACTCACTGTTTGAAGCTTACAGGCTTCTTTGACGGCATGGAAACTGATGAAAGGTGAGGATTGAAGTGATGTTGATGTTAACGCCAACATTGATATTTTGAATGTATTTCAGCTTTGACTTTATCGGTTCACTCGTCTATCACAACCTTCAGTTTACTCAGTTCAACGCCCACGAAATATCTGAACTTCAATATAAGGGTAAAGGTGACGTTGGTACATCAACATTTATTGGTGGTGGTCTCTATCCAACTGTTGCCTTTTTCAATCACTCGTGCGACCCGGGAGTGGTACGATATTTCAATGGCAATGTTATCATGGTGCGCGCCTTAAAACACATCCCTGCGGGGGAAGTTGTTGCCGAAAATTACGGACCAATATTCACTCAAGTTGCCAGGGAAGAACGACAAGCCCAACTCATGAAGCAATATCACTTCAAATGTTTATGTAAACCGTGTTTGGAGAATTGGCCTATGTTTAGAGAAATGGATGACAATATACTTCGATTCCGTTGCGATGGTCATAATCGAACATGCAAAAACGTTTTACTTGTACCGCTTGACGTCAACGAATTTATGATCAAGTGTATTGAATGCGGCGAGTCAACGAACATCATGAAAGGATTAAAAGCACTTCAGGATACTGACATGATATTTAAAGCTGCGACACGATTACTTGAAGCTGGAGACACAAAAAATTCTCTCGGAAAGTTTGTTGAGAATTTAGATTTGATGGATCAATCGCTTGTGCCACCTTTTCGCAGTTACCATCTGACACAGCAGGGCATCCGACGATGCATCATTGAGTTTGGCAATAAGACTTTCTTATAATGTAATTATGATGAATTATCCATAAACAAGCTTTTTGTTCGGATCAACAATAAAGAAAAATTGTTTTCAGTTTTCATTTATCTTCAGGAATTTCTTTTTATGTTGTCTTAACTTATTTTCTTCTCCTTCCTACTCTGAACTGAAAATTTCTCATGTCCACTATTGAGACATCATGGCGCTGTCTTCATAAATAAACATTCTTTGTTGCTTATGCTACCCTAATTGCTACTCGTAATATTATTGCGATGCGAACATTTCCATCTTGAGCGTCTTTAAATCTTTTTTTCGCGTTGCTATGATGCAAATATTTTCACTTGTCGATTATAAATTTAAATTGCCTATTTAAATTGTAATTTCCCTTCATCATCGCAAGTTTATCATCATCTAATTATTATTTCAAAAACGGTAATTTTCTTCCCAACATATACTTGTTTGCCATTTAAATGAAATAAATGATAAGCGAGAGGTAAGCCTTTGGTATCTAATTATAAATTTCAAGAAAACTTTTCGAAAAGATATAAATTTTGAAGAAGCTTTTGAAGTATTGTCATTCTAACCTGACATTTTCCATGTCGAAATCCTACACAAACAAAATTAGGTCAGCATTCATTGGCGACAGAGAAAAGCGAAAGTAAATATGACAAATGCTCTCAGCGGGATAAACTTCTCTAAATTCACTTTAAATTTAACATATTTCAAGTAGATAAATTGTAAACATGTTTAAAACATCTTTCAGCATAAACGTTTTCATGAATGATAAAGAAAGATGGATTTATGCTTCGCTAATTCCATTAAAGCTTAAACTTTACACAAATATTTCTGTCGCCATAACTCATGGCGATGAAGACAAAAAGTTTTTCATCCTTCATCGAGACGTCAAAAAACACTGTCAAGTGGAAGTGAGTAAATTTTTTTTATTTCCATTTTTCTTCTTCTTATGTGATCTTTCTTAATGCTTCTTGCACTTCATTTGAGAAGTTGAAAAAGTTTTTGAAAAAAGAGAAAATCTTTATGATGATGATGAGCATTCGTTGAATTTGAATGCGTTGATTTTATTATCTTTATCTCAGATCTCAAATTATTTCAGCTTCTTCAAACTTCATTCCATTCTTTCTCATCTTAATTGTTGTGTTGTTCTTCAAACTAATTGCGTAGCTGATTTTAAACGCAATTCAACATGAAAGAAATTTCTTGCCGGTTGGAATTGGAATTGGAAAGCCAGATTGTTATATGTTAATTTAAATGAAATATTTAAAGCTTATGAAGAAGCTTCTTAAGTAATTTGATTTGGTGTTTATTGTCTAGTCATTCAAATGTGTTAATATCTTCTTTACCAACAACATGAACTTAAACTTAGTGTCTAACTGAACATTTTCTACGCTCATCTTTTAACACACAAATCGAATCAAATAACGCGATTTTGCTTGTAGGTGGAGAGTTGAATGTCTTCTTATTTACTGTCGCAATTATTTATTGCTATAAAAAGCAAATTAAAACCTTAATTCAGACAAAATGTGAAAATAGCTCTGATGTCATTGATTGATAAAGAACAAAAGTTGAAAATTTCAAACATGAAAAATTGTAGACATTCGACTTTAAATGCCAATGGCAATTGACAATTGTCATGACAATATTCCATTTTAAAACTGAAAGAAATTTATAGAAAATCCCTTAAACATGCATCTAGACATTCCTTTTTAATGCTTTTATCGACCTTAATGAATCTTTATGTGCTCGTTACTATAATAAATTGAGTCAAGGTGTATGTTAATGTAAATATTGTGAGTAAGCTCTTTAATCCCCTTAAGACTAACATGTATGGTGACATATAATGAATGAGAAAATCGATAGGAATCTAATTAGAAAACAAAACTCTAACAACAATTGTAAAAGGTAACTTTTGGCACAATTATAATTGCAGAATCTTTAATCGACATAAAATGAAGAAAATTGAACAAAATGTTTGCTTATTAACGAAAGCTTGTCAAATTTATATCAGATATGTGAAGTTAAAAGTTATATTTTTCAATAAAAAGCTGAATATCTTCTAATCGGTATTTTTATTGCTTTTATATTGATATTGATAGCGGAACAAGATTAAGAAATTTTCAAATGTTTCTGTATGAAAAAAGCGATAATATCGTGAGCGATGATATCATCAAATTTAACTTCTTATAAAAACATACAATCCTAACAATGTTGTTAAGAAGAAGGAATTCTTACAATAATTTTAAGTTTTATAATTCCAATTTCATGTTAATTTTTTCGTTCTCCCCTAGCAAATGTACGCTTCATAAAAACGAAACGTTTCACGTCTTCGCCATCAAGCCGAATAAAAAAGTACACAGCGTCATTAGGGTTAATTATGCAATGAGAATCGTGCTAAAGACCGCAACAAAGCAAAAGACATTCATCATGAGTCATGAGACAAGCTAACGTTCTGCATTTTTCAAAAGGAAGTGAATATTATTTAAGCTGAAATTCAATCAGACGCGTTGAGTGAACCACGCGTGAAAAGCAACATAAATATACAAGTCGAAGTCGTCAAACGACCTTCAAGATACGTAGAATGTTATTGAATAAATATGGATGTGTATACAACTTATATACAACACCAAAAAGTCCGACATCAACATTGTCCAATTCAATGGCGTCTTGGTGAGAAATTAATTTTTAACAATTCAGATTACACAACACTGTGATGATAATAGAGTAGACACTGAATAAATAAACAAATAAACAGACGAAAAGATTTTATGCGTGAACAGCAGCTGGACCATAATGACGCACTTTAAGTGTGACAAGAAGAAAGAAAAGTTAAATGCAATGTCATGGGAAAATCCCCTTATGGTTCCTTCCATAGAACATTACCATTGATTTTTAATTAGAGTCTCAGAAAGACTTTGCTCAAGAGCATTTGCTCAGAAGCTTTGTCAATGACCATAAAAAGATGAATTTATTGGCTTCATCCTGACTTTTCATAATAGTTAATCGCAATCGACATCAATGTGTTTCTCTTCTTCGTGGTTCTTTTGTCGCTGTTTGTGTTGAATGTTTTTTATGTTTTTTTTTTCTTTCCGAGGGAGAACAAGTAAGGTTCAAAGAACCAATATCTATCTGTATAGTTGGAATTGTAATTATTAAAGTGAATATTTGTAACATCTGTAGATCATTTTAAAATTTCATTGGCATTTCAATCAGATATTCTTATGATTTCAAAGATAAGCTAATGATTATTAACTTATCGTTATTTTTTCTTAAATATCATTCTTTTCTTGTTGCCTTTTAATTGTACACACTGTCCAAATACCATCAAGAAAAAGGGCAAAATATACTGTTGGGTGTGTTCGCGGAATCAACCGAAAAAGAAGTTTGTATTTTTACATTTCTATCATCATTTTTCTGAACAGATAGTTTTAAAAATATTTTTAACAACTAATTGACAGCGATTTTCAGAAGCATTTCTTTTTACTCACTCTCGAGATTCTGAGTGGATGCGATAAATTTAGAACTTTTCTTCTGTTCAACTACAATTCTATAGTTGTTCCAGAGTGCAAAAGAAAAACAAAAACAACAAATCAAGTTGTGAGACGTTTTCAATTGGAATTATTGCACAAGATCGTTCGTCTTCCATGAAAGGAACATTTATAGTGTGGGCATCACGAATGGATATAAACAATATCGATTTGAGCATTAATTAAATAAATACTCCAAAAAACACGGAGTCGACGAAAAATAGGAATCGACTTTGAAAAATTGTTATTTTGTGTAACTTTCACTTACCTCACTTTCAGCTGCCGGAGAGTCCTCAATAACATCATAAATCACATGAGGGATACCAGCAAATTTGCCCAATAATGAAAAACCAAAACTACCTTCATCACTTTTACTTAAATTAATTATTAAATGTTGAGACATTTCTCGTAAGTTCACAGACAAAAATTCACTGTATTCCAACATAAAATTATCCACGGAATACAAAGTTGTATTCCAATAGATGAAGTTCCAACAAGGAGTAGTTCAAGATTTTGAATTTCGTTACACAGTTAAAATTTGAAAGAATAATCCTTGATGGAAGAAATCATTCTCAACTTAATAATTTTTACTTAATTTGATTTATAAATAATTTGAAATAAACAAATGAAGGTAAAAACGTAATGAACAAGTGCTCATTGGGTAAAATTTTAGATTTTTTCAAGGGGTAGTTAAAGAGTCTGAAAATTTATACAGTGGAACTTCGATAAACCGATACGTCGAATGCCGATATATTTATGTTCCTTGAGCCATCGGTTAATAGAAGTTCCACTGTATTTGAGTTCAAACAAGTTTTACTCGTAAACTCTTTTTTTAGCATTTCTCGGCAAATATTAATCAGTAAACAATGGAGTTGATATCAACATTAGTTAAGAAAACAATTCCAAACTATCTTTCAGGACTTCCAATTCCTGATACTTTTGGAGGATGGTTTAAATTGGGATGTAAGTAAACAGAAAGAACTTTTCTCCTTGAAATCAAGTGCGAAATCTGCCTGTTGAATAAATTTCAAGTGATTTTTCTAATGTGAAAATAATACCTTGAAGGATCAATATGAAGTTTGACTCTTTATTGACACAAAATTCACAACGTAGAGAAATTTTATTTGTTGAGTAATTAGAGATCATGCCCCAATTCCGGTTATTGTGACGCAACACAAGTTTCTTTTCTTTTCACATTTATAATTTTTTTGCACTTAGTTTACTAAATCGTCAGGTATCAAACCAATACCAATAAATGCATACTTTTTTTCAATTGCTCAATTATAGTCAAAGACTGGGTTTCCTTGGTGCCACCGACAGCTTTAACAGCAGGCTTAGTCTATGTTAGCTATTTAGCGCTCTGTCCTGCTTCTCCATGCCGAAGTGGCGCTCGTTCTAATAAGCGTGTTAACCAGAAAGTTCGCCTTAACGAAGCTAAAGTTGTTGATATGATTGATATTGAAGATATCTCCGAAAAGGCAGCTTTTTGCCGTTGCTGGAAATCAAAGAACTGGCCGTATTGGTAAATAAATTCATCAGCTGATCACAACAACAATGACAAATAAAATATTTTTTTAGTGATGGAACTCATGGAGAACATAACAAGGAATGCAACGATAACGTAGGACCAGTCGTGGTATCTCGCAAACAAAAGTAACTCCATCGAGCGAGTTTGAAAGATTAGTGGCAAAATTTAGTTTTTCTTCAATTCTGAGATCATTCAATGATACAAAATAACGAAAACATTTAATTTTCATACATTTATCTCTTATGCAAGCAATAATTTTCCTTTTTCTTTTTGTTTTCCAAAATAATTTCTATAAATTAAAAATTAATTTACATTAAAGCATAGCAAGACATTTCTTTGTGATTTTTAAAACAAATGGAACAATACAGATGATGATAAAAAGGCGAGTGAAGATCGAAACGAATTTGTTTGATTCCTGAAAGAAGAAAAGTCGGGAAAATAAGAAAATTTTCTGTAATTTTTAACAACTTTATTTAAAATGATTTGCTTATTCTTTCCTCAAAGCGAGAGAATTTCGTCGAATCTCGATCTTGTTTCTTTATCATTGTTTTTATCAGCTTTAGATTATTTATTTTTTATCACAGTCGCAGAAACGAACGAAGACGAGGAATCGCGGGGTTTTCACAATTTGTACAATATATTTAAATTTCCTTGGTAGCGAAGAAAGATTTATAAGGAATGAAAGATGGCACTACAGAATCATTGGCTGAAGCATTTAAAGACCAAAATATCTGACGTCATTGTTATTATAGTAATCATCTTCTGTTACGAGGCGTTGTCGCATACCGTACCGTCTTTCAAGTGTGCTGCGCCATAAAATTAGTCCAATATAAGCGACTACTGAAAAAACAACCAGAACCGATGCAAAAATCATTGCGATGTGTCCGCCGTGCAAGGTCGGCTCATTAACAACATGATCATCGAAAACTTTTATTGTTGCTTTTTCTGATCCGTTCCGAGCAAATTCTTCTTCCAAGTCATATTCTTTCTGTTCGTCATTAATCTCTTGAATGTTTTCAGCATCGGATTTCTCGCCTTCGTTTTCGATGTTGTCGTAATCGTCTTCGCTTATTTCAGTGGTAGAATTTTCAGCAGCGACTGTTGTTGTTGGAGATGTCGTGGTCGATGTTGTGGTTGATGTCGTGGTCGATGTTAAAACAGCCAATGTTGTGCTGACGACAGTTGTAGATGATTCCGATAAATTTGGTTCCTTAAATCACAAAAAAAAGGTGAACTTGATTAATGATACATTTTTCATCACACAATTTCAACACGACACATGAGACGTGAATTAATCGATGACGTCATTCAATCACTTCTATAACCAACAACATTACACAGAATGATTCGTCAATTATTTTAGTTCATTGCGGATTAGAACAGAGAATAGAAATAAGGAAATGACTCACGATAGACAAAGCAATTTAATGAGATTGAACTTGATTTTGTGAAGATTAGAAATCATGATAAGGTAATTACTTCAACTGGATTAGAATCTTGACTAAGAACGCCTTGAAGAATCTTTAATGCTGTTTCGTTCTTCGGTAAGTTTTTCTCTTCATCTACTGGAAACAAGAGCGGAGGAAGAGTGTCAGTAGCATCTGTTCCTTCAACTGATGCATTTTGGGAGTCGTCAAGTTTAATTGTCTCCTGAGAAGAAACTTCGTCAGACCTTCCTGTCGCTGTCCCTGATGTTGTTACCGCGATTTCACTTGACTTTTGTTCGTCTGATAATGGAATTGCTTTGACTGATAAGAAAACTGTAAATAAAAAAGGAAATTAATTTATCAGTAAACATTTCTGATATCTGACGTGATAAAAGAAACAACGAGTTGCTTATTTGCGTCCTCAATTTTAAGTATAAAAATGTACAGTTGAAAATTTACAAATGGCTGTTTTTTTACAAATTTCTATTGAAAGTCATCGTTATTTTATTTAACTCGTGTACGTCACAACACAAGCTGATCAAATATTTACTTCTAAAGAGTTTCGAATTAGCTGGGAAATTTAAATGAATATTTTGAAACATGGAAGAAAGAAACAGTTTCATTTAAGTCATGATAATTAATTGCATTTTGTTGCATAATAATCTAGGCTGTGATTGTTTTCTCGATTTACTTCACAACTCATAATATTTTGCTGAATTCATTCTTTAATGTTCTCTTTTGTATGACTTTGTAATGTATTTACGACTCGAAACAAACAATAAGATATTTTGTCTGATTAAATGCTTATTGCGACTTTATGAAGTTTCAAAGAAAAGTTCAACAATTTTAAATAAAATCTTTTCCAAAAGTCTTTCTCTGAGATAAAAAGATATTCAAATTTCAGATTTTTCTTACATAATTTATTATTTGCTTATAAATTGACCTAAAAATATCGAAAAGCAAACTTCTTGATTATTTTCATTAACCAGTCTAAAGTGGTTGGACTGGAGCTTGTTTGAGTGAACATTATATTAAAATATTTATTTGTTTTGTTCGACGACAGGTTCATAATAGTCACAATACAACTGTACAAGGTTCCGAAATTAAATTCCAAAAATACATTTGACGATAAAACTTTAATTATGCATCCATAAGTTGATCAATGTTATACTTATTGGATATTTATAAACTATAATCGTCATTGACCCTTTGCACCTAAACAAACGTGTGAAGAATTATAACAATTCCTAGAAAAAGCCTACACTGTATTTAGTTGGTCTATAATATGCATTCAGTGCCGTTTTCGTCATCCAAGTCGTTTTGAATGCACACTTAAAAATATTTTTTTATTTTCTCTTTGCTCATAATTTAGTCAACTAAACAACGACACGAAGCTTGCGGTCAATTTTCCAATTCTATTTTTAGATCTCTCATCGTGTGTTTTAATTTATGCATGAGAAGACCAAACAACTTAAAGGTCTTTAAACAACATAACTGCATTTCTTTCAAGGTGGACGATCATTGGAATCTTGTTTTTGTGTAAACAAAATTGAAAAGAGAAATTTAAAGTTGTAAACAAAATATTGGAAAAAACCTGAAACAAAAAGAAGCAATAACCAAGTTATTTTGTTTTGTGTTGTGGGTGGTTTAAAATTTTAAAATGTGTGCAATGTGCAATTAAAATGCCTCATAAAAATTCCTATGAAAACATTTTACAGCCATAAAACATGCAAAAAAACGAAACTTATTCCTTTCGACTTGCTTCCGGTTACATTAAGGTGAAAAAAGGTAAAGAAAATATTTCATAGAGAAAAAAAAAATAATTAAAAGTGCCACGAATGTTTTACGAAAATGGAATTATTAAAAATTCATGTTGGGTTGTAAGGGTTTAGACGAAAACTTTTGTTACTTTTGGGATGAAATATTCTTAATTCACTTTAGGAAATAAATATCGGTCCCTTTTCGGAACTTCAATTATCAGAGAAGAAAAATTAGATTTAGTAAACCTTTTCAACCTATAATGATTTACTCATGATGGATAATAGATAAATCCAATCAAGTCGATTAAGCTTAATTACGTACTCAAGTTATTCAAGCCCTTTTTAGTCAATTTATTCCACACAATGATGAAGATTTATTTATGTACATGAGTGAGTGTTTGAAAGTAGCTTTGAACATCAGCAATGCCAAAGAACTCTTTAGTATGGCATTGATACGTAAGATCTTATAAATTGCTGTTATTTATTCAAGTGTCATAAGAGTCTTTCGCTTTTTATTTCAACATCGTCACACATTTCAAGTCAACAGGTGATGTTCTATTTCATTATCAATATCAATTTCTTATCTAGCACAGAGTGTAATAAATAAAAAAACACAAAAAAATGAAATTATCGTGCGATACAAAGACTGAATTGTACTTCAGACAATAAATATTTCACTACAAGTTTCAGATTGCGATGACTTTTCACGGTCAATTGGATTTCTTATGAATATTTTTTATTTATTAGCTGTGAGATGAACAAAACCATGGATTGAGAGTACGGTCGTTCAATTTCAAGAAGAAGCTTCCTTCTGTTCATATTTATTAGCACATTGAATATGCAAAGAATTCTTAAGAAGATTACTTCGAATGTTTCCGGAATATTCTATTGGATGCTTGATAATGAAACTTTAATCATCACTCTAACTTTGCATGATACATTCAGTTACGATATGAGGGGTAAATGTCAAAGAACAGCAATTAACTTTGCTTTTGATTTGCAATTGTCGAAGGCTGACGACAATATGTGTCAGAATTTACTTAGTGATTGATATTAATTTCTAGCCTTTGAACTTGTTAAATTGTATGACTTCAAGACGTTCAAGAATTATTTTATATGATTAGATTAACTCACCAACACTGGAAACTGCACAGATCAGCGCCAAATTTACAAACATTCCGAATACATTGACCTTCATCTTGAGACTTTTTATGACTTCTTTTTCTTAAATTGGCAATATCAGTCGATGGAAAATATTTTTATTCTTTTAGCTGTTGACAACTATTTTTTTATCACAAACTTTTTTTTTCTTTTTTATTTGTCTTTGCTTAACACATAAGATGTGTTTTTGTGTGACTTATTCTTGTTCCCTTCTTCTTTATTGAATGATGAAAGATTTTCAAAAGTTCATGCAAGTTGCGTACAATTCTCTTCAGGTCAATTACAATTTATTGAACTCCAACAAGGAAAATAAAGGCTGAAGTTTCACTTTCTTTCTCTTTTTTTATCTCAATAATTTTAAGTGTCTTCTTTCCTTGATTTTTGTTTTAATAAATCTATTTAGATTGAAGAAGTTTGAATGCGTAATTTTTTGCAGGTTGATGACGACGATAATTTTAATATTTTAATGGAATTTTTATATCAAAATTTTATTGACTTTAAGCTAATTCCCGCGCGTTCAACGGTAACGGTCTTCACTCGCTTATGGATGTGACAGAAATGATTCATATTACTCGTAGCGACTGTGAGCCATGTGCTTGTTGAATGTTTCATGAAACATTGGAGGAAATGTTTACGAGTAGTGTCATGTTTTGAAATGGGATTTGCGTATTTGAAGAAGCTTGAAAGTGTTAATTCCAATGATTCACCAGATAAGATGACTTGTCGATGTTGTGATTAAATATTGATTTTTATTTAAAGCTTTAAAAGAAGCTTTTTCTTTTAATTCAAGGAAAAAATGATTACAAGACTACAATTAGAAAAATTATCTAATAAGACATTTTCTTGCCACCTTATATGACAAGAATGAAGCTGACATTATTTATTAATGTTCATTATTCGTCAAAATAAGAAAGAGAAAAAGTATAAAACATTCAACAACATCGCTCATCATTCTCTACATTACCACCCTCTCCTATCTGTAAAGTTATCTGCTACACATCTCAACCTGTTTTGTACTCTTTTTTTTTTTGTTGATTAACTTTTATGTGATGGATTACCTTCGAGAATAGAGAATATTCATCTCGTTCAAGATTACCATGTAAATGTAATTTTGTATTATTAAAACAGCCAAATATTAACATGAAAATTAGCGATGATAAATAATTACACATAAAGTCATTCTACTTTAATAAGCGAAGCCAAACTTTGACAATTCTGGCAATCTTTGAAATTTACAATACTCAATGTCCCAACGCTTTCTACAACATTTCGTCAGAATTCAATTGCCGGACAAGTTACACAACAGAGAACAAAAACATGTAAAGTGAAGTCGTTTACATATCTATCGGCAAATATTTTTCCCGTCTTTCTTGTTCTATTTTTAGTCACAAATTTGAAATTTCTCATAAATATTTTGGAATTTTCCATTTAGAGCTCAACGACTTACTTTTGGTTCAAAACAAAAACGTAAACATTGAAACATGGTGGGAGAGAGAAAGAAATATGGAACAGAAGTAATAAATTCAATGTAGAATGATCGCAAGTCAAGTGAAGAAAATCTAATCAAGAGTGCAAAGAAATCAAGATATTTATTTGAGATCACGTTGGGGTGGATTGGGTTAATTTTTATGGATGTTATGACAGATAAATTGAATGAATAAAAGATTCTCTTCAGTTTTGTAGTATCCAACTGCCGTTCGTTTGCATCGTTCGTCTAATTGTCCATTGTTCAAACGAACTCAAGTTGTTTTGATGACAAATCTAAATCCATTTCTGGATTGAAATAATTTTAAACGATTGAATGAGCGCAAGTGAATCAACGACCATTTTAATGCACGACTTACAAAAACAATCCAATCAACTTTAATCAAAACTCTACGTCCTTAAATCTCAATAAAACTTCTTTATTCTTCATAATATAAGCTTTCGTTTTCCTCAAACTTGATAATGTTCATTTATTTATATTTAGTTGAATTACACAAAAAATAAGAGATATCTAATGATGCATTATGCTTTTTAAAATATATTTCTCTAACTATTTAATCTATAGATAGTCGCAATAAAAGAAAAAGAAAAATACTTAGATTTGTGAGATTGGAAATGTAGAAAAATGTGAAGGAAAATATCTCACCAACTAAAGAATCATTCACAGAATACTTAAATTTGTTCGTGAAAAATCTCGATTATGTAAATTCAAGAAAACTTTCATCTAAAATTCAGCCAAAAGCTTTTCGTAAAATTGGGAAACATTCGAAAACTTTCTATTAGTCGTCATCATTTACCAATGATCCCATTAGTTTATTTATTTATTATTTTGTTATATAAATGAAGGCCTCGATAACAGCACACAACAATTAATTTCCCTCAAAACTTTCTAAAGATTTTTAAATTAAAAAAAGGAAATGAAATTAATTTCTATTCGGTACTGAACTTTAAATTAATTCCCATCAACACATCAAACAACATTCTAAGACTTTCCATTAGCAATTTTATAAGGTTTTCCACCATTTCTTTCCCATTCTCGGTTAAATTCGTGATCTAAAATTTCAGCACCTCGTTTCCTAGTTAAGCCAGTTTCTTCTAAGCTCAGCTCACACATTTGCATGTCATCAACGCCAGCAACAAGAAGAATTGGCGGCTTATCAGCGTGCAGTTCCATTTGTCGTGCAACATATTGACCATCAAAGTGAGCGTACCACCAACCACGATTGTTACTGTCATTAATGTTGGAATTTGGACGCATAAATGGAATGCGGAAAAAGCGATGAACTGATGCATTGGGATCTGTTTTGATTTGAGGTGTACGAACTGGAAGCTTTGCTGCTAAAAATGTCAACGTCAATTAATTAATCATATTAATTATCAGTAAGAATTATCAACTCACCATTCTCCATGATGCTTCTTGGAGCTCTTTCATTCTCCTCCAACGTTGTACGTTTGCGATTCTTTGACTTCCATGCATGATAAACCTTCAAACGTCGATGAAACTCATGACGACAAGCTTCCAACAATTCAATGTCACAACTTGTATTGATTGCATCGCGAAGCTCTGAATATTTCCACTTTGATAAGTCATATTTTTGCTTCCCAATCAACTGCTGTTGAGCACGAATCGCTTCAGATCTGATGACGAAAAGAATTATTTAATAAAATTGTCGGTCATCATAAATATTTAATAAGTAAATATTTGAAGCGTGTTAGTTGTTAACTTAGAGAGAATGTTTAAGCATGCAAGAAGTTAGAAACGAGAAGTCATCAATTATTTATTTATGTTGACTAACTTCCCTCGAAAAGCAAGCAAAATTATTTGTAACAACAACAAACCTGATAAGTCGATTGTGATTGCTTAATGCCATGTCCGGTGTGCCACTGAAGATTGAAAAAGAAATTGAAAAAATGAAATTCCAACTCTCATTTTGAAAGAGAGAAAAAAAAGTTTTCTTTAATTGAAGTGGAGGATGGAAAATTGATTGAGGGGTGCTTGCGACGAAATGATTAATCTGTACATACATGAAAAAGCAAATTAATTCATACTTTCTACTCAATGTTGGACTTTCATCAATCTGGCCATTGGATTCTTGAGCTAAGCGCAATGCCAACTCATGATCACGCCGTTCTTGTTCAAGTTGTTCTCGATAATGCGAATCTTCACTGGCTTCCTTCTCAAGTTGTGCTTGCAACAACAAAGCCGCTTTACGATCTTCTTCCTCAAGTCTTAAACGTTCAATTTCTTCTTGTTTACGTCGTGTCTCAATTTCCGCCTAAAATTGAAATCAAAATTAAACTTTTCTTTCCTGTTTAGATAATTAAAGAGATTAACGAACCTTTTTACGACGCGTTTCTTCTTCTTCTCGAATTCTTTGTTCTTCTGCTTCCTTTGCCTTTCTTTCAGCTTCCATTTTCAATTGAATTTGTCGCAATCTTTCCTGTTCTTCAGCATTCTTCTGCTCTTGAAGTTTCACTTTAATCGTTCCCATGTGTTGGTTCATTTTTGCGATTAACGATGCATGTAAAGCGTCAATTTCATTTGCTTTGATTTTCGGATTTGTCTGTGAAAGTTTAAAATAAATAAAAGATTATTTAACATCGATAAAAGATTTCATCACTCTTACTTTGATCTTTTTAATCGCCACGTCAATTTGCGCTTCAATATCTTTCATATGCTTCAACATTGTGTCGCGTTCACCTTTAAGTTGATTTGCGATTTCTTCCATTTGTTTCATGTTACGTCGAATGTTGTTGATCTTTGTCATTCCTTTATAACGTGGCTGATGTTGCTTTCTTGCCAGATAACCACGAATAGTCTTTTGCATCATGAGAACACATTTGTTGCGGTATTTAATACGATTTTTGACTACAATTAAATTGATTATTAATCACAGTTATTCAGGAAAAGTTTGTTTAACTCACTCTTGATAACGCAAATTGCACAATAAGCTGATTTAATCCATCGTGAACGTACAAGCCATTTCTTAACATTTGCTACAATTGCTCGAAGATTTTCTGGATCGCTTTTCATAATGCGATCAAATTGCACGAACTTTCCAGGCCGGAAAAAAACTTTCGTAATTCCAAACTTGAAATCTTTGTTGTTAAGTTTCAATGAGTGAAGCATTGCCTGATGAAATTAATTAAAATTGATTAAGAAAATATTTAATGAAGATGCTTGTTGAAATATTAAAAATTTACCTCACAGAAAACCTTCGGTTGCAATTTCACCAACTCTGGTGGAAGGAAAGACTTGTACATGTTGTAAAGTTCAGCAAATGGAACTCGTGATGGATAGCCATACTCCATCAACTCCAAAACTGAAGTCGTTCCTGAACATTTCAATTGAGCTAATCCCAAACTTCCTTCAAATTCATGATCAGTCATTTTGCTGTTTGGTTTGATGCATCGAATGAAGTTCGTTCCATTCTTCTCCAATTTATCCATCAACTCTTGAAGTTGCGTCTTAAACTTCGAACCGACAGAGATAAATGAAAGTTTTCCTTTGTTTGCTGATGAATTGTTCAACGAGAAAAGTTTCTTCATCAATGAATTTTCCGATTCTTGCACTAAACATTCAAGCGATGCATGAAGCGCATCGTTATTCTTCTCAATAAATTGATTCGTATTGTAACAAACAGCGCCAGCAAAATGACGAACAAGAAATCCTTCATCGTCTCTCACTGTTCGATGAGCTTTCAATCTTGAAATTCGTGGCAATGCCAATCGAAAATGTCCATTCCATGACTTATGCACTTCAGTTGTAAAGTGGGCAAACGAAGGTTTCGGAAGCTTTGATTCTTCATCAAGCAAAGCAAATATTCCATTCTCTTTCGATTCAATTAATTCAATAACGTCTTGGTTGTCAGTGTACTTAATTTCGGGAACATTTAAACCTTCACGCTTATATAATTCCTGTTCATTAGCCAGAATGTTATCGTTAAAGAACTTTTGCAACTTCTCATTGCAGTAATTAATGCAAAGCTGCTCATAACCATTTGTGGTGAAATATTCAAAGCCAGCAATATCAAGAACTCCAATATAGTAACTTGACTTTTGAAATGGAATGCTTTGATTGATTAAACTTACAATATGATCGAACACACGACTATAAAGAGCTTTCGCTAAAGCATCTCGAGCATTGTTAGCTTCGTAAACTTTCAAAGGAACCATGATGACAGTTCCTTTAACTCCGCCACCCTTCGACTGCATCACACGTGACACTAAAGCTTGACGAAGCTCCAAAGGATCACAACCGATTAATTTCGCTGCTATTGTCATTGTTTTCTCGGATGCTTGAGTCACATGACATCCACCACGAGTATCTTCAGGATTGTCTTCGAACGTGATGTTACCCAAATGCAAGACCGCAGCAACTAATCCATAAATTTCAACTCGATTCCCATCAGATAATCCCAATCGTGACAATGCTTGATCAAGCTCCATAAAGTCATTAAAATCGTCAAGAATTGGATCGTGCAAAGCTCCTTTACTTAAATGATTTTTCGACTTTTGAGTGTTTGGAATTTTCTTGTCGGTTGATGAACTTGCAAAGTATTGCGTGCAACCAGATAAATATCGATAATCGTCAGGTTTTCCAATGCTGAGTTTATCACGAAGATTCTGCGGTGCACCAGCACACAACATGTAGAAAACATGATAATTTCTCTCATCAACACTTTGCGTACAAATTCGACTTTTCTCAAGCAAATAATGCGAGATGTAACCACCCACAACTTGACATTTGTTGTCGTAATGAACCTCAATAAACTTCCCGAATCTTGAGCTGTTGTTATTCCTGGTTGTCTTTGCATTCCCAAACGCTTCTAAGATTGGATTCGCATCGAGAATCTTCTGCTCGATTGGACCAGCAGCTGAGACAGAGTCACACAAATAACGAAGCAAATATTTCGTTGATTCGGTTTTTCCTGCTCCTGATTCACCACTGACAATGATCGATTGAGACATCTTCAACACTCTCATGTCTCTTATAGCTTTGTCAGCTATCGCATAGACATGTGGTGGAAGTTCACCCAACGATCGACCATTGTAGCGTTTGATCGTTGTCTTTGAGTATAAATCCTTGATTTCTTTGTAAGGATTAACCGCAATTAGAATGTTAGCGACGTAAGTCTATTAGAATAAACGTTTCCTTTCATTAATCATAACAAGATTTCAAATCTAAATACTTACATAAATCTTATCTTTATAATATCGATTTTTAATATTATCCAATAAAGTTGCTTCATTCAGGAACATCAATTCACCTGATTAAAAGACAAGACAAGAATAATCAAGAAATTGTCACATAATTAAGTTGTCTAACAAAAGTATAAACAAGAAATACTTTACTGAATGGAATCTTAAATGAAAAATCTGCAGTTTTTCCGCTGCTAATTGCTTTCACGCACGGTGATCATCCAAAGTTTTATCAAGCGAAACGCAAGAAATCTTCAGAGAGAATTCAACGTGAAATTGCATAATTTGCGTTTAAATTAGATGACTCAAGCATTGCGGAAGCTTTCTCCTCGGAAATTTATTTTCATTTCGTTAAAAATTGAACTTTCAATTTAAGTTTCCATGTATAATTTCCGAATAAAATTTATTTTGTTACTTGATACTCACAGTTGTCATCATGATCTGATTTAGCGTCACAAGATGGAAAAATGTCTGCAATTGGACAATTCCGTTTCTTTAAACTTCTATCAATGGGAATGATTTCATATTCGTGAGCTCCAAGTTCGCCAATCTTTCCTTGGATGTATCCATCGTGTGGGTCACGTGCCCACACTAAATCAGTATCTAACATTGCTACAGGCTGAAAGTGAAAATATAAAATAATCAGATTTGATGTTGTGATAAAAATAGCACAAAAAATCTCAACTGCATTCGAAATTTATCAAATCAACCTTGAATCGTATCATTGACAATCATATTTAACTCAACCCTTTCATCATTTAAACTTTAAAATATTTAACGGTTGTCATCATGAAACATCTGGCAAGCATAAGTCTCGTCTGACTCATCTCATGATTTCTGGTTTTGTTTCTTCCTTTTTTAGCTTTTATACATTTCTTAATGGTTAAACGAGAAATCTTCTTCTCTTCCTGTTCTTTGTTTTCGTTTTGATCTTCACGTCTAAGTTCGCCACAGGTCACTTGCATTTCATGATACTTACAATTCGACATTCAATCCGTTAGCAGAGACGATCGTCAATATTAAGAACCAAATACCGTTCACGAGTCACGAGTTTCATATTCTTCTAATAATTATAATACGACATATGAAGCCATAGAACAATTTTCAACTACATTTGACGTCAGAATATTTATTTTTGCTTCAACTTAACTCAAGTCTTAAAAAGTCCACCGAAAAATATTTTACCAATAAAACATATCACCTCAATTCGCTTATTTATGACTTTTATTTTGTGTTAACAGACGATAAGACATTTACAATTTAACGACCTGCTCATATACTGATTACTCATGACGCCTGGAAATAAAATACTCAACAAGAGACTTAATGTAGACTTTGAGTTCCATTCGTGTCGAATATTCTTTCTGTAACTATTAAAATGCAATTTCTGGAGCAACAAACAACTTTAGAGGAAAAGGAAGGAAGATGAAACAAATACAAAAATAGAAGTTGAATGTTAACTTTCTTTTCCAGTTCTATGGCTAAATAAGAGAACACAAGTATGTTGCAGCTTCATAGCGATTAAAAGAACGTGTTTGAAGTGCTATGTGCTATTTCTAAATAAGCCACACAATATTTAACAATAGATTGGAAACGGTAAACGTTCTTCCGAAATGCTACTTTCCCACCGAGTCGCTGTTATTCTTTCTGCGCCAGGCGTCATCACTTATAATTAACACAAAACGAAATACTTTTTATTTATTGTCAGCAATTCTTCTCTTCTTCCCATCACCTTTTATAAGATGAATGAATGAAAAATGTTTCTTTCTCTTTTTTCTTCCGTTGCGAATCTGAGATAAAATTTCTAGTTTCGCTTTTTATGGTCAGTTGTTTGGCACGATCAAATCTATTTCGCCATAACAATCGAATATGACTATTTAGATAGTTAGAAGATCAAAGTCAAATATGACAACATCGCAAACAGTCTGCCAATTATTTATGGCGTGGGACATGAATTTGATTTTGATTTGTTCAACAATATTGTTATGAATTTTTTACTTTTGTGATTCTCCATCTAAAGGTACGATCACCAAACCAGTCAACGTGGTGTTTCGCTTCTCATTTTGATGATCAATTTTGCTTATAATCGAATTATTGCGATAATTTCTGTAACTTGATTTAATAAATCTATTTTAAGCTGCTTTGTAACACTAAAAGTTTCTGGTAGCAAATAATCCACTTTTTCATTCTGTCAATCGAATAATTGTGATCTCGGTGAACGGGAGGTAAATAGAAATGGAAAAATAATAAGAGAAAACAACCGTACATTCACTATTTAAGTCATTATACATACAAGTATCTAGTACGAATGCTACTTTTTATTTCGTTACAAACGCTGCTTCATGTTTTCTTCGTAAAATGAAAAATTGTGGAAATAACTGTAAGGAACCGGGACTCATGAGATAAAAAGCGATGTAAGCTTTGAATGACGATTTTAAGAACGGTTTAAAGTCTCCCACAATACACAATATTGCGTAGAAAATTCTTTACTGTCCATAACATTCACGGTCATTAGAAATCTGCTTGACTAAATCAAATCGTCTTTCTTTTCCCCCTTTTCATTTAAAGTCTTACAATGAAGTCTTTAGAATATAATGTATGCAGCACAACATAGTCTGAATTCATCAAAACATTGTTGTTTAAACGTAAATATTTAACATCAAAAACAACATTTTCCCGGAAACCAGATGCAATTTGAATAGAGTCTAAACGCATAATCCATCGACCGAAACGATGATGGATTTAACTTAGTGGTAAGTTACGAAGAAAATAAAACACCAGAAAAGCATGAAGCACTTTAGCAGATGAAATGAAAAAGAAAATTAAACAAGAAAAAAATAAATTGACTCAAATGGAATCATAGACCTTGTTTACTTATTTAGAAGTTTAAATTAACAGAATCCAACACTGACCACGCAATAAAAAGGGCAATAAACATGACAAGACTCTCGTAGATGATAAACCGCTACATTTCCACCAAAACATTGTAACAAAATTGCGATTGTTAAACAATTGTTACATGATCTAATTAAATTCAACATTTCACATGTTAAACTCGAGTACATATTGCACAATTTAGTAAGTTTGATGGCGTAAGATTCACTCATTTGTTTTTCTTTTCAATTTGTAATTTTTGTTACTTTCCAACACGATAGCGATGTGTGAAATTCACGTTTTGGTTTGTGATCTGCAATGATTAGCAAAAGATGTGAATCATGAATAGTTCAGAAAAGGAAAGGAAGGTGACATTAAGCATACGCCTATGAAATTTTTGACACGCGTATTTACTTCCGTTTCAATATTAAGCTATGAATTATTTTGGTAAAAGTTTAGCTCAATGATAGTTTTCAATATAAGAAGAATTGTAGCTTCTGAAATTATATTTTGAGGAATCGTTCAAATAAAATAAAAAACACGCGGCAAACCGTGACGTTAAAGCAATTCGTAAATTCATTTCATGAAAGAAATATTTTGATGTAAAAATGATTTCAGCGCAGCCCGGTGTCGTTCGCTTATTGAATTTTTCTTTTCATCATCAAGGCTCAAAGCATCTATTGAACGTGGTGCAAGTGACTAAACGAGGGGAACGAAAAGAAAAAAAAAATAATTTTCACGCTTCAACGCGAGTTTTTTAAACAATTGAAAACTAACAACAAAATAAAAGTTTTTGTTTTTATTTGCGCAAAGTTCGATCAAGTATCTGGCAACGGGACTGATGTCACTTCGTTGCTTATTCATTTTGTTAGAAACGAATAAAAAGAACAACAAAAAAAGAACGAGTAAAGTTTGTCGCATATCTCTCGACGTTTTAGTATTTCCGGAGAGTGATCACTCCTTATGGAACCACAACAGCGATGATTTGATTGGAATTTTAAATTAACTCAAGTTCATTGTTTTTCAACAAAAATTACCATTAGAACATTGATCAAAAATATATTTCATTTAAGATAATTGTTTTCATGACAATTTATGCAAATATTTCTTTTATTAACATTTTCATTAACAACGTCTGATGTTTTCATCACCATTGAGAATGACTTTTACCAAACTCTTTTTCCTGCCTTGTGTTTATTTATTATTATTTATCATAAAGAAATTGTTTTCACTTTTCCGCAATAAAAAATCAAATCTTTGCTCTAGTTTTCACCACTTTGCTTAAATAGACTTTATTTTTGCTGTTGTTACCACAGCTTCAATCATCGTCCGTGGAGAGTGAAATTTCCATCGGACCGCAACTGATGTTCGCACAGGCATAATCAACGATCAACAAAAACCCCTGAAAGATTTAATTTGAAAAAAAAAAATCTTTTTTGTAGTGAAAATGCCATTTGTTGTTCCACGATTTTTTTTATCATCACACACTTAGTAATGATTTGAGCCATCAATTGTTTGTAGTTCGATAACTTAATGAGGAAGAAACTACGCAAAAGTCATTCTCATAATTATTTAGATATTAACATCTTTCTGTAACGAATCAAACTCCAATTCACTTTCTTTTCTGATTTCACTTGCATAAAGTTTCAATTTTGTATCTAAAACAAGAACTAATTGCTAATCATTTCTAAAACTGCAGCTTTCTAAATAAATCATTACATTCGCTAAAAAGTCCACCTCTTCGATTAAAGAAAGAATGACTCGAAAGGAAATTGCATTGCAGTCAAACCACTTTTTTAACAGATATCTAATGGAAGTAAAAAATAATAATAAACTTAGACATGAGAGAGCGAAACTATGCTAACTGAAGTCAATCACCTATTTAGTCTTCTTTCTAAGATGGTGAAACTCGTTAAAGAGAATCCTTAAAAGTTTCATACATATAATCAATAACACAGCTGATTTCAATTGAACAAAGGTAAAATGTTATCATTAAATTCTTTGGAAAAAGAGATAATTTATCACGATATTTTAAAAATATTTTATAAACGCAAACGAAATGGAACAATGACAGGAAAAAAAGCGAATTTATCAAAAAGTAATTTTATTTGTGTGATATCTTATCAAAGTGAAACAACAGCCAGGTGATAAGAAAATCTGTATGAGAATCTTTATGAATTATACAAAAGAATTCCCAACAATTCGTCACACAATCGAGTGACATCAACATAACGTCTATTGTTCTTCTCTGTGATGATCAGGTGAACAACGGAAGAAGTTCATTGTGCACTTTTACCTTTGAATACATATTATTTATAATGCGTTGTTGCCATTAATTTGCCTTTTTCAATTTTTGATCGCACCAGGTGTGGTGAGTCACTGCACTTTCCGCAAATATAAATTTCGAATAAAATATGAAAGCTAAAATGCTTCAACAAGATACATGGCAGATGCTTAATGATTTAGACTGTTAATCTCTTCAAGTTGCAGTGGTTTTTGTATAACTACTGTTATAATTCAAGTAAGCCGCTTAATTAACTTTTATCTTACCTTACTTATTAATCAATTGATGTGCTCGTTTTTATTCCAAAAAAAGTTGTGAGATCCAGCTGGGAATATTGTTTTAGAATTTTGTTATGGTATTAATGTAGATTTATCTTTGCTTTTTAATTAATACAATTCAATTTATTCTTTAATTAATCACAGTGTTTCAATTGGAAATTGTTTGATCAAAGCCAATCAGATCGGAAAACTTTTAAATTTTATCAATATTCACTACAAAATTTGAAGCAATTTTCCAATTTTCATATGACCAAACAATACTTTTTAACACCATTCAGTTTTCACTCATATTTTAATTTAAGCAGAGCGCGCAAAACTACCGACTATACCGAATGACAACATTAAGCCGAATAAAAGAGAAAAAGAATTAGAGCTCAGAAAAATTTGTTACTACAGTGGAACTTCGATAAGCTGATATCTCAGTTTGAATTTGAATTGACGGTTATTTTCAAATCGTGTAATTTTCCTTCGTATATATGAATCTAAATAAATTTACTCCTGCAATATGTTATTTTTCTATCTTTTATTAGTCTAGCAGCTAATTAAAATTTTATGCGTTTTCACAAAAGTATTTATATGTTATCTCTTATTTTATGCTTGATTACGTTTATGAAACTGCTTCTTCTGTGAGCTTATTGAATGTTCATTTACTTGAATTAATTAAACAGTTTTAAGGATAAAAAAGAAATCTACAAAAACATTACTTATTATCTTTATAATATTAAATCTAATTAAGATATTTGTGTGCAACAAAACCATTTGGATGGTTCGAGGTACGTTTCTCAAAAGTTTAAATCGCTTATTGTTGTAAAAGCGTTCCGTCGTTGTTTTGATAATTCCAATTTGCAGAATTATTAGCATTTGTAGTCGTTCCTGTTGCACTCTTTTCCCCTCCTGTATCTGTTTCTGATCCACTCGAATTATTAATCGAATGAATCGAAGCGTAATGACGTTTTAAGTAGAGATCTGAATTGAAATGCTTCTGACAAATTGGACAAACAACAGCCTGCGGATTGTGAATCAATCTCATGTGTTGTCGGAGGTTTGAGACGTTTGAGTAGACTCTCGCACAAACAGGACATGAACGAGGTGTTAAACAATTCGCTTTATATGTTGCACTATTTTTACTTGCACTTCGGGTTTTCCCTTCAGTTTGAGGTGTACTTGAATTTCCAATGTCAATAGCTTTCTCAACCCACATCTCGTCCTCTAAAGATTTTCAAACAAATAGGAAAATCAAATAATCAAAATCATTAAATTAATATGAAATTACCAGATTTATAATCGACGACACCGGGTTGCTGTTGTTGTTGGCTTGTACTTGCTTGCACAAATTCTGAAATTTGATTTATTTTTAGTCACTTTCTCTCAAGAAAATTAAAATTATCTTAATTACGTGATTGCAAAGCTTGTTGCTGCTGTTGAGGATTTGTTACTGTGTTTGTCTTCTCGGTGAAACTGTCCATATTCATGTATGTAATATTTTGCGGTTGCTTCGCTGTCTGTTGTTGAATGTGGTGTGCAGCATCTTCAAGAAATTCTAGAGACTCAACTTTAGGTTGCACATTATGAGAATCGTTTCTTTTTGTAGGAACCCTTACAGAAGTTTGCACTTCTTCTTCAATGTCGTCATCGTCTTCATTCAATGCAGTTGCTAATGATGCTTCACTTATTATTCTGAGCCTTTTTCCTGAAGGTGTGTAAGTCTGGATATGATGTTCGTCATTATTTTGCCTCTTTCTTAAAAAGCTTTCATCTAATGTTGATTGATCAGCAGAGTTTGATTCACCAAATGACTCATCCTTAAAAACATTAGTAAAGTGATATAATTAACAGAGAGATTGAAAAAGAGCTTACAGTTGTTGTTGTATCCTTGCTTAATCCTCGAATTTGCAAAGCTTCAGCAACTCGAATAAAATCTTTGAGATGTTCCTGTGAAATATGAACTTCTCCCAAATACATATATTCCAAAATAGCCTTCAAAATATCGTACGATATATCATGGAAAAAGAAAATCGGATGTTGCGAATGATTATCCTTTAGCAGATCCTTAAAGTAAGGTGAACAACTGTAGAGCACTAACTTATGTGCTCCAATCTTCTTTCCTTCACATGCGAAAGTGATATCAATCAATTCTTCTTCGTCTCTCATGCGCCTGAAAAGAAGGAATAGAAAAAAGGTAATTGAGGCAAGATCATCAGTAAATCTTTGAAATCAATTTCAATTAGAAAATAAACAATCAACGAAAACAAAAGTAATTAACTCAAAAATAAGGCAATTTACCTGACATTCTTCTGGAAGTTGTTCCATTTTAAATAGAACAATTCACTACTCGACATTGCAGCTTATATTTAACCTGCCAAACTTCTCCAATCTTGAAAAATTTAACTTTTTTCTAAAAGCTATTATTTTTTCTTTTGGGACTAATGAGAAATACAAACATCAGTGATGTCAAATAGTTTTCCAGTTGCGTACCCCCTTGATATGGCTTTATCGGTCAATAATGTAAATTCAAAAGTGTACAAATCATCACAAAATAAAATTTAGCGATTTTTAGTCTTTTAAACTGTTTCTTTAAAGTTAGAGTAATAAAATGAGTTACAATCCCAATCAAAGGCCAAGTTAGTATCATAAACCAAAAGAATATTAAGTAAACTTACGAGATTTTTGAGAAAAAAGCAAAATGAATCATTTCGCAACTTTATTGAATTACTAAGAAAATATTGTGTGTTCTAGGTGGGCCGGCAAGGAAGGCAAAGCGTGTTAGTGATGTAAATGCAATTGGTGGAACGTCACCATCAGTTCCATTTAATCCAGCACCACCGGCAGCCGCATTGCCGCCAAACCCACAACAGTTTAATAATATGCAATCGCCAGGCTATTATACACCTGAAGTAAATCCTAATATAGGATTTGCTGCTTCACCCAACAACTATAATCAATATCCTCAGCAACAGCCTCAACAGTTTGCTGGTCCTCAACAACAACCTCAACAGTTTGCTGGTCCCCAACAACCAAGAATCAATCCTCAAGATCCAACTCAACAAGGAAGCTTCGGCCAACAGTTTGCCATGCTTCAACAACCAATGATGCAAGACATGGCACTTCAATATGGACAAAAACTTGCTGATCAAGGAAAAGAAATGGTGAACAAAGAGTTTGAAAAATATATTCCAGTGACGAAGCTAAAATATTATTTCGCTGTTGATAACCGATATGTGATGAACAAGCTTCGTTTACTATTTTTTCCATTTGCTCACAAAGATTGGTCACTAAAATATGACCAGGATAATCCCAGCCAACCACGTTACGACATCAACGCGCCAGATCTGTATATTCCAGTAATGGCTTACATTACTTATGTTGTGCTTGCTGGGTTTATTTTGGGAACTCAGGAAAGGTTCTCGCCTGAACAATTGGGAATCCAAGCTAGCAGTGCTCTTGCTTACAATATTTTCGAATTGATCGTTTACACCATAACGCTTTATGTATCAAATATCAGCACAACACTCAGAACTCTTGATTTATTAGCTTTCTCTGGTTATAAATATGCAATTGTTGTTGCTATTCTCTGTACAAGCATTCTCTTCAATCAAACGGGATATTACATTACATTGCTTTATTGTGGATCATCTCTTGCATTCTTTTTGGTAAGTGATATATACATAAATCCTTCTTTAAAACATTTTAAACTCATTTTTCTTTCAACAAATTAGCTTCGAACATTGAAGGCAAAAGTATTGAGTGAAAATATACAAACTGCTGCTCAAGCACCTACTTACGATTCATACAACCAACAACAACCTTCTCATCAGTTTGATCATACACTTGGACGGAAGCGAAAACTTTATTTCTTGTTTCTCTTTGCTAGCCTTCAATTTATTCTACCCTTTATGTTAACTAAGCATTTGATTTGATTGCATAGCATCAGCAAAATAAAATAATGATGTACTCTTTATAAATAAAACTGAATAAAGAAAAAAAAGCGAATAACAGATATTAACTGAAATTTTGAAAAATAAGCACAAACTTAACGAAAAGTGTGTGGAATGTCCAGTTGTCAAATTTAATATTTTCATTATGAAATTGATATTTAAGTTCAATAATTTGTGAGAATTGTAACATTTCATTAATTATTATTTCGCTTTTTTCTTGTTTTAAAGATTCGTAATGCTATTAATGTGTGAACTTAAAAATCTTAAAAGCGCTTTTTAAAGTTTCACATTTGCAATACATTCATACTTACGTCATCTTTCCCCAGCTTGAAAGTGTAAGATCAAAAGATTTTATAAGTTCATTTAACGAATATAACTTTAAAATAGCAAATAAAAAACTTTGAAGGCAATCAATAAGATTGTAAGTGATTGCTGATTTCAATAATATAACTCTTTAGGTAAGATATATTAATTTATGTGTGATGTTTTAAGAAAGATTTTGCGCGTCTTTCGTTGCGCGCCATGAAATTTTTCATGAAATTGTTATAAAGCTTCTATTTTGTTAAATTGAATTCTATTTAATTGCAGTTTTTCATCATGATGAAAAAAATTGAACCATCAGAAATCGGGAAAAACCCAAACTTAATTGCAAGTGAGTAAAAAAATATTATTGAGTTGTTTTGATTTGTAGTTTCACTATGTTCTATTTTCTTTTCGTTGTTCGTTATTCTGTTTAGAAGCCCAAAAGGAAATGGCCCAATCCGATATTCTCGTTTGCGGTAAATGCCATAATGTATTCCACTTCATCGACCTTTTCAAAGAGCATAAAGCCAATAATTGCAGGCGTTCCTCGGAATTTGACGAATGCGTAAGTAAATAAATAATTTTTTTTAAAATCTTTATTGATCTTAACATTTGTTTATAGCGCGAAACAAGGCCCAAAATCTGGGCATATTTGCTGTGGAAGCAAACTCAGTTCCAACAGAAAATTGATAATGAAGAGGAGAATCCCTGGAAACTTTATCAAACATGGATGAAGTTAGATGAGAATACACGACAAGCTTGGCTTGTTGCTGGTGAAACGATTCAATCATTTGAACGAGTAAGAAAATATTTCGAATTATTATTTAACAAGAATAATTATGGAAAAATGATTTTAGTTTGGGAATGGCGTTTTGAAAGAAACTCCAGTGAAGATAACGAAAACATTGTCACCAGATAAGCCTCCAGTGCGAACAACGCCGGTTGGTCAAGTTGTAAAGCGTGTTGTTCCTCGTCAAAATGTCATGATAACCGAACAGAGAGTTATTAGAAGAGGCGATGATGGAACTGTCCAAGAAAAGATTATAATTTCACCGAAAGCGTAAGTTATTTCATTGGAAACTTCTTTCATTATTGTTAATCTTTATCTTCTTCATAGCATGCAACATCGCTTCATTAATCGCACTGATCCAACTTCTGGAAATATTGAAAAAGCAGCTGTGGAGAAAATAATGGCAAAACGCATGAATCCTCGTAAACGTGAAAACGAATATCTTGTTAAATGGGAAGAGAAACCTCAAACATGGGAACCAGCATCACATCTTGACACTTGCAAAGATCTTATTGATAACTTTGAAATATTGTTAGCTAAACAGAAGGCAATGCGCTCAAAGACAGCAGCACAACAGCAACAACAATCACAAACATCTCAGCCATCAGCTACATCAACACCAACCCAAGCTGCTCCAACTGCTGTTAACAGACCACAAAGATTTAGCAAAGAGAAAGCCATCAATCAAGTGAAGCAATGGACAGGAAGTAACAAACATCACGATGATTCCGCTGAATCTTCCGGTGGAAAGCGTAAGCACGAAGATGACGATGAATTCGATGAAGAGATGGACGGTGATGATGTTGATGACGAAGATTATGAGCTTGAGTCAAGTTGGGAGAAGAAAAAAATGGCTCAACAATTGGGGCAAACAACAGTGAAACGACCAAAGACTGATGGTCCAGGACAAAACGGAAACGTTCGTGTAATGCAAGCAAATAAATCTGATATGACAATCGGTGCAACAGTCGTTCGCAAAGTCATAGGGTCGAGTTCTCCTGATGCAATCGTTGCCGGACAGAAGCAACAAAGTGGAGTTTTCAAGAAAGCATCTCCTGGTGCTGTTCTGCAGAAGAAACCCGGTGAAGGTCAAGTTCGTATTGTCGGCTCGAAAGATCAGATTCAAAGTGGGATCGTAAGAATTGCAACATCTTCTGGAGGCTCTCCTACCAAACCTGGTGTTGTGACAAGAATTGTACCGAAAGCTCCTCTCTCTCAAGCTCGTCCTTCACCAACAACAGGGACTGTTGTTCGTTCATCTCAAGTTCAATCACAACAGAGAATTTTAGCACAAAAAATCATGCAAAAGTCACCGATAAATAAGACGCAATCGCCACCAGCAAATCGACCAAGCGTTGGTCAAGTCGTACAAAGACAATCTGCACGAACTCCTCAAGTTCTACGTAAAGCAGGAACACCACAAAATGTTCCAGCTGGCAGACGACCAGGACAACCAATTCAACAGCAGCATTCTCGAATGGTTAAGAAAGGTGCAACGGCATCGAATCAAGATGATGATGACGATGGCATTCCAGATCCATTTCCAAAAGATTTGCCACCAATTGAAACAGAATCGTCAAGTCCACCTCCACCATTGACATTATGTCCAATAACAGGAAAGGTTTTGGGGCAAGCTGAAGGTGAATCGAATACAGCTGAGGAAGCAGAAGACACAGAATCAACTGACCAACATCAAATCACGCAGTTGTTGTCGAATGAAGATGGAACTCCAATTTATATCACTGGGGATGACGGCACAATGTATCAGGTCGCTGGAAAAAATGCAAACGGTGAAACAATTTTGATTTCATCAAATGCTGAAGGAGAGCAGACTTGTGTGTTGCTTCCAGCTGACCAAGATTTGCTTGCTGGCTTACCAGGAATACAAACAACTGATGCCACCGAAGCACAGATTGAAGCTGCTCCATTGACGGTTGATGCTGCTGTTGCTGAAGCTGTTGCAACAGGAGAGCAAGCTGAAGGCGAGCAGATATTCGGAAAGGAAGGTGACGAAGCTTCACAAGGATCTGCTGAAGGAGTTACTCACCCCTTGTCAATTGCTGTCAGTGGAGGTGAAAGTGGAGACTCACAAGATGGTCAAATAACGGCTGAGATTGTACAAGCAGATGAACCATCGCCTGGTAAGTTTTCATTATTCATAAATTTCCTCAACTAATTTCAAATTTCTCATTATCAGGTGGGACACGCAAAGTCGTTTTGATGCTTCCAGATGGTAACTTGATGGTAACCGAGCTATCGCAAGAACAATTTCAATCGTTAAATCTTCAACAATAAACAGCAAACTTTAAATTAATTAACAGATTTCTATTCTAATAAAATGAATTAACAATAGTTTTACTTTTTCTTCAACATAATATTTTCAAATTAATTTAATAATTTTAAGAAAATTTTCTTTTCATTTCACTGAAGTTTTTCTAAAGATTTCTTTTGTTTTGTAAGCACTTGGAATTGTTCAAATGAGCATATTTGGACTCTAAATAGTTAAGTAAAAGAAAATTTGTGCTTTTTAGTGACTCTTATCTACCTTTCATCCCAAATTCTTTCTCCACCTCTATAATTAAATGTTTAAAATTAAAATGTTAAGAAATTTGATTACATGAAATTATAAAATAAAAACATAGAAAAAATTATAAAATGATTTGCGTTTAAAGCTTTGTCTAAATAAAAAAAACTATCAATCAATTTCTAACTTTCTAAACGATCCTTGCATGCCATAAATTTCCTTTCGATCATCAAAAGAATTGTAAGAATCAATCGACATTTTCAATGATCGCACAGAACCTTCACGAATAGCTTGAGGATATTTTTCAAGATTAACTGACATCTGATCGTTGTTTAATAATAGTTGTCGATTCGAGAGAAGCTCTATCTTAAATGCATCAATCATACTCTTCATAGGAACATTACCACCATACTCAATTGGAAGAAGATCCGCACCAATGACACCAGAAATGTCTTCAACCTTTTTGTGAAGAAAAACTCGTTTTCGCATTTTTTCACTCATTTGTGCGAGTGCAAAATCAACAGCAAATTTAACTGATGAATGAACTTTTAAGCCATGAATTTCCTTTTGTCTCATTGGAAGAAGTTTCTAAATAATGAAAAATAATTTTAAATAAATCATTGAATAGATTTTACGAACCTCAAGATTTTTCCCTATTCGGTAAGCTTCATGAGGTGTGAAAAGTGTTAAATAATGAAAACCAATTCCTGAAGAATCTATAACATGCACAAATCCGTGAATCTGGTTTTGTTCATCTTCCATTAGCGTCTCGTAAACAATTCCATGTAATTTAATCATCTCGTGGTTGCAATGCTTTGAAGGATTGAAAACACCAGGGCGATAAAAAATAATTCTTCGTTGTAATGCATCGCGTTGTGGCAGCGCGAAAATGTAACTGAGAAAATTATTTACTTAGTTTGCTAAGCTTACGAAGGTCGACTTTCGCTTTCAGTTACTTATTCATTTATATTTACTTACCCTAAATCCAAAAGCTCTTGCATCACTGGCAATTTCACATCGAGATTCTGAAAAACTTTAATTCCTTCTTGTGTATACCATCGAAGAACTAAATATCTTTCAATCATTTCTTGAGTCATTGGAAGTGAAAACTTTTTAGCTCTGAGAAATCTCAACAAGAAATTTGAATCTAAACGAAGTTTGTTAATTCTTGGATTTTTCAATGCCCATTCCCTTAAAGTTGCAATTGCATGCTTTCTGACATCATCAGTTTCTCGAAACTCTTTTTCAATAAATTTTCTGTTGTCTTCAGATAGATTCACTTTGTAATCATCAACTGGTGTGATGCTTTTTGATTGGAACTGTTGTGAAGGGATTTAATTTCATTAAAAAAATCATTAAATTTGTTGCCTTATCAACCTTAAAACATTTCTCAATGAATTTAAATCTTTTGTGTCTATTTAATAATAATTTTTCTCAAAAGGTATTAAAAACTATTAACTTGACCGCTAAATACTTCAACTTTTGAGAACACAATGTCATTACATTATCTCCACTGGATACAATCAATTGAATAAATATTTCATTAACATGGAAGTAGATAATTATTTTAAAATTAGTTTACAACTCCTTACCTTCATCTTCATCATAAAGATAAAGCCACGCTATGAATAACAAAGTAAACCACAAAATATGCTTAAGATATGTTAAGTTTTGCTTGCGATGCTTTCAACACCTAAACCTAAACTGCGAGTGAATGAGAATAAAGTATCAGCGACTTAAACGTTTTCATTTGAATACGTCATCCCATTTACTTCACTCATATCCACAAGTCTTCACTCATTTTTCATTTTAGTATTGTCTGCTTTTGTAATTGCAGCATTGAGACATCAGACGAATGTGCAAATCTTTACGTCATTAAACAGAAGGAAAAGACGATAAAAGTATTGTTTAGAGAATTGGCCTTCTATCACCTTTTTTTATTAATGGTATAAACGGAACATCATCAGCATATAAAACAAAACATTTTATCTACATATATGTACAAATATTTTACTAGTTTCAATCAATTTCTAATTTTCTGAATGAGCCTTGAATTCCTTTCATCCCTATGACATCTTTCTTCGTTTCAAATGCTGAATCTGGTGCACTTAAAGGAACTTTTAATGCTTTCGCTGATCCTATTCGAACAGCTTCTGGATAAAGTTCGAAACGAATGTTCATCTCATCGTGACTCAGTAAGACATCTCGTTTCGCTTCTAATTCTTTCTTGAACATTTCAATCATTTCTCTCATTGGAATTGTGCCACCATATTCAAGCGGAAGAAGTTTTCTATCGATTGCGTCTTTATCATCAAGCTTGGAGTGAAGCTTTACTCGAGAACGAAGCTTTGGACTCATTAAAGATAATCCCCATTCTAAGACAAATTTCAAAGCAGGTGGGCACAGCGTTCCATGAAACTCTTTATGACGCATTGGGACCATTTTCTGTCAAGAATTCGACAAATAAAAAATGTTTTGATTAAGTAAAATTTATTAGAAACTTACTTCACAGTTTTTGACAATTCTGTAAGCTTGTTGTGGAGTTAATACTGTCAAATAATTGAGTCCAAGTCCTGATCCGTCCCCTACATGCACACAACCTCGAATTTGATTTTCTTCATCTTCAAGAANCCCTGAGGATGAGTCAAATCCAGACTCGAAACTAGTCGGTTGAAGGAATAAAATTATAAGAAAAAAGTCTGAAAAAGCCAAAGTCAACAATTTTTATTCATCATCTATAACAGACGAAAATTCAACATTTATCTACTTAGCAAAATAAAATTTTCTAAAGGATATTCATAATTATACCAGTCAGTGATCAGTCAACACAAAACTCATTAATTTTTTGGAATTTTTCTGCATTTTAATTGTTCAATTATTTTAATTCAAATATAAAGTCCATGCAACCTCACATTGTATAAAAATATTAACTTTTTCATGTTCATAGGTCTTCCACGTATAGCATAAGAAATCTCGAAATCTCTGTTGTTCATTTCAACTAAAATCCTTTGTGGTACTGGAATATTATCTGGTAGACTGAAATTAGTAACAGAAGTACTTCCTTTCAGTCGTGGACATGCAAATCCTAAGTTAAAACGATCTGTCATCAAATTATAAATGAAGCTCATGACAAAACTCCCCAAGACACCTCTGGCCACTTTGCACGTATCGAGGTTAATTTGCAATCTTTCGACGTCAAATTCTTTCGTATCTTGTTTTGATTTTCCTTTTATAAATAACGATATTAAAAGCTTTTCCATATCTTCCAGCCGATTGAATGTAATATTCAATCTTGATCTAGGATCGGTATCGTTGTTGAATAACTTTATAGAAAAATCTGATATGTACTGTTCATTCGAGTCACCAGAAGCTGATATCCAATAAATCTTTCCATTCTAAATGAGAATGATAAATGTTCACTTAATTTACGTATATTCTATTACAAGTTTTTATATTTACGGAATATGGTAAACAAACAAGCATCAAGCAACAGCAAATAAAAACCAATTTCATGACGAGTGCTTAAACTTTTTGGTTTGCTTCTTTCTTTGACAGAAAAGAAAAATTTACTAAATTTTTGTTTCATTTTTAAGCTTTGAATACAGAATGTTCCTATTTAGATATAATTTGATGTTTAATTGGAAAAAATTATTGCAATTAAATTTATAACTATTATGATTGTGACCAATGATATCATTTTGCAATATTGTAAACAAAAAATAGCACAAGAACATCGACGATAAAACAATCTAAACAGAACAGATCGAGGACGAAATCAGAGACGGTCTCCATCTGAGTGATTTAACATTGAGAGTGTGATTACGTAATGGAATGGTTGAAACATTATTTCAGTATAATAAGAAATCTAAACCAAGTTTTATTTAATCAATTTCTAATTTTCTGAATGAGCCTTGAATTCCTTTCATTCCTATTAAATCTTTCTTCTCGTCAAATGCTGAATCTGGGGCACTTAAAGGTATTTTGAGTGATCTTGTTGATCCTTGTCGAACAGATTCTGGGTAAAGCTCTAAGCGAACGTTCATCTCATCGTGACTCAGTAAGACATCTCGTTTCGCTTCTAATTCTTTCTTGAACATTTCAATCATTTCTCTCATTGGAATTGTGCCGCCATATTCAAGCGGAAGAAGTTTCGTATCAACTGAATTTGCATCGTCAAGTTTGGAATGAATTCTGACACGAGATCGAAGTTTAGGACTCATCATTGCCAAAGCCCATTCCAGGACAAACTTCAAAGAAGGTGGACAGAGTCCATGGAACTCTTTATGGCGCATTGGAACCATTCGCTGTTGAAAAATTAATTAAGCAAAAAATGTTTTGATGATTTCAAAGTGAAAACTTACTTCACAATTTTTAATAATTCTGAAAGCTTGTTGTGGAGTTAAAACTGTCAAATAATTGAGTCCAAGTCCTGATCCATCTGCCACATGCACACAACCTCGAATTTGATTTTCTTCATCTTCAAGGAGAGTCTCGAAAACAACTCCAGGCAAACGAATAATATCGTGTGGAATATTTTTGGATGGATTGAATGCACGAGGTCGGTAGAAAATGATTCGCCTTCCAAGGTGGTCTCGTTGTGGCAGAGCAAACGCTAATCTATGGTTTAAGAAAAAAGTTAATTAAATGAGTTGATGACTTTTTGATGTTCTTACCCGTTGTCAATCAAGGCATACAATTGCGGGATTTTGTAATCAAAATTTTGATAGATAAATTGCCCTTCGTAAATGTATTTTCTTAACACGAGATAACGTTCAAGTGCTTCTTGTGCCATTGGAATGCTAAACTTCTTGAATCTTAGAAATCTCAGAAGAAAAACTGAATCCAATCGAAGAGTTTCTATTCTCGGATTCTTTATTGCCCAATCACGAAGAGCTTTCAAAGCGTGTTCTCGAGTTTCGTCAGTTTCACGCAATTCTTCTTTCGCAATCTTTCTGAGTTCGTCTGATAATGTGAACTTGTACTTGTCAACTGGTGTGATGCTTTTGGCTTGGTACTATTGAGAGGTGAAATTTCAGACATCAGTATAACTATTAATAACAGCCATAATCACGGAAAAAAATAAATAATGAAAAAGCTTTCTTTATNGTGAAGGGATTTAATTTCATTAAAAAAATCATTAAATTTGTTGCTTTATCAACCTTAAAACATTTCTCAATTAATTTAAATCTTTTGTGTCTATTTAATAATAATTTTTCTCAAAAGGTATTAAAAACTATTAACTTGACCGCTAAATACTTCAACTTTTGAGAACACAATGTCATTACATTATCTCCACTGGATACAATCAATTGAATAAATATTTCATTAACATGGAAGTAGATAATTATTTTAAAATTAGTTTACAACTCCTTACCTTCATCTTCATCATAAAGATAAAGCCACGCTATGAATAACAAAGTAAACCACAAAATATGCTTAAGATATGTTAAGTTTTGCTTGCGATGCTTTCAACACCTAAACCTAAACTGCGAGTGAATGAGAATAAAGTATCAGCGACTTAAACGTTTTCATTTGAATACGTCATCCCATTTACTTCACTCATATCCACAAGTCTTCACTCATTTTTCATTTTAGTTTGTTATTGTCTGCTTTTGTAATTGCAACATTGAGACATCAGACGAATGTGCAAATCTTTACGTCATTAAACAGAAGGAAAAGACGATAAAAGTATTGTTTAGAGAATTGGCCTTCTATCACCTTTTTTTATTAATGGTATAAACGGAACATCATCAGCATATAAAACAAAACATTTTATCTACATATATGTACAAATATTTTACTAGTTTCAATCAATTTCTAATTTTCTGAATGAGCCTTGAATTCCTTTCATCCCTATGACATCTTTCTTCGTTTCAAATGCTGAATCTGGTGCACTTAAAGGAACTTTTAATGCTTTCGCTGATCCTATTCGAACAGCTTCTGGATAAAGTTCGAAACGAATGTTCATCTCATCGTGACTCAGTAAGACATCTCGTTTCGCTTCTAATTCTTTCTTGAACATTTCAATCATTTCTCTCATTGGAATTGTGCCACCATATTCAAGCGGAAGAAGTTTTCTATCGATTGCGTCTTTATCATCAAGCTTGGAGTGAAGCTTTACTCGAGAACGAAGCTTTGGACTCATTAAAGATAATCCCCATTCTAAGACAAATTTCAAAGCAGGTGGGCACAGCGTTCCATGAAACTCTTTATGACGCATTGGGACCATTTTCTGTCAAGAATTCGACAAATAAAAAATGTTTTGATTAAGTAAAATTTATTAGAAACTTACTTCACAGTTTTTGACAATTCTGTAAGCTTGTTGTGGAGTTAATACTGTCAAATAATTGAGTCCAAGTCCTGATCCGTCCCCTACATGCACACAACCTCGAATTTGATTTTCTTCATCTTCAAGAAGAGTTTCGAGAACAACTCCAGGCAAACGAATAATGTCATTTGCCAAGTTTTTAGATGGATTGAATATGCGAGGTCGGTAGAAGATAACACGTCTTCCAAGGTGGTCTCGTTGTGGCAAAGCAAACGCTAACCTAGTCAATAGTGAAATTAAGTGCCATAATCATTGTTTTACAAAATTAGTTTTAAATTTAAAGCGTTAGGGATGCTTACCCATTGTCGATCAAGGCATACAATTGGGGGATTTTGTAATCAAAATTTTGATAGATAAATTGCCCTTCGTAAATGTATTTTCTTAACACGAGATAACGTTCAAGTGCTTCTTGTGCCATTGGAATGCTAAACTTCTTGAATCTTAGAAATCTCAGAAGAAAAACTGAATCCAATCGAAGAGTTTCTATTCTCGGATTCTTTATTGCCCAATCACGAAGAGCTTTCAAAGCGTGTTCTCGAGTTTCGTCAGTTTCACGCAATTCTTCTTTCGCAATCTTTCTGAGTTCGTCTGATAATGTGAACTTGTACTTGTCAACTGGTGTGATGCTTTTGGCTTGGTACTATTGAGAGGTGAAATTTCAGTTTAAAAACTTTGATGATTTATGGAGATAAATTGTTTGTTCATAACATGATATGATGTCGGCGTTAATTTACTACCTAGCTTAATATATGGACAATGAGAAGTTTATGTAAAGTAAAAGCAGGCAACATGCTTATGTATGACGTGAAACAAAATGAAGTTAATAAAAGTTTACTGAAAATTATGAACTAAATAATCTTAATTTAAATGGATGAAGGACTTTTATGATGATTTAACTTTACACTCAAATTTTGTATCTTGTTTTAGTCTATTTCTAGTTTTCTAAACGATCCTTGCAAACCGAAAGTTTCTTGCATTTTCACTTTGTCGTAAAGTTCTGGGGAATTTAAAAGATATTTGAGAGTTTTCACTGATCCATCAAGAACTTGTTTCGGATAAAATTCTTGACGAACTTTCATTTCTGATAACAATAAATGATCGTCACGTTTTTCAAGCAATAACTTCTTGGTAGCATCTGTAATTGAAGTGAACATTATCAGATCTAATGCAACTATAATTTCACTTAATGATATTCAACTTACCAATCATTTCCTTCATTGGAATTGTGCCACCATATTCTTTGGGCAATTTGGATGTCTCAATAGCCTTAAACTCATCAAAATTTGAATACAGATGAGCTCTTTTCTTCAATTTTTCACTCATCTGACTCATGATAACGTCATGAACTAATCGCAAAGATTTATGAACGTTTACAACATGAAAACCTTTATGTCGTAATGGCAAAATGCGCTGCAAAAAAAATTCTTTAAATTGACGGAAAACTCTGATTAAATTCTTACCTCAGTTACTTTTCCAATTCGGAATGAATATGTTGGACTAAATACAGTAAAATGCGGCATTTTTATGCCGCTAGCATCTGCAACATGCACAACGCCTCGAATTTGATCTTCTTCGTATTCACATAATAATATAAACAAAGAAGTCATGAGTGTTAAAACATCAAAACCACATGTTGGTGACATTGGATTAGACACACCGGGACGATAAAATATCACTCGTCGTCCCATGTAGTCTCTTTCAGGTAACAGAAAAGCGAATCTATGAAATTAAAAAGTTGTAGACCATCATTCAAAATTTGTGTCGTCACTTCTCACCCAGTATCGAGTAATCGCAGTACAGAAGGCCTTGCCACTTCAATCCTTTCAAACCAACCCTTCCCAAATGGTCCATCCTTAACAACCATCATACGTTCTATAGCTTCCATTGCCATTGGGACGCTGAATTTTCTAAATCTCAAATGACGCAACAACCAATTTGTATCCAATCTGGTTTTTATAATTCTTGGATTTTTCAACGCCCATTCTCGTAAAGCTTCAATGCCATGCTTGCGAGTTTCTTCCGTTTCACGAAGCTCATCCTTGGCCATGTTTTCAAGTTCTTCTGATAACTGACACTTGTATTCATCGACCGGTGTTGTGCTTATAGCTTGATACTAGAAATCATTATGCAAATAAAAATCGAAGTTTTGAATAATTTCATGATCAAGTCCAAAAACAATGAACTTCAAATCTTAGCTTCTTATTCATTCAAAGTCCTTTTTAAACCAGTTACATTGGTATTTTTGTGTCTTGTGTTTCATGTGTTTCATGTACCAATTGCTACATAATTTTGTTCCTTTCAATTCAATCCTGGTGCAGATCAATAATTAATTTGATAGAAATATCAAGTTTTGCAACCTGTTTTAATTTTACGTGTATTGTGTGCGTCATTGGTTGTGCCGGGTTGTGTGATGTTTCGAAATCTTTCTTACAGTCTAACTCTTTATAATGCTGATCAACTCTCTACTTAAGTTAAATATCATTTCCAGTTCAAGTTTACTATTTTTGAGGGTAAGTAAGTCTTAAAAATGCCTTTGAAATGTTTCAAAGATTTGTTAGTGTAAGCATTGATGAACCTTTTAATGTTGACCATTTTATGAGTGATATTAATGTTTCCAAAGTTTGTTTGAATTCAACATAAAATTTTTATTTATCATACTCCTTAAAGTGAATTTTAATTTGCTCTACTCTTTCGTTTATTCACTTACTTAAATAGAAAATTGAATACAATAAAGGTTTTGCGTAATTTATGTAACGAAGACATTACACTTACTTGATGGGGTCATAAAAACATTTAGTATATGAATGAAGCTCTTTAAAATTTTATCTGCTACGCGTGAGTTTTTTGCAACCATTCTCTGGCATTGAAAAATGATCAATTTTGTTGCTATCTTACTAGATTAACCGGTTGGCGTTCATTTTTGACATGACGGTCATCAAATTTTTATACTTTTTTTTATTAAATTTGAAAAATAAGGTAAATGAAATACTTAAATGATTTAACACGGGGAATAAAACGAAACAGAAAGTATGATGAAATAGCTCTTGGTCACTGCGGGAATAAAAACGAAATTATGAAATATTTCACATTGAATTCAAACAATTAAGTGTCTAAATAATTCATCACGAAATGTTTGAAACAATTTCTAAAGCTATGAACTGTTAAGTGGTCTAATGAGCGTTAAAGTGTGTAAATATGAACTCAAATATGAACTCTGATAGAAGTTTATGACTGTCACCGCCACAAAATTATTCCACGATAATGCATGCTTCATCATTTCACTAAAATTTCATTTATTTACCTTTTCCATGGTTCTTTTATCCATTATAAGCAGTTAATTTATTATCCAAAAGGATTTGAAGTAGGTGATAATTATTTCTGTTTTTCACAAAAATTTTCTGTAAGCTTTAATCCAAACAAGAATTAAATATTTGTCTGCACACATTAAGCTTACAATGACGACTGGAGTGGTATACCTAATCAAGTTAAAACAAAACGAAATTTTGACTTTTTTCTCGCATCAAAACTCAAAACAAGTTTTTAATCAAGCTCCGTCACTAGAACTACACTGAAGTGAATTGGATGTTTTATGTTTTGGCCAATTAACATTTTGGTAGAAATTGTCTCACGAAAAGCAACTTTTAGACGAAAAAATAACCAGTTTTGTTTACTTTTCGCAAACAGCTGATTTCGTGATGAGACTCTCATTTATCGACTGATACATATTAGGTAGTTGCAAAAGTTTTGAATTTAATTAAATTGAAATGTGAAATAATACTGAATGAAATAAGCTACTCGTAAATAAATTGGGAAAAAGCAATAAATAATATGTGACTTGTAGAAAAAAATTGTTAACATCCGCTTATGATTTCAAACATCATTGCGTATTTTTTATTTTAAAAAGAATATTTTAATTAAAATGCAATTTTCTTAAATTCAAAGAAAATTTTCTCTTAATTTAGATTTGAATGTTTTCTTTCTTNTCCTTTCATTAATCCTGGTGCCGATCAATAATTAATTTGATAGAAATATCAAGTTTTGCAACCTGTTTTAATTTTACGTGTATTGTGTGCGTCATTGGTTGTGCCGGGTTGTGTGATGTTTCGAAATCTTTCTTACAGTCTAACTCTTTATAATGCTGATCAACTATCTACTTAAGTTAACTATCATTTCCAGTTCAAGTTTATTAAGTTCATATTTAACTTGATTATGAAGATAAAAATGCATTCAAAATCCTCATTTGAAGTTGATATTTGTTAATTAAAGCATAACTCAGCCTAAATTACTGAATCAATATCAAAATGTTGAAAATTTCTGCTGAATCTTTATGCAAATCATCAGTAAAGATGACTTTGGACTTTGAATTATCAAAATCATAAAAACAGATGACTCTGTTTGACCCAGAAAGTCTGCTGTTTGTTTGTCAGTGAAAATTAATAAAAATAAATAAAACATTAAACATTTTTCTTCTAATTTATCAAGACTTTGTGCATATTTTTTTCTAATTAAACCGCTTGAATGAATGATGGATAATTATAGAGTTGACTTCATCTTCAAGAAATTCATTGATATGAATAATCTTGGCTTGAACAGACAAAATAAAATATATAAAAAATTTATAACAATGAACTAGACTTATTCTTGCACGTATTTTATTTTAATAACAAAAATATTCACCTTCTCCATTATTCGTTTTCAATTTCCTAATCCTTTTAATGAAAAAATCACTGATCTTCTTTCCGAAAAGATATCAAAATAATTTTCTTATTTCTTTATATTTAAAGAGAATTCTTGAACCGTTTCCACTGACTCGCTATATTGGACTGTTTGGAAATATATGAGATGAAACAAAGTAAAATTTGGGGTCTTCACTAATAAAAGAAACAAGTTTTCACTTTCATCAAGAAAACACAATGAAGAGCCTCCGGTTCTCTTCTTATACATCTTTGAAAATTTTAGCTTTTGTTTCTCCGCAACGTGTCTAATTTTGCTTTAACTTTTTACGGTGATTAATCGGTGTTGTTGTATTTGTTTTATTGTTTATGTATCAAAATTAGTGAATTTTATTTGAGACAATTATACTTACACATGATTTTAGTTCAATCTTTGTAAATTAAAGATTACTTCAAGCCGCAGAAGAATAACACAGCAGAACTATTTTTTAAGAATTTTTATTCAAACAAGAAGGAAAAGAAACAAAAATCTTTGTTCGTGCATTTTTTAATTCCAATTTATTTATCTAATCTTTGGGCTCTTCAATGAGTTTTTCTTCGCTCTCGTTTTCGATAGCTGGCGCCTCTTTCTGTTTATTCTTCTTAAAATATTTCCTAACAGCTGAGATGCTGAATACAACTGGAATCATGATTGGTAAATAGAGTGGAATGTAAATGGCGTACTTCTGTTCCTCTGGAAAATATAAAAGTTCTAATAAACTTGGATCATTGAATGCTTTCTCAGCAGCTATGAATGCTTTTCTTGCATGTTTTACAGCTTCATGAATTTCATTTACTGACAAAAGTTCTTTGGCTATCACAACATTTTCATATGCTTGATGAATTTCTGAAGCAACGTGATCACCAATCACAATATTTTTGATATCATCGAGAAGTTTGATAAGCGATTTTATTGTCGATGACGCTGAAGCAATCAAATGAATAGCACCATTTCTCAAAATCATGTCACGTTCCCAAATTCTTGGCTTTACTTGATCTAAACCTACGATCGATGATGAAGGCAGTGGAATTTCAATTTCAAGATCAAAAATTTTTCTAAGCTGATAGAGCACAAAATCCATCACTTCATGTGAATGAAGATAAATATTTCGTGGCTCATCATCTTGTGGCGATATGCAAGCATTTTCAGATGGATTCACGATGACAATTCCACCCCATTTTGCAGAAATAAATGAATCATAAGTGAAATTAGAAACTCGTTGACCATTCTTATAAATATAAACTGGAGCCATTTGACATGGTGGCGAATAAATGACAAGATGAACGCAAGGTTTGTTGACCACATCAGTGCCAAGCTTTCGTTCGATTGATGTTATTATGTGAGGTAATGTTTCATGATCTAAAGCAAAATGTCGACCAATTTTTGTTTCATCTTTGATCTGCTGACTTCCATATTTTAATTCAACTTGATATTTTCTTTGAGACTTCAATGTAAATTGCGATAGTTCATTGAATTCATTAAGAAATGGCTTCAAATACTGATCAGAAGCTTTTTTTATATTCCAGTGAAGAGTTTGAAGATCTGGACGTGGATTTAAAACAGAAATCAGCACTTCATATTCAGGTGGTGGTGGTGGAACATTGTGTCGCAATTGCTTCCCATCCAATGTCATCACTTGACCAAGAATAGATCGGATTTTATAGTCGCGGACAATCCAAGTTCTTATAACGTGATAAATTCGATCAATTGCTGTTGGAATAAAATTAATTTTTATTAATAAAAAAATCGAAACTAGGCATGGAAATATTTAGCTTACCAACATTTTCTGAAATGAAAACTGTTCTATCTGAAGTAACAAGAACATCTTCTTCTAAATTCTTCCACTCAATGAGCAATAAATTTCCTGGTTTGACTTTGTAATGCATCATAATCATTTGTTCTAATTTTGCTGGTGTTTTTATGTTTGCTGTTTGCGATGATTCAATATTTAAGCCAGAAATGTTAGCCTTAAAAATATCATTTGTATCAAATAAACTTTGAAGATCATCTACAGTTCTTCTCCTTTTATCATCATTGCTTATAAATACAGCTATATTCATTGTAAATGTTATGGGAGTAACATCAAGAGACAAAATCTCATTTGAAGGTAGAGATGCCCTGAAAGAGGATAAAAGTACATATTTAGCACTATAAAAATAAAACATTGTTCAATATTTCAAAGACATACCTGTGAATTTCAGTAGTTTTCCACCACATAGGTATCCCAATTATGAAAATTACGACAATATACGAGATTGTGCTTAAAATTCTTGAAAATTCATCTAAAATAGAAGATAACGACAGAAACTTCGTTTGTCTTTTCATTCAATTTAAGAAAAATGTTCTTACCTTTTGATTTATTTGAACTTTCTTCCATTTTATTGTATATATTTAACTTATTATCGGCAATAATTTACAAATTATTTGTAATTTTTTTTCATTCATGAAATAAACAAATGAATCGGTTAAATATTCAACCGATTCACAATAAAGTCTACAAAATTCAAAGTTTTATCAGTTGAACATAAAAATTCATTTAATTCAAGAATTAAATTTATTCTTTGTAACTACAGAATAAAATATAATTATATTCACTCTCCGTTATTGTAGATTTTGAACAATACTTAGTGAATTTCGCTGTACCCGCTGATCGATAAATAATGTTCAAGAAATTGTTTTGAGGATAAATTGTTAAAAGAACAGGTTCATCATCATGACTTGAATCAATTGATGTATGATCATCAGTTTCATCTTCGTCAGGTGTCAGATATGTAATAGTACCGACATTGTCATTCCTACCAAAATACAAAATCAAATCAAGGGTGTCATTGTTGAAAGTTGACGGATCTCCGATTAATTTATAGTTTCCACCTTTCCAACGTTGGATCTCAATAACATAGTTAGGATTTGTAGCCTTCTTTCCATAAAGATCAAGTTCAGTATACTCATGTAAAAGCTTGAACATAAATTCAGATGAAAAAACATTGCACAATCTTTTAATTTGTGAATTTTTTCCGAGATTTTCAATATTCAAATATTCGTAATTTTGTTGATGTGCAGGTCCTTTTGTAATCCAACGAAGCTCTTTACTTTCAAGTTCTTGCAATACATTACTGTGAACGTCACTTATTAAGAAATCACCAAGTGCAGCTTCAGAATTCTCTTCAATTTGTTTCTGAATTGATTTTTTAATTTGATCCTTTAAGTAGATTTTGTTGATCATCATTTCTAATTCCAGTTTATTATTGGTTGGAGGTTTAAATGTAAGATTGTTTGGCATTTTCACTTTCATTGCATCAGCATCAAAATCAGTGTTATCTTCAAATCCATGGAACCAGCCATTTATTGTTAGACGAGGATAATCTTTTGATAAAACTTCTCCTACTTGATGAAAAGATTTTCTTTCAACTTTAAAGAAAACAAGTTGATTGTTTGCTGGAAAAATTTTCTGTGACACTGGAAATTTTGGTTGTCCATCGTCGTCTGTTTCAAATAATTCTAAAGCACCTCCCATTGAATCATTCCATTTTTCTTTGTTTTCCCAAGGACTCAAATAAAACACATAAGCTATCAAACGATCAGAAAGTAAGTCGTCGTGAGCCAAAAGGAAATCTCCATTATTATACATGGAACAAGATGCTGAAATCTTTTTAAATTTCATTCCTGTAAGTTCTTGCATCCATAAACGAACATCGGTATTGAGAAATTTAAAAAATGTTGCTAAATATTCGTTTTCTATATTTGCAAGATCAGTTGACTGATAGAATTCGTAAAGATCCATTTGTTTCCTCGTCCATTCAATATTTTCAATTTCATTAACAAGTCCAGTGATGAAAAATTTGTCATCAAGAAAATGTTCAACTACAGCTACTTGAAAAGGTTTGTTCTTCAATTCCACGAAGTTTCTTGAGAATTTTTGAGTGTTTTTGAAACTTTTACTAAAATCTTGTGCAAATGTTGGCAGTATTAAATTTTTATTGATCGATAAGCAGCAGGTTTTCTCTTCGGTCTCATCATTGCTGATTATATCACTTTCAGACCATGACAATAACTTTACCATTTTTTTTGAAGGTCCTGCTGAAGTTTCTTCAATAGTCCAACCATTGTTATGATCTTTTTTATTAGTTTTTATCTTCCTTTTAACAACTAGAAAAAAATGTTTTCTTATAACCTTTGGATGACTTAAAAATTCACTATCAATGCCGATAATTACCTTTCATAATTAGAATTAAAATCGTTGTACCTTCTTTTAGAAAGAATGTTTTTTTTTGACTTACTAGTTTTTTAAAGCTTCTACAAAATTTAAATTTTTTTAATGAATTTGTTTTTGCGGCGTGTTGTTAAAATGTAAACAAAAAAGTCTACACAGTCATTTTGGGAATCGGTTATCTGGTTTTTGAACTTATCACAATAATGATCTGAGTTGCGAAAATTTGGCGCGAACACGCAGAAACTTCGAAGTTCTTTCAAAAATAATTTCTATTCGCGAATAAAACTTGTCTAAAGTTCGTAAAGAAACCAATTTAATAAAAAATAAAATATTTAGCAAGATGGAAGGTTTTGATGATGCTGGAATATTCTTTTCTGATAACTTCGGTGGAGATGAACAACAAGACGCAAATTTAATTAATTTACAACAAGTTAAAAAGAAGTTTAAAGATTTCATTCGAAGCTTTAATGAAGATAACTTCTTTTACAAATACAGGTAATTTAATAAAATGTTCATTAATAGACATTTAACTCCAAAGATTCATTGCAGAGATACGTTAAAGAGACATTATCTTTTGCGCAAATACTTCCTTGAAGTTGAAATGGAAGATCTTGCAGGCTTCGATGAAAACCTCGCAGATAAACTCAAAAAACAGCCGTCAGAACATCTGCAAATCTTTGAAGAAGCAGCCAAAGAAGTTGCCGATGAAATAACATCACCAAGACCAAATAACGAAGAGGTTCAAGATATTCAAATATTGATCGCTTCAAATGCAAATCCAACATGCATTCGTGATCTAAAATCTGATATGGTGTCTAAGCTTGTAAAAATCTCTGGCGTTATCATCTCAGCTTCAGGAATTAAAGCCAAAACAACAAAAATTTCAATTCAATGTCGCTCCTGTAACACTACAATTCCAAACTTACCAGTCAATCCAGGATTGGAAGGCTATGCATTGCCTCGAAAATGTACAACGTGAGTCTTAGCAATATGTTTGTTTATTCATTAACTAAAAAAGTTTAATTTACAGCGATACAACTGGTCGTCCAAAATGTCCTTTAGATCCATTCTTCATAATGCCTGACAAATGTCGATGTGTCGACTTCCAAACGTTGAAACTTCAAGAACTTCCTGATTCGGTCCCACAAGGAGAAATTCCCCGACACATGCAACTTTTCTGCGATCGCTCATTATGTGAACGTGTGGTGCCAGGAAATCGCGTTCTTATTACTGGAATTTATTCAATTAAAAAAGTTGGTGGTGGTAAAAAAGGCGGAGACAATCACAAAGCAGTTGTTGGCGTTCGATCTCCTTACATGAGAGTTATTGGCATTAAAGTTGATACCGAAATTGGAACAATTTCTCGCTTTAGTAACATAACAACTGAAGAAGAAGGAGTTTTCCGTAAGTTAGCAGCAATGCCTGATATTTATGATAAATTAGCATCAAGTATTGCTCCAAGTATCTTCGGTTCAAGTGACGTGAAGAAAGCGATTGTTTGTCTACTGTTTGGAGGTTCACGAAAGAGACTTCCTGATGGATTGCTTCGTCGTGGTGACATTAATATTCTTATGTTGGGTGACCCTGGAACTGCAAAGTCACAACTTTTGAAATTTGTTGAGAAAGTTTCTCCAATCGGTGTTTATACTTCTGGAAAAGGTTCTTCAGCTGCTGGTTTAACAGCTTCAGTAATGCGGGATCCATCAACAAGAAACTTCGTTATGGAAGGGGGCGCAATGGTTCTTGCTGATGGTGGTGTTGTCTGCATTGATGAGTTCGATAAAATGAAGGAAGATGATCGTGTTGCAATTCATGAAGCGATGGAACAAGGAACAATTTCTATTGCGAAAGCTGGAATCACGACAACTCTCAACTCTCGTTGTTCAGTTTTGGCAGCAGCAAACTCAATTTACGGTCGATGGGATGACACGAAAGGCGAAGAAAATATCGACTTCATGCCAACTATTTTGTCACGTTTTGATATGATTTTCATCATTAAAGATGTTCATGATCATACACGCGACATTACACTCGCTCGTCACATTATTAACGTTCATTTGAATGCAAATCGGCCGACTGAGAACGTTGATGGTGAAATTCCTTTGAATGTTTTAAAGAAGTTCATTCACTTTTGTCGTACACATTGTGGACCACGTTTGAGCCCTGAAGCTGGTGAGAAATTGCGTAGTCGGTATGTTCTGATGAGATCAGGAGCACAGAAACAAGAGAAGGCTTCAGATAAACGTCTCTCGATTCCAATTACTGTTCGTCAACTTGAAGCCATCATTCGAATTTCTGAATCACTCGCAAAACTTCAATTACAACCATTTGTTAATGAAGATCATGTCAACGAAGCTTTGCGCTTATTCCAAGTCTCAACTCTTGAAGCTGCAATGTCAGGAACACTCTCAGGTGTTGAAGGCTTTACTACCGAGGAAGATCATGAAATGTTGAATCGAATTGAGAAACAATTAAAACGTCGTTTTGCTATCGGCTCACAAGTATCGGAACAAAACATCATTCAAGATTTCACTCGTCAGAAGTATCCAGAACGTGCTATTTTAAAGGTCATTCACACAATGATTCGTCGCGGTGAAATGCAACATCGTATGCAACGAAAGATGCTTTATCGACTCTCTTAATTCCGACACTCGCATCAATCTTCTGTTTTACAACACGATTATCAGTTAACTTTACGATTGTTTCCATTACATTTTCATTGTTTTATGTTTTTTTTCTCTTATACGTTACTGCAAAATGTTTTCTTTCTGCTTCTTTTGTGCACTCCATTATCATAAATAAAAAATAAAACAAACAATTACAAGATAAAATGAAAACGTTGCAAGTTGTTATAATTTTGAAATTTAACCATTAAAAGGATTAAACGAAACTTAAACTGCTTTACAGATTTTAATGAAATTTATTTCACATATTTTGAAGAAATATTTAAGATTTTATGCGGCTCATCTTCATTGTAGCTAAGGCTTTGAAACTTGAAACTGAAACATTTGTTTGAACATGTCAATTATCATGCTAATCACTGATTTCATTTTTTTCAATGTTTTCGTGGCAGGGAGAACGTCAAATTATGAGTAAAAGTAATGACAATTTCTTGGTTTGATGAGGTTTAATTGAAGCTGATTAAGAGGGCAGTTTAGCTAACGAACATCAGCAGAAACACAAATCAAACTAACCAAGAACATGAATCCATTGTATACTGATCAATCATGCAATAAGAGGAAATATCTAAATCATGCAATTATAGTAATTTTAGTCTTGAATCCACAATAATAATTTAGATTTTTAATATTTCTTCCGCTTTAAGTTTTATTACCATCACCATGTGCAAAAATTTTATAAAGTTTTTTGACTAAAAATAAAATTTGTCATTCCCGATGATACTCTTCAAGCTACTTATTTTTCCTCAATTAACATATTTTATTACCTCCTTATCATATTCTCGATTTCATAAGATCGAATGTCAATCATGTGCAAAGACTATCATTAAATTTCAATGTTTCTTGAAAAGGAGATTATTTGACGAATATCGAATACACAATATCAAGACAAGGAAATTTTCCGAAGGCTTTTTTATGATAAGAAAAATGTTTTATGTTGAAATTTATTTGTTTTCTGAAGATAATACATTCAATTAAACATACGCTATCTATAATAAATATAATGTCATCAACTTCATGTACAGCTTTTTACATTTTAAATCTAACTAAGTTATAATATTTGCATTTCCTGTAAATTATTCCGAATTCCCATGAGAGTTTTGTTTAATAATCAACACCATAATATCATATCTATAAAATAAGTTTCGTAGTTTTTCAACATTTAATGTGATTGTGGTTTTAAAAAGCTAACAAAAGTTTATTACACCTCCGAAATATGACATTGGCAACTTTGAACCTTGACGGATGAATTTTGCGATGCAAAAAAAAATTTTTTCGCAGATACTTAAACTGCTAAATATCATATTTTAAAAAAATATGAAGAAAGAAAATGTTTGACCTCGGAAATCGCTTCATGACATGTATCGGTACTTGACTGATGATTACAAACACTTTGCTTCTTTCTACTTTTTGCAAAGATTACAATTTATTTTTATTCTCAAAAACAATTAGCATAATAATCATTAACTGTAAGCTAAAAAATGGTGGAAAATTTAAAATTTGTTTGGATAATTTCATAAAAATATCTTACAAGATTCAGCGGATATTCGATGATTTTTGTTTTTAAATTTCATCTCCTATTTGTTTTTGTTTACATTTGTCGGTTAATTTCATCATTCAACGTGATTGAAATTGTTTAGAATTTCTTATACATATCATAGAAATAGTGCGTCGTATAAACATCCATGAACCAGAAAATATTTGTCGGTCAATGAAGACGCTCGTTTCCTTCATTCATTTTAACTTAATTTGTTTGTTGTATGGAATCAGATAGAAGTTTCTGACACTGTTATTCTCTTTGAATTTGTTTCACAATGAATTATAATCGATTTTAAACTGAGGGTATTTAAATAAAATTTATTAGCTTTTAAATTACTCGATTTCAAAACGTCAATCGATGATAATTCATTGTCATGAAATTTGATTCAACATTTCAGAAAATCCAATCAAAACGTCGTCTACATTTCCCATCCAATTTTATTTTTCGCAAGAGTAAGATTTAAAATTTCAATTAAATGATATGAATATTTAACTATAAAGCTCATAAATCATTCTCTGACCTATTCTCTATATTGGTCAACATTTGAAAGTAAAAATAAAAAAATAAAAACGAAAATAGTCCCTGAAGAATGAATTAAAAAATTTCATTCATAAATAGCGACATTTCTTTTTTCCAACCGTGTGTTGTAATTGAATAACGAAGAAAATATTTATAGATATGAGACATTGTGATCATATACATGGTGGGATGAGATTAATGGTTTTGTGACCCCTGTGAAAATGTATATAAATTAATTTTAATCGAACAAAGACTCCTTTGTCATCTGAACTTCACATTATTCTGTTTGAAAATAGTCTGAATGGAAAACTCTACGTTTTCATCATGAATGACGTCACTAAAGAAGGAAAATGTTTTCAAGTGATGATGTTCGCGAAATGTTTTAGCATTTGCTTTTAAAAAAATAAAAAATATATTGAAGACTACAAAACTTAATTGATTCGAAATCACAAACAACTTCGAAGCAAATGGATAAAAGCTTTAATAATTAAAATCTATTCTCCATTTGACATCAGATGGTAAAATATAATTTACAGCATTTAATTGACTTTCTCACTTAATTTCCATTTATCTAATAAACATTTTAAAGTGACGACGAGAATATTTTGTCGGACTTTGTTTATCATCTGCAAACGTTTCGATAAAATTTTCCAAATAATAAAAAATAAACTTTTAAAGACGAGTGATAAAAGTAAGTCTGTGATTCTTTTGTTTATAACGAAATATATTTTTGAATGAACAGAAATACAAATGATTTCTTTACAATATGATAACACAATTTGAAATTTTCACTGCCATGGTTTTTGCCTTCTTGGTGGTTGTCTTGAACCTCATCGGATATTCAATGGAATGTTGTTTATTCTACGAGCCAGTCATTCGCCACAACCGAATTTTCTTTCACGCCTTAAAAGAAATGTCGATTTTACTTTTTTATTTTTCACAGTTTACGATAAGACATTCACATTTTTATCCCTTCGTTTGTTTAATGATTTGTTGAATATCTGTTTAGAAAAAACAAAAGTTCTATACGATAAAAGCTTGACAGATGCATAAAATTCCTTTTTATTGCCTTTTATATTTATTTGAAATAAGTTCATGTTCAATATTTAATTACATCATCATCAGTTAAATGTTTATAAAAATATTCACATGTGTTCCTCTTATATGAACACCTTACATAACTATTAATGTAGAGCTTCATTCTTTAAGTCTCGAATTAAACTATATAATTAATTTATCAGTTTTATCTTTATCTAACATCTTACATGATACACTGAATACATTTTTTATTCATTATGTGAAGGATTTGACCACAAGCAATCAAAAATACATAAACTTATCGGCTTATTAACTCATCATGGCTTTACAATATTCTTGACATTAATGCATTTGCACATTTCAAAATCAACAAAATGAAACATAAACAAAAGAAAAGTGAAAAATAATTACTTAAACTTAAACAGGAGCTTGACTTGATGGTTAACATTGAAAAATTATTTTCTGTCATTTAGATAGTTATGAAGCTTTAAAATTATTTTCAGATTAATGAGAGATGCACCGAAATGTGATCCTATCCATTAGGCATTCGACGCGATACAAATTGATTCGAATTGCGAGACGTTTGAGTGAAAGTTGGAAGACATTCAGAAGCAATGAATTTCTTTTTCGCTAATTTATTTTACTTAGTTATCTTGAAATTTGATGGCACTCGTTCATACAGTATGACACGTTTTGGGAAAAAGTTTGATAATGAGCCAAGATTTAATGACGCACTTTGGAGGTTTTCATTAGACAGGTTAATAATTTTCTTGCAAAAATTTTTATTTAACTTCAAAAATTATTTATAAGATGCGACTTAACTTAAGAACTTTTCCCATTAAATTTCAAAACTTAGATCTGTAAGAAGCTCCTTAAAAATATGTAACTCGTTTTAACATAAAAATTAAATGGAAGTTTGGTTTTGTTTTGCATCGATCATGATCATATACACCAGCACTCGTTTTTGCCTTTCATCTCGTGACATTATTTCGACAATTGCTTTTTCAATTCCTTTCTGGTCTTGAATCCTTTCCAACCAGCTTGAATTTTTGTTGCAGCAATTCTACAATTTTGTAATTCTTTGCGAATCTTAAATCCTTTCCAGCTTGCTTGAATTGTTGTTGCACATTTATCTTCAAGTGACAATCTTTCATTGGAATTTTTGCTGCCACCAGCATGTCCGTTTTGTTGTCCACTTTTATTTTTTCTGCTATTTCTCATTTGCTTCCGAACTCGATATCCTTTCCATTGTGCTTGAATTCTTGTTGCAGCATCATCTTCCGATTGAGATGAGTTGGGACTAGATGGATGTACAGCATTGATATGCATTATTGGAGAGTAAGTACTGAAGAAACCAATATCAACTTTGAAAATCACTTTGTGAGATTTCTTTTAACAAGTTTTATTCCTTTTTTCTTTCAATGTTATTTCAACTTTTCTTTACTTTTCAATATTTAACAAAACAAACAAGAAGCTGACTTTTCACGTCTTTCACACTTGACTGAATCATCTAAACTGAGTTATTACAGAACAACTTTTAAATTATTTTCTCCTCGTCGCACGAGAGTCTGTGCTCCGTTCTGATGTTTACCCGCATCATCAACACGAAACGAGAAGCGCAACAACAAGCTCTGAAAATAGAAATAAAAAAAGATGAAAAACCTTTTCTTTTTTTCTCACATGTTTTACGACGGATTTCGCTGTTTCACATATCAACTTTGTAAAATGCGTGTGTAAGTGTATTGGACTTCTCAAGTGGATCGTGTTCACTTTTTGTTAGCATTTTGCGTAGAAAATTCTCTTCTAGTTTTTCTGTATATTTTGAAATTTTCATTAAAAAGGAGAGATATGCAACGTTAAATTTTATAAGTTTAGTCTTGTTATATGTATGTGAAACTTACATGTTGCACATCAATCATCAACTATCTCAGACAAATCATTACTCTCTTGATCTCCCTTTATATTAAGAAAAATGTGAAAGATGTTTCACTTATCTATCGCTTGAAAAATTCCATCGTCTCTACATGATTTCTCAATAAACTCATAACAAAAATTTAAAGCAAAGAAAATGCTTTAAATACAAATTAATATTTTCAGCATCATTACTTAAGATCAACTGACGCCGCTGTCATGAGTCATTATAGGAATATTTATGATGATCATCGGAAGGAATTTCACCTTGATGCGTCTTGAAAGGAACTCCCTGAATATCAGCTTAACAATAAATCGTGAAGAAATGAAAAACATTTTGTGAAAAATTTCATTTATTTGATTCTCAAGGTGTTGTATCATATGAGAGGATTATAGTTTAATGACACTTGACTCATTTTATGAAGTGGCATCAAGACATTCTATTAAAATATTTTATTAAGTGGCAATCAAAGAAAGTTGAAAGAAAAAACTATACTGACAGTTTTCTAATTTCTTAATGTCTGAACATCTCAGTAAAGCTTGAGTGAAGCGAAAAGGTCAGGAAGAATTTTTTCAATTGAAATTGAATCAATAATTTTGAAATGTTATGATATTCTTTTTGCTTTTGTAAATCTAATGAAAATCTTTAATTATTTAAAATGTTCGATAGTTAAATTCAGATTTATTACTTTAACTTGGAAGTTTATCACAATTTGTAAACTGAGTAATTGAACCAGCAAAAAATAAGATTTTATGAGTTTTTTGATCAAAGTTTGATTACCTATCAATCAGTCAATCAAAAAAATTAATTAAGCAATACCAAATCTAAAAAAAGAAATAAATTTCTCTTCTCTATTGTGTTTATCTGTTAAATATTTATTTTAATCATCAACCACCTTAAGTTTTGCAAGGAAATCGGATCATAAATTAAGAACCTACATAGACATACTTTTCTTACATTCCGAGAACTGAAATTGTGTGGTTTGCCAATTTCCTACTGATGATAGCATCTCTTCACATACGGAAAGTGGAGAATTTATGAAGCTGAGAATATGAAACCATCAATAACACTTTCATTCATTTACCTACATATTATTTAAAAAAATGGATTATTAGCGAAAATTTATTTGGTTTTCATGCCTATTTTTATCTTGACCGACTCGAACGCGAACATCGTGAACTGTTATTGATGATCATGAAACAATTTTTTCCAGACTTTCTTATCATATTAAATCATTTGAATTTTATGATTCAACAGCGGATGTTTTATTTGAAAATATCGCAGATGGTCGAAGTCAACAAATATATTCATTTTCTCTTTCATGAGAACTAAATGAGTTTTTCTTGAAATTTATAAATACTGACGTCAAACCGAGGGTGTAAAGCAGATTTTTCTAAAGGAAGAAATGTCAACGTTTGACCAAACACCAAAAAGAAAAATTGCTTTGATTTTGAAAAGTTATCAACTCATTAAGATCGTGTGTCTAAACTGTCATGTGGATAATCGTTGTCTTTTTTGTACCAGTTCCTTTGACGTCATCTATTATTGATTTTCAAAGATCATGGACATTCATATTTAAGAAACTACCTAGCAAACAAAGAATTTTATTAATGAAAATCGTATTATAATTTAGATGCTAGGTGAGCTAATAGAAGAAATATTAATGACGATCAACCAAATAGAAAATCAATCTTATTATCTTAAATAGTGTATAAAATTTCACAGCATATAAATCACAATGATAAAGAACATATCAGAATGAAGATGTGTGTAGATAATTAAAAAATAAGCTCATAAAAAATAACATATTAGTTCGGAGCGTGTCTATGAGGAATAACTGCGTGATTATAGACGTGGAAGAGAAAAATTGTTTTATCTCTTCAACAGCGTAGATATTTAAATCCACAATCTTCATATTTTCTACTTTTCTTTTTTTTAGAAAGAAATTTATAGATTTTTAACGGTTTTCGACAAATTCTGATTTTGTCGAATAATTTGAAAAAAGTAAACAAAAACAAGCACATTTTCAATAAAAACATTTTATTAATAAATAAAATAATTTAAAATGATAAGAACATTTTTAAACGCCAGAATTATTTCAAAGTCATTATTTTCAAATAGAGTTTATATGAATTATTCGAGAGTGCGTCATATAACAAGCATTAAAAGCCGGTTTTATTCCTCTGAAATTATTCATAATAAAGAAGAAAGTAATGTACGAGAATTAATCGCTGCTCAAGATTCAGACGCATTTGGAACACTTAGCATTGATGTAGCTCCACCAGATGATGAACTGATAGATGAAGGAGATATCAAAGAGGAAGAATATTTAAAAAATCCCCCGAGTTTGTCTCAAAAACTCAGTACTAAGCAATATGCTGATATGATCAAAAGTCATTTAAAATACAACAGAATTAAAGAAGCAGTTGATGTATTAGAAGTCCGCATGCTTAAAGAAGATCGTGTTAAACCAGAAAATTACATTTACAATTTACTTATCGATGGATGTGCTAAAGTTGGCTACTCAAAGAAAGCTTTCAATCTTTTCTTAAGAATGCGTCAACGTGGATTAAAAGTAACTGGAGCCACTTATACGTCACTTTTCAATGCATGTGCGATGACACCTTGGAAAGAAGTTGGACTGGAAAAAGCCAAAGGATTAAGAGAAATTATGTTTGAAAAAGGCTTTGAACCAAATGTTTCTAATTATAATGCAATGATCAAAGCATTTGGAAGATGCCAAGACCTTCCTACAGCATTTTCTATTGTTGATGAGATGACTGAAAAGAAAATGAGAATTGATGTCGATACATTCAACTTTTTACTTCAAGCTTGTGCTTCAGATGCAGAATATGGATTCAGACATGCACTTCTTGTTTGGCACAAAATGTTAAGAAGAAAATTGAATCCAGACATTTACACTTTCAATTTAATATTACGTTGTTGTCGTGACACATTATTCGGTGACGTTGAGTCAATGGAAGAAGTTTTACAAACAATATTGTTAAACGACTCAAGTGAAGAATCAAAACATTTGAAATTGGAAGCAAATTATTCCTCGAATCAGCTCGAAGTTGAAAATAAGTCGGAAAATTCTCAGTCAACTTTCGACCCAATTCCAAACCTTCTCGCACCAAAGCCACATTTGGGTAACTTAGTAAGTCTCAAAAATGTCACAAAACCTGAAGACAAATTTCTACTTCTTGGAGGGTTCTCAGGGTTCATAGAAACCATGAAATATTACAATGTGAAGCCAACATTAATAACTTACACACAACTTGTTGAAGTTATTCCATCTACAACTGCAGCTGAAAAGCGGGTAATGGCGCATATAAAGAAATATGAGACAAAATGTGATGTTGACTTCTTCAACATATTGATGAAGAAACGGTCGGTGAGGGGCGACTATCAAGGCGCTAAAGAAGTTTTCGAGATGATAGAAAAAGTCAAGTTGAAACCTGATATCGCAACTTATGGAGTTTTAGCTCTTGGTTGCCAATCTCGTGAAGAAGCAAACATTTTGATTCAAGAAATGGATGCTAATGGATATAAGATGAACATTCAAATTCTTGGCGCTATGCTAAAAACTGCTTGCATAAAGAAAAACTTTGATTACGTTATCGACGTTCTTGACATCATTAAAGATTTAAACTTAAAACCATCAGAAAGAATTATCGATTGTCTGGATGCACTTATAAAAGTCTGCAACAAATTTAGAAAGAAGGATTGGACAGTGGCATCTAAAGAATTCAGAAAGGACTTTGGAACTTTCAAGCAAAAACTTGAAAAATGGAAAGTTGATGTTGGCTTAAGAGATTTGGAACTTTCTGAAGCTAAAAAGATATTAAAAGATGCTCCGTGGGAACAATTTCAATCAGTTCAAGCTGATGGCTTTGAAGATGTTAAATCTTTGAAGCAGCAAAAAATGCAGAAATATAAAAGATTTATTGGAAAAATTAAAAACTTAAAAGTTGAAGAGTAGAAACTTTATTGAGGTACTTTAAACATGAAATAAAAACAGAATTTTATTAGAAATCTTTTTTTATCCAATCATTGTACGCTTCCTTCCTCGAGCTCGAACTTCTTCGAATTTTCGGATTGTTTCTGTTGATGGATTTATATCCTTGTAATGTTTCAGGATAGAATTAAAGAGATCAGGTAGATCTGAATGTGTACTTAATAAAGCTCTCTCGAGGACATACAAATCAACACCTTTATCCTCATGACTAGTGGAGAAACTTGATAAACCAAAATCGATCATAATGAGATCATAATCATTTTCTTTTGGATTAATAAGCATATTCGAAGTAGTTAAATCACCATGAATAATATTATTAGCATGGAATTTTCCAATTACTTCTCCAATTCTCTTCATTAACATGTCAAGTTCTTCCAACTTTTTTTCCTTTTGAACTTGAACAATAAATTCCTTGACAGTCATCGCTTTGTCAAAATATTCCATGTATACTTTTCTTTCATTGAAGTCAACATTATATACTTTTGGTACTAAAATTCCCGCATTTTCACATCTTTTTGTTGTTTTTTGTTCAGCTTTAATGCGTGCTTTTGTTAATGTTTTATCGATCTCCGTTAAACGATAAGTTTTTACGAATCTTTCTTTGACTAAGCATCGTTTTTCATTGTATTTTCCAATATACAACTTAGCTTCTGCACCTTGTTTAATTATTTGTGGTGTTGTCATTACAAATTAGTTGAAAACTAAGCAAGAAAATTTTAAAATTTGTTTTTCATCTTGTAAACAAACGTTGAAACCTCGATAAAACGAACCTTTATATTAATTTTTCGACGCTGAGTTTAGCCAATTTAAAGAAGTTCTACAATTCTGGGCAATTCTACCGTTCACGACTTTAAGACATCGTTGGTTAAGATCTTGTTTTGCATGACAAGTGGAAATTTTACGATTGCAACAACAATTTGGTACCCGAAAAAATAAAATTTCTAGAAAAAGAAAATCTAAGAAATTAAATATTCTAACGCTATGGACCCAATTGTTGATGGAAGGATCATTGATTGGCAAATATCTCGTCATGATATAAGATCGCGAGGCACATATTTGTTAGAAACTGGTAAGATATTTGTAATTATAGCTTCGTGAAATCTTTTGTTTATACAAAATATTATTTTCTAATATTGTTTTTATTTCCTAAAAATTAATTATTTTAGGAAAATGGAGTGATTGTACATTCTTAGTGGGAAGTGAAAATAACCAACAAACTCTTGCATGCCACAAGATAATCCTCGCAATGGCCAGTCCTGTGTTCGAGACAATGTTTTATGGAAGCTTCAACTCTTCATCAGATCCAATCTTAATTTCAGATGTACAAGCAGATGCTTTCAAAGCTTTACTTGAATATATGTACACGGACAAAATTAACATTAATAATGTTGACAAGGCTTTTGACTTATGCTATGCTGCTAAGAAATATATGTTGCCTTTCGTTGTTGATCAATGCACAAAATTTCTATGGTAAGATTTTTGTTCCATTATTATGAAATTCCACTTCAATTCGTTATTTATTATTGAAAGGTCTGATTTATGTCCGAAAAATGCATGCAGAGCGTATGAGTTTGCAAAACTCTTCGAAGAGCCGTCACTACAGGAAAAATGTTTACAAATTATTTGTACGAAAACCATGGACGTCATTGGCGATCCGTCATTTGAAGAAGTTGAATTATCGACAATCATAACAATTCTCGACCAAGATGCTCTCAACGTTGATAATGAATTGGCACTTTTCTTTGCGATAAATCGTTTTGCTGAGAAACAAGGACTACGTCATGACAATATAGAAAATACAGATCAGAATCAGAACGATGAAAATGATCAAATTGACGACCCTGAACCAATAAATCTCGAAGCTGGCCCATCAAACCGTCCCGACCCTCAACCTCAACCAGCAGCTCAGCAACAACAGCGTGTTCAAGATATCCCAACAATTCGCGATGCTGTAAAGAAAATTCGCTTCCTGACTTTAACGCCACAACAATTTGCTGAAGGTCCAGCCAGAACTAATCTCTTATCACAGTCTGAAGCTTTTGCTATATTAATGAATATCTCAACACCCAACTCAGTTTATCCAATGCCAGACAGTTTCACTCTCAATAAGAATCCAAGAGTATTTAATGTTTTCGCAGATTCAAGATCACCAAGTCCGGCAATACTTTCTGGACCGTCACAGGTTCAAGCTCTTTCAGTTAATGTTCCACCACCCGCACCAGCTCCAACTGGTGATCATAGTTGTCAAGTAATGCCTCAACTTCCTTTACCAGGGGATTCTCTGAGTTTTTTCCACAGCTTCCCACAGCGTCATATAAGCGAAGAGAGACGATATTATTGTATTAGAACTATTCAACAACTAAGAGAAATTTACAATCGTTCAGTACTTGAATCTTCATTCACATTTTCGGTTGATCGAAATGTCTCCATACTTGGCATAACAATCTTTACCCAAACACGTACTCAGCCAATTTCAAATGAAAATCGTAATCTTGATAGATACAGTGAAATTATCTACGCCCATCTCTTGGATTCTCATAGTTCACGATTAACTTACACACATTCAAATCAACGTGTTCCATACGACAGCGACAGTGAAATCTTCTTTGATCGTCCAATGTTTATTCAGAGTAATAAAGTTTATAAGATTGGCGTTGCATTTAACAAAATTGGATTCTATCAGGAACATTCAGTTCATCCAACGTTCCGAGCATCAAATATAACATTCACATTCAATACTGGAAACTCAATAGACACAACACGCGAAGGTCTCATACGAGGAATTATCTACAGCATGTAACCATTGGATGATTCCGATTGAATTCTTTCATGTCACGGTTATCCGTGAAAATATTATTTATGAATGATTCTAAATTAATAAATATCTATCTATGATAAAGTCCATAATACTTACTTATTATCTTAGCAAATAAAAAAGGTTTCAAACAAAATACAAATTTCTTTCATTCATTTTTTAACAAAAGAAGGAAAAAATAAAAAAAAATAACAAGTAGAAAACATCTCTAAGCAATTCCCAGGCAACCTTCAAGTCCGCTGATTAATTCAATTAATTTGTTTTTAGTTCTCACTCCACTCATCGTGGCATTTCATTCATTAATCGAATTCTCCCCGGGAATTACTTTGTTTAATTTTTCACAAATCGTCTTTGACGATGAGAAATTTCATTGGAGACGAAGATTAATATTTTGCTTCGTTTCAACAACGATACAGCCCAAAGCTTTCTTTCGTACAATGTTGAATACGCCAATTAATTTAAATCGATTGCTTTTGTTATGAAAAGCTCTAGAGAGAAAATAAATTTAGCTTCGTATCAACTGAGTTCTCTGGGTTGATGTTTTTCGTGTTTCATAATTCCATTTGTTTATCGTATCATCAATGCTCTCAGATATTTTATTTTTATCATTTCCATCCGTTGCACAACAAGAAGTCGAGGGAAAAGGAATTGAAAGCATAATTGAGATAGAAATTTGCATTACGTCGACTCTCAAGTTTTCTTCTTCATTTGACATGATGAAAAAATGTAGAAGAAATGTTTCCATCACAAGAAGAGCCCACAAATTGACGCACAAAAAAATAGGAAAATCTTTTTATAAAATCTTACAAAGAAATTTACTTCTACGTAATGAAATCTTGAACTACTGATGCGCCTTATTGTAATCTTTAAAACGACGAAAACTTTTAGCTGATATTATAAAGACAAGAAAATTTCAAACTTTAAAACTGACAGTGGAGATAATTTCAAAGTTATTTGTAATTTCGCTTTAAATTTAAATTTATTTATCTATTTTTAAATCTGCTGAAAGTTTTCGCCGAACAAATCTCAATAAGGTTGCCCATCAATATGGTTCAATAGCTCTTAGAAAAGGAAAAACTCATTTTGCGATAAAGAAAAGGAAGAAGAAAATAAAATGCTTTTCTTATGCTTCGACTTCATCTGTTGTAGTTGAAATGGGATGAGTGAAGTTAAGGATTAAGTTGTTGATAGTTCGAAGGAAAAAGTTGCATGTAAATGGAAGCGATTTTTTTGTGAAAGTTTTCTTTCTTAACGAATCAGTGAATTCTTATTATAAACTAGATAAGACATGATATGAAATGAAAGTATAAAAAATTGTTCAAACTAAGTGACTACTTGTTTACATTTCAAAGATCAAAGTGCATTAGCATATCCCGAATATTTAAATAAGAAAAAAGAAAGAAAACCTACAATGATGAAAACATAAACATTCAACCCTTTCTAATGCTTAAAGGTTCTTTGCTTCGTTGAATAATTTAACTTGTCTTCAATTTTAAGATAAGAATTTCGCACTTAAGAACAAATTTCTGTTTGCTTCTTTCATTAATTAAGCGCATTAAAAAGAAACAGAAGAAAAGTAAAAGAAGAAAGTCTTCCCCAGACGATGAAAACTTTTTTTTATGATTTTTCAATGTCAGATGAAATTTCATGTTTGCATATTCACATCGAAGTTGTAAAAACCTCAGCAGCTTAAAGGGGAAGAAAAATTACTTTTTAAATCATGCGATGGAAAGAGAAGAAAAAATTAGTTTCTCGTCAAATGCTTTTCTTTCATAAGAATTTTTCATGCTTTCATAATTTACCAAAGCGCAAGAAGAAAGTGATTAATTAATTCGTTCTGAAAGATTTCTTTGTAGCGAAGCGAAGATAATCAGCAGGGATTTTATGACAAATGTAAATTAGTTTTTAACGTAATTTCAAAGTCTCATATGCTATTTTATTAATTTTATTGAGAGTTCATATTCCGTTGCATTCCTATGTTAATAGTATTATTCCTTGTACTTCACTTTACAAGTTATTATTTCCTCTTGGTAGAGTATATTCACTTTGAGAACCATACAATCTCGAAGTGTTCCAATGCAAAAGACTAGTCGGTGTCAGTCAGGCTATTAGTGCACTGAAAGACTTGCATTGTTGCTTGGCAGATTGCTATCATATACAATCGCATATTCCAACGAGAGCGCACACGTTGGAATTACATACACTTACAATACTTGCTTCGTTGAGGAGGAGTGTTGGAATATGCGATTGTATATGATAGCAATCTGCCAAGCAACAATGCAAGTCTTTCAGTGCACTAATAGCCTGACTGACACCGACTAGTCTTTTGCATTGGAACACTTCGAGATTGTATGGTTCTCAAAGTGAATATACTCTACCAAGAGGAAATAATAACTTGTAAAGTGAAGTACAAGGAATAATACTATTAACATAGGAATACAACGGAATATGAACTCTCAATAATTTTATTTTAAATGGAAATTTAAACATGGTAGTGAAATGAAACTTCACTTACCAGCTCTAATAATTCTCACCGTCGAAACTTTTAAGTGAAGCTTTATGGAAAGTGAATTTTAAACATTGCACGAACGTCTCCATGCCGCTCCACCATTTGATAACGATAAAGTTAAATTGAATTTTTTTCTGAGCAAGAAAAAAGTAACAAAATTAATTTATTGATTTTCCTCATCCCCATTTATTGAAGATTTTTCTCTGCAACGAGATCAATATGCTTTTAAGCTTGCTTTTCAGCATAAGCAGCGAAAATGCAAATGAATTGCCGCATAAAACTTTTATTATGCATGTTTTCTGAAAGGGTTCTTCGTACTCGAATTTCATTATTCTGACTCGCTGAAGTGAATGCGTGCATACATTGAAAAACATAAGAATAAAGGAACGAGAAATGTCAACAAAGCAGTTGACAACAGACGAATAAATACTTCAAGATAGTTATGACGACTATTTTTTATGGTGTCCACTGATCCAAAAAATCACGAGAAAAGAAGTGAAAAGTTTTCTCATAATTTTGATCTTCAATAAAAATATAAAAACGAAAGAAATGAGAAAAACTTTTTTCACTTTTTACCATAAAAGATGCATTCAACATTATTCGCGTAAGTAAGAGAGAAAGGATGATGAATGATGTGCTGCAAAAGCTTTTCATGCACTACGACTGATAACGTTGATGAGGAAAAATGATTTTGAAAAGTTTAATGGAAAACTTTAAGCGTTTGATCGCTTTAATTACTTTGTGAACATGAAAACCGTTGGTGGTTTATGTTGAACGAAGGAAACGACGCCACGAGAGATTAAAATCTCATGCTTTGGAAAAGTTGACGATGTTGGATCAGAAAAATTTTAAAGTCGAACAACTTCTTGTGTACAACACCAAGAACAACAAGCAACAACAACTTCAACACATATTCGATGTCTCGTTATAATCTCTTGAATACGAAATCTTCCATCGGTAACCCCAAAACCAACTGAATTGGAAAATTCCGTTTTTTCTTCTTTCCCCGATTTTCATCGCACCCAATAATCATTTTTCTTCGGTTTTTCCTGAACTTCCCTTTCTCGTCGACGATGAAAATTTCCATTTAATGTGAGAACTTCAAGTTGAGTTGAAGCGATTCCATGTAGAACTTTGATTATGATGTGGAAACTGTGGAAAGAGATTTGGATGAGACGAGAAATTGTGAATTGAAGGAAAAAGTGAATTGAAGCTCAATCGAAAGATTCTTTTAAAAATTAATTGTAAATTTATGATTTAAATATGTCACGAGCCTTGAAGGCGCAATGTGGAGATGACAAAGTGAAGTTAGTCAAATCTCTTGAGGGAACTTGTTGCTGATGGAATGGCTACTGCTTGTTTTCCACTGAGATTTCCACCCGCTCCCTGTCGCAAACATCAAACAAGGTATTTGAATATCTTGCTGTGCATGAGAGAAAAAAAGAAAGAAANTATTTCGATTCAAATAAAAAAGGAAGAAATGTTGTGAAGAATGAATATGAATTTGGATTTCTGTATCTGGGGGGAATTCGAGCAAGACAATTAATTCAAACGATATTCGTGATTAATTTCTTTCCGTGTTTATTTCTCTCTTCTTCCTCGTTTTGTTTTGAAATCATTTATCGAATCATATTCCCATTTAGAGAGAATGTTCCGATATTTATTGGATTATTGTGCTCTATTGTGGGCCATCGCCAACATGAAAAACATGAAAATTATGTCATTGAACGTTGAAGAGACGACACCAAACGAAACACCGAGATAAAGATGGCAATTACGCAATAAATAAATTGCTTTTGCCACCTCTTGAAGATGTTTCATTGTCTCTGACAATAAAAAGTGGTGCTTCGATGATGAATCTCTTCTTTTTTGCTACTCTCGTTCACTCGTGTTTGCTGACTATGGACTGTGGTGTTACCCAATGAGTCAAGCCAAGCCACCGATTAGAAATGAATTAAAGGAAACTAAGACGACTTGTTAGTCGCTACAATAACATTTCTTCATGACACAACACAAACTTGCCATTCGTTTTATTGTTGCTGAATTGTTTGGTAATCATGATTAATTTTCAAGATATTTATTCTCGGGTGCTTCATAAGGGTCTGTTCATAAATGACATATCCCCGATAAATCACAAGATGGAAGAAAAATTTGTGAAACTCTGAAAAACCACAAACATTGCACAATTCCCATGTTCGATTATTAAGCATCGCACCGTGTATGAATGAATGAATGAAAATGAACAGAAAAGAGAGCGAGAAACATGATCACTCGACGAATATGAATACTTATGTGAATTTGCAGCAGTTGCTTTTGCTTTTGCCTTTGCCTTTAACTCTGCCTCGGCTTTATGGTTTTTCTAAATTCCGATAATTTTTAATATCTTTTTGATTGCCTTCTCTCTCCCCACATCTCAGCGTCGTCTCGTTCATCGTCCATATATCTTTGCCTTTGCCTTCTACTTCTTCGTTTCTAGGCTTGGGCTTGGGTTCAGTTTTGAATCAAATAAGTAAATATCTAAGTAAAAGGAAGGAGAAGACTTTTCTGCTTTTTGCTGCTGTTGCTGTTGTGCTTTTGCATAACCATCGCCGTTTGAACTGAAAAGTTTCCATCTCGATTGTGTAGTTCATAAAAGTAGAGAAATAAACTCTCATGAGACAATAAAAGCAAGATAGAAAGTTTAAAATCCATGAAAAAGACATTTTCTCGATTGTGAGCTTAGCTTAATTGTTATTTTATCTTAAATCCAAGAAGCAGGTTAAAGACCTTACTTTGAGACATTATCGTATCTCTGGTTTGTCTAAATATTTAGAAATTTCATTTAAAATAAAACTCATTCCAGATGTAAAGCGACAGAGATCTCAAAAATAACATGTTAAGCACTCAGAAGGGCGGAAAGAACAGAAAAAACTGATCACACTTGCTACTAGAAAATTAATTAAAAAGTGTCAAGTTGCTGTTCTTTCTGCTTTATGTTATCGTCGAAATGTGAGAAATCTAAACATTCCACAGACGATTCTTGTAATTAACGAAGCCAAACATGCGTGAAAATTATTTTTAGAGCTGCTCGATGGAAGGTAGATAGAAAAATAATTGTCGAAGTTTGAAACAAACTTTACTCACCAGAGAAGTGCCGATAAAGTTTTTCTTATCGATATCAAAGCAAAGAAAAACTTTCATAACTCGACACATTTCAGGAAGTGCAGATAGCTTGTCCAAAGTCCTTTCACTAATGTAAATAATCAATTTCATGGAAAACATAAAATGCAGAAGTGAAATTAGGTTTCAATTCTTGTACAGTATGTTTGATAGTTTAGTTGTAGGGTGAGAATGGTTGTTGTTTAGGTTTGTTCGAACATGTCATGACATTATCGCACAAACACGGAGAAAAAAATTGTAACATTCAAGTGGAAGTTCAAGTGTTTGAGTGAAGCAAAATTTCTATGAAAAAGTTTTTATCTACGAGAGCAGTAAAGTGGAGTTCTCTTGGTTGCAGTTGATCATTTCACTGTCTGTTCTCGTATGCTGATAACTCAAATTGCTTCCTGTGTTTAAGTTCAACATTTATTTTTTTAACAGTGCAGCAATTGACCTTAAAACAAAAACTTTATCCATTTGCACCCCCACACTTCTAAATTCTCCAAATATTGCCGTGTTTTGACCATTTTTCCCCACTACAACTTGTATCTAAACCTTGTTCCATAATTTCATCGAAAAGGGATTTTTTTCCTTCTTCGTTTGGTTTCTTTTTATATGTTTTTGTACACATGAGATTGCCAGTTACGATCCGGAATAGAAATAAAGTACCTTAGAGGCTTGAAAGGCAATAACATGATATGCAGGGGCAAGTCCTGATTTATGTTTTATTTTTCCTTGCCAATAATCAATAACGATGCTCTCATTTCTATTTCGTACATCCATACATGTAGGTGACTTTATGGGAATGGCAAAGTGCGAGACCGAAATTATGGAAAATCGAATGTGATGTGCACGCTGACCCTCGTCATGAGAATTCATCCTTTTTTATTCACCTCCTAGCATTTAGCTTTTATCGTCACTCTATTTGCACATTAACGATCTGAAGTGATAAAAGTGAAGTGGAAAAGCAGAAACGGAATTAGAATCGTGATGGAATTCCGACCTGCAAAAGCGGCAAATTAACCTTCTAGAGAGGTAAATACAAATGGGGGTGAGAATGAAATTTAAGGATAGAAAATTGCGAAAAGGACGAACTTGAAAATCATAAGAAACGCTCGAAGTCAAAGATAAGAGAAACAAAATTAATTAGATTAAGAAATTGTTGTCGAGTCTTCTGCTTTTTTGTTATAACAACAAAAGCAGCTTAAATGAGATTTTACTCAAGAGGATTTTGTTTCGATGTGAGATGAATGTATAATTATCAAAGTTTCATTATTAAAAGACGCAAAAAGGTATTAAAAACAAGTAATAACTGCGGTGATAAGTGAAACGATACTAAAGTTCTTTGACTTCTTCAGCATACTCTCAATTTGATGAAAGACACATTGATGATGAAAGGAATCATGAGAAAAAAGGAAAACTTTTATTTTTCTCATAATTCTGATCCCTAAGAACATAATAAAAAATTCGAGAAAGTTTTAAACAATGAACCTTTTCTTGGCTTTTAACGATAAAAGAGAAATGCATTCAACATTATTCGCGTAAGTAAGAGAGAAAGGATGATAAATGATGTGCTGCAAAAGCTTTTCATGCACTACGACTGATAACGTTGATGAGGAAAAATGATTTTGAAAAGTTTAATGGAAAACTTTAAGCGTTTGATCGCTTTAATTACTTTGTGAACATGAAAACCGTTGGTGGTTTATGTTGAACGAAGGAAACGACGCTACGAGAGATTGAAATCTCATGCTTTGGAAAAGTTGACGATGTTGGATCAGAAAAATTTTAAAGTCGAACAACTTCTTGTGTACAACACCAAGAACAACAAGCAACAACAACTTCAACACATATTCGATGTCTCGTTATAATCTCTTGAATACGAAATCTTCCGTCGGTAACCCCAAAACCAACTGAATTGGAAAATTCCGTTTTTTCTTCTTTCCCCGATTTTCATCGCACCCAATAATCATTTTTCTTCGGTTTTTCCTGAACTTCCCTTTCTCGTCGACGATGAAAATTTCCATTTAATGTGAGAACTTCAAGTTGAGTTGAAGCGATTCCATGTAGAACTTTGATTATGATGTGGAAACTGTGGAAAGAGATTTGGATGAGACGAGAAATTGTGAATTGAAGGAAAAAGTGAATTGAAGCTCAATCGAAAGATTCTTTTAAAAATTAATTGTAAATTTATGATTTAAATATGTCACGAGGCTTGAAGGCGCAATGTGGAGATGACAACATGAAGTTCACCAAATCTCCTGAGGGAACTTGTTGCTGATGGAATGGCTACTGCTTGTTTTCCACTGAGATTTCCACCCGCTCCCTGTCGCAAACATCAAACAAGGTATTTGAATATCTTGCTGTGTATGAGAGAAAAAAAGAAAGAAACTTTGCGAATGTTTTCTTTTTTCGTGGATGAAGAAAAATAACAAACGAGAAAGCTTCAATTCTCCTTCGGCATCGCTAAGATAGCGAATCACTTTCGCAGTTCACCCCTTGTTTGCTTTCAAGAATGAGAGAAGAATTTTCCAAACGTTTAATTACCTTTCGTGAACTGAGCTTTCTCATCTGATCTCACTCCACTCCATCCAATGCCTTGCAACATTTTCTTTTCTTTAAGCAAATAAAAGAAAATTTTCTTTCGAAACTTTTTTCTTTTCTCTTCTTTTGTTTGAGTTGTTAATGTTTCCATTTTGTTGAAGAAGTCTCATCGGGTTTCAGTTGACGAAGCTCGTGACTGAGTCTGACATTTGATAAGAAGTTCTTGCGAAAACCCCAGGGAACGACATTCACGACCCAAGGCTGTAAATGAAACAAGCTCAGACGATTATAATTGGCTTTCGCATTAATTACCAAGCTTTCAAAATAAGTATGTAAGTAACTAAGTAATTATGAACATAGAAATTAGAGGAAATGAAGAAGGAATCATTTATTGATTTCATTCGGATTTGGATTAACATGAGCAAAGTGTTTGTAGTTCAAAAAGGTTCGCCATTCAGTAATCTAATTTCTTTCACACTCCAACAACATGGAAGAGAAGAACTTTCTCATCGATAACTTTCCCACTTCAATTTGACATTCGTACATAAGGAAATCGATGGAAGTTTTCTTCTTATCTATTTCTGTAGGATTTTCATTGAACAAGAATAGAAACACAAAGTAACAAGCAAAAATTACAAAACTAAACAGACTCGAGTCGAGTTTGAGTCCATAAATTGCACAATTTGAATCACCGCCGTAAACGATGATTGTTGGATGAAAGAAAATTGTGTGGAAAGCGGGGGAGTGAGAGCGAGCATGATAATTAATTCTAACGATTTCAGTGATTAATTTTTTCTTTGTTTGTTTCTCTCTGCCATTCCTTCGTTTCCACTTCCTGCGCTTGATTACAGATTCACCAATCGACTTGGGTCCGAGGTCGTCCAATATGGATTCGCCGTTCTTATATGTCTCTTTGCCCAATTCATTGTAGCTACTGATAAGGACGGGAAAAATCAATTCATAGCTTCGAGAAATAATTTATACATTCCATCAGAAAAACCACTCACAATAAACGAAATAAATCGATATCTCCAATATTGTGATCTTGTATATATGTGCATTAGTCATTTGTGCCTTTAACGTATTTCATATAATGATTGAGCATTTAATATGCAAATAGAATAAATATTTATCAAAAAATGTAAAATATTTGTGCTTCTATCTACATCGTCACCTTGGTCGGGACTAAGAAAACGAGAACTGAAAGAGAACACAAAAATCGATATCAAAACAAGCAGTACAACAACTTTTGTTATGTTCACAAAACATTTATTAAATATGAAATATTGCATCATGTTTAACAAATAGAACATGAAAATGAATATTTTACAATAAAGTTGCCATACAACATGACGAGAACAAAAGGCCATACATTTTTATTCTTCAAAATCAATCTACTAACTCCACTCCATTCCAATCTCTCGTTTCATTTGTAATTCAACTCTTAGATTTCTTGGGCTCTAAACAAGACTTCATGAATCTCTTTTGTTTAGTCTTAATGTCGATTTTATGACCTCCGTAGTTTCATCATCGTCTATACGTACGTCGGTTTAGTTCTGCGCGCGGTGGATTTCACTTGCATAATAAAGATAGTAATTGAATAATGAAATGTAAAGAGAAAGAAAGACAAAAAGAAGAATGAAAGAACCGTCACAAAAGGAAAGTTCAAACCACCACTAAAATTGGATGGAAATAAAATGGATGGAACAATAAAAATGAAATGAAATTAAATGATTTATGAGTGGTCGAGATGGAAGAACTTAAATATAATTATATAATTATTAGAGAGAGACAATTCGTGAAGAATGAGTGAAGTAATGTTGAAAGAATTATGATTTATCATTCCCTCGGTTAGTAATTGATAACGGGAGATAATCGTTTAGAATTAGAATGAATTCAAATAACTTACTCAATGTAAGGCTTTAATGTGAACTGTAACAATTGGATGTGTTCACAAAAAAATGATATAATCATCAACATTTAAATATTTATGCTCTCAAATACAGAGACGCTTCTCATCGTTAGTTTAACATTAAACTTTTTTTTTTATTTTTTCTGATGATTGATTTGACAGGTGTTTGTCTAATAACATTTTCTCCGAATATCTCTGACTATCTTCCACTCAACGAGAAGAGCCGATCATAAAATAAAAGGCAAAAAGGAATAAATGTTGTAAAATATGCTGTACCAAGTGGCGAGTAACATAAACTTGAGTGGTAGAATACAAGAGAACAAAATTTTTAAAGATTTACACAGAAATAAAAGAAGAAAAGAAGAAGATTTTGATGAGAATCAGCAGCTAAAGAATCATAAAAATTTAAAGATTATTAAAGATTTCGAAATTCACTCAGAGCTTTGGTTGCTTGAGGCCAACAGTAATCAAAAATCAATAACCTTAGAGATTTATTTATATTTCTCATCTTTTACGAAATATTTTAACTTTGATGTTAAACATTCACAGAATTTCGCAAACCAAAACAAACATCTACCAAGAGATTTTAATCCCTCAATACTTATAATCCTTTGACAATGCCATTAAGTTAAGTTGTGAATCTCATTTAAATCTGTTGACCTGATTTTATGGAATTTTAATGTTTGCAAGCAACTGCCAACTGTCAACAGCCAAACAAAGTGAAAGTGTAACAAACTTTTAAAACCCTGAAATCATACTCAATTCCATTAAGTTACTAACTGAAATCGATAAAACAATCAAGAATCTCTCTTGAATCGTTCAGATTTCTTAGAAATAATATCAGAGAAACAAAGAGAATTCATTTATGTACATTGGCTTAAAGCAGACATTATGTTTAATGCCTGAAATCTCAACATAAGCAATTAAAACTTTTCGTAAAGTTTGTTGAACTGTTGCAGCTTTTGCACGTTTTCTTTTTGTTTAGCACGCGTGTGCGGTCATTCACATGTAACTTATAAGTCATATGAGAATATTTTGTACAAAGCTTCCCCTAATAATTCCTAATAAAATGAACACACGACGAATTGTGACACCTTCTGTCCCAAACAATCAGCAAAATATAGGATCCAAAATTCGGCAAAAGTATAACAAATTACATATCTACCTTCATCTAAAACGAAATCCAATTTGAACGTTTCGTTTGTAGTTTTGGTTTTGTTCGATAGTTTTAATGTCAACTACAATCCTTAAAACAAATAAATTTAAATAATATTCAAAAGACAAACCAGACAAAGAAAGGGTTTCACTTGAATACTTACCCGATGGAAAGTAAAGGGACACAGATGTGTGAATTGTGAATAAATAACGAAGAAAAGGTAGAAAACAAACAGAAGGAGGGAGTGAAAAGTTCCGAAAAATGTAAATGTTAAAACATGGAAAACATTAACCGAGCTGGAAAAGTAAGTTTCTCGGGTATCAAAAGATTGTTATCGTTTGGTGTATGAAATGCTAATTACAATTTACCCCCAAATAATAAATAGATAGCAAATAAATTTCTCTTCAAAGTGCTTCAGGAGAAAAGTTTTAGGAGCTCGACAGGTAGCATTAAAAATGGCTCACAAATAAAATCATTAATGGATCGCAGATAACAGAGACAAGGAGGGGAGTTCGTAAAATAAACGGTAAAACTCTCACGGAATGTTGAATGAGGGTAATTAATTTGGCAATTGTTTACATTTTATCATTCGTTGGCGCTGAAATAAAAATTAAAAGTTTGTCAAGTGTCAAAATTTCGATTAATTAAAGTAATTTCAATAGAAGGAAATTGATGAGGTTTATGGCGAGAGTTTATGGAGATTGATAAAGAGCTTCAATCTTTGTTTTTATTCTCTTCTTTTAAAAAGGTGTCATTGTGATGCTGCTGTAAATTATCTATTGGAATATAAGAACAATCATTGTGGCTTCATTCTTAGAAGGAAGCACTCAATTGATATCAAAACTTCATCTCCCTGTTCAATTTAACAGCACCATCGTCGTTTATTGCTAAGCTTGTGAATGGAACTTCCATCCAATCTTATGACAGACATTAATTTACACAATCGATGTAGGAAAGAGAATTATCAGTAAAGTTTCAGGCAAGGATAGATTAATGAAAGCATGAATGGACGAATGAAAGGATAGAAAGTTGCAATTGAATGTGGAAGTTGATGCAATCACATTGTGAAATCGACTGACATCATTGCACTCAAAATGTTCATTCAAATGGAAGTCGAGAAATTTAATGACCATCCTGATGAGTTTTTGTTGACTTTCTGTCTCATTAAACATCAAAACAACGAAAGTTCTTATGACTGTTACCTGCTGCTATTCGAAGTGACCCCCGCACTCACCCATTCAATTCCATGTCACTGAAATCTCATTCAATTGACATTCTCTGAAATGAAAAACTAATAGAAAAGTGTTTTGTTTATCCATGAGTGTAACTATGAACTAGATTCGAGAAAATTACAAATTCCATTGCAAAATCAATTTTGCAGTTGATGAAAATTTAAGCTCGCATGATGTTTGATTGCCAGATGGTCATTTGCCGTTCTCTTCCATACAAATTGCGTCGTCATCAACTTGGAAACTTGAAATAAAATTCATCTCGTGTCATTTACTTTATTTTTCTTTATTCTAGAAATTATTTGGAACTGGAAATTTCGACAGAAAGTTGATGAACTGACATGCAAATATTCGTAGAGAGAAATTAAGTAATCCATGACTTGACGAAGTTTTAATTGAATTTTGCGTGATTACCATACTAATTAGAAAAATATTTTCTCTCTCGATCACATCGAGATTCCATTCGAAGAAACAATTTCAATTGCAAAACAAGAAAATGCTGACGACGCGCTTATTTTATTTTATTTATCTGCCGCTTGCTTCAACGATATTTCNAGATAATTTTTGTTTTTAAGTTACAATTTAAATAAATATTTATTTTATCGCCGAAAAGAAGTCGAGTGAAGAGATAAACAAACATGAACTTGAAGTTGAATTTGAAAGAGAGACGACTGTGATGACGAAAACTAAAAGCCATCGATAAACGAGTCCAAATGAAACCGAAAAAATGCCGTAAAATTGAATTTAAAATCGAAAATTAATTCAAGCGATGTGCAGTAATTATTTTTATGTCTTCTTCTGTTCATGGTCGCTTAAGGGGCAACAGCAGATAGTGCAACCAACTTCGATTCTTTCGTTTAAACTCTTTCAGAAATAAATTTTTAGTTTCCTTAAAATTCTCATGAAATTTGTTCCGAAATGAAACTGAAAATTCAGAAAAAATAATACAAAAACTTCTCTTTTTTTCATTATTTACAATTTGTGGTTTAGCTTTCTCACCGCACCACATTAAACAGACAGACGATAACCAAGAAATACCAAAGAAAATTGATGCATCACGTTTATTGTGAATGATGTACGGATCTAAATACGAGTTCGCTCCACTGACTTAATTTATAAAAATTCCCTCAACATCTTGTAGACTAACATTTTTTTGATGAATCACTTTCGAATGTTGATTGGTTTCAATTTTCTCGAAAGCGATTACAAACGTGCTTCATGTTTCGGATTAACGATTAATATAATTAAATTATATTCAGCTAATGCGAAATAATATTCGAGCTTTCCACTGTTCATCAAAGATCTTGTACGGCTTTCTCACTTGACTTCAAACTCTGATAGAGCTCGTTTTGTAAATAAATCTGAAGACCTTTCCTTGCCGTTTTTCCTATTCCATTAAAATTACAAATAACAAAGCGTAAAGCATTCTTCGCCCAACAGATACGCATTGAAAACTGCTGAATAATTGAAATCGATAACAGCACATACACGCGTTTTCAACAGCAACGAGGGTTGTATCGGGCACCACAAATCTCTGCAATCGTGTTAACTTCTTCTTCTTTTTGTGATTTTCTGACCCAAAATGCTTTCAGAATATTTTCATTCCGATTTTAACACAGATTCAGATAAAAAACCTCTCGAGATTATGAACTCAAAATTGTTTTGATGTTTGCACGTGTAATGAAATTTGACGTATGTGCCACACTAGCAGTAAAGTCAAACACTTTCGGCAATTGAATTTTTTATCATGTTTTGTTGTTGATAAGAAGGAAAAGTTTGAAAACAGCGAAATTCAATAAAAGAACTTTTCAGTTTCACACCAAACTCTTTTCAGTTTTCATGAACTTTTCAGTTTTCCTTCTTTCTTTATTCCTCATTTTTAATGCTGCCTCGCTTTTCACTTCGTTGATGTGGTGAACGTGATAAGTGAAAAAAAAGGAAAAAAGGAAAATAAATGAAGAAAGCGAAGGAAAATTGCATTTTCACTGAAAGCGACAGAGAAGCTTTACGGAAGCAAACATTGCGGCGGATTCATCTCCCCGTTCAATTTAAAAGCAACATCGTCGTTTATTGTTAAGCTTGTGAATGGAACTTCCATCCAATCTTATGACAGACATTAATTTACACAATCGATGTAGGAGAGAGAATTATCAGTAAAGTTTCAGGCAAGGATAGATTAATGAAAGCATGAATGGACGAATGAAAGGATAGAAAGTTGCAATTGAATGTGGAAGTTGATGCAATCACATTGTGAAATCGACTGACATCATTGCACTCAAAATGTTCATTCAAATGGAAGTCGAGAAATTTAATGACCATCCTGATGAGTTTTTGTTGACTTTCTGTCTCATTAAACATCAAAACAACGAAAGTTCTTATGACTGTTACCTGCTGCTATTCGAAGTGACCCCCGCACTCACCCATTCAATTCCATGTCACTGAAATCTCATTCAATTGACATTCTCTGAAATGAAAAACTAATAGAAAAGTGTTTTGTTTATCCATGAGTGTAACTATGAACTAGATTCGAGAAAATTACAAATTCCATTGCAAAATCAATTTTGCAGTTGATGAAAATTTAAGCTCGCATGATGTTTGATTGCCAGATGGTCATTTGCCGTTCTCTTCCATACAAATTGCGTCGTCATCAACTTGGAAACTTGAAATAAAATTCATCTCGTGTCATTTACTTTATTTTTCTTT